TACTTTTACTATCTGATCTGGTGCTGTGATCAAATGCAGGATTTCTCGGAAGGTTTTTTTACTTTTTCAAACTAATTAGCAAAAATGTTGCCTTCTTTTCCATAAATCCTGAAACAGAAGCTGACCTGATTTAAATTCCTGCTTCAGCTCCACATGTTTGATGCTGCAGCTGAGAATAGATCTTTATCACCCAGACTCATCCTCCTTCTACAGCTGTGCTTAAAAGTTTATATCCCCTTCCTTTAAACAAACGAAATAAATCAGCTGCCAGTAAAATAGAAAATGACAAAAGTAATAATCATCACTTTGATTTTGAATATGTATTTATATACGTATGTATGTTCAATAATAAATAACAGAGGTAAACCAGCCTGATGGAGCTCCTGAACTGAATGTTGTTGAGCAACACTTTGAGGTAATAATTGCTGAAATCAGTTGTTTTCTGTTAAGTCCAGCCAGGGGCAGACCTAGGAAATTTGAGGCCCTAGGCAAAGCCAGGCAGGGGGCCAGCGTTTTCAACATGGAAATACCGGTGTTACGTCGAGCTGCGTTTCCCCATCAGATACGCTTTCCCCTGCATCTCCACACAGCGCAGGCGGCACGATTCACCGCGCAAGCGACAGGAAACGCGCATGCTCCCTAAAGGTGCATAATAGCCGCCCTGTGCTCGCGTAAGGGGAACTCCAGAGAGCGTGAAGGATTAAATGTTAGCCAAATGGAGAAAGGGAGAAATCTAGATGGATGGATGGATGGATGGATGGATGGATGGATGGATGGATGGATGGATGGATGGATGGATGGATGGATGGATGGATGGATGGATGGATGGATGGATGGATGGATGGATGGATAGATAGATAGATAGATAGATAGATAGATAGATAGATAGATAGATAGATAGATAGATAGATAGATAGATAGATAGATAGATAGATAGATAGATAGATAGATAGATAGATAGATAGATAGATAGATAGATAGATAGATAGATAGATAGATAGATAGATAGACAACCCAAACACACAGGATTTCAGAATCAGACATCCCCAGTTATTAATTTCATACACTGACTAGATCTGATCGCCCTGTTAAAAAACTTCACACCCATGAGTAGAGGTAATGCAGCCTGATGATATTTACACCACATCAGATAGCGTTCCCCCCATGTTAAGAAGAGGGAAACGCTATCTGACTGGGTTTATAGGCCCGTCAGATAGCGTTCCCCCCTGATGTCATTTACGTTGAGTTGCAATAAATGCTAAACTCTCTGCAGGTTCTTGTCTTTGTCATCCGCTCTATTCAGCTGGCTTTGGAAACACACGGCGAGAAGGTGGGGGCTAGGGGGTGAGGGTTACGGGGGCGAGAAACGCAAAAGTAACGCTATAGCTACTTTCACTAGTAACTAGTTACTTTTATTGTGGAGTAACTCAGTTAGTCACTCAGTTACTTTTTGGGAGAATTAACTAATAACTATAACTGAGAACAACACATAAACAAACCCATTCTAGATAGAAAAATGTTAATAGAATAGACGTCCATAATTTGTTCTAGGTTGTGTCCCTCTCTTCTTGTCCCTTTTCTTCTTGTTTTCCTCTCTATGTTTTGTACTCAGCTGACTTTTCATGCTGTCTCTAAAGGAGTGAAAGATTTTTTCCAAGCACTAAGCTCACTTAGCTGATTGCTCCTTCCTGTGTTTCCAAAAAGGCCAAAGTAAATAACCCAGTCCTTCTTTTCACTGTAGACAAGCCATGATCTGCTTCTCTGTTCTCCATTTTTCATTTGGATGAAATAATAGCTGCATGAATCATGACAGCAGACAAGATAGAGGAGAGCAGGAGGCGGTGTTACCAATCTACTCGCTCTGGAGAGCAGAGTTCGCTGCTTTTAGATGTTGTCTCTAAAGTCTCCAGTAGCAGAAAAAAGTCGCTAGATTTGGCGCTAGGCGCTTTTTAGTAATCAAAGTGCTAGAGGGGTCTGAAAAGTGGCTAAATATAGCGACTAAAGCGCTAAGTTGGCAACACTGCTCTTTGCATAGTTTGTTTTCAAATGGTTTGCTGCTGTCTGTTTGGACCTTTCTGAACATGTGCAGCAAATGGACTGATCCAATATGGTGGACACTGAAGGGGGGGGGCTGAGACACACTTAATATTATCAGCATTCTGATGGCGTTTTAGCAAAAAGATTTTTTTATCAAAAACATAATCAATGTGCACAAATAAGGAATAGCTGCATTACATCTAAATGGAGTTTTATGGGGCCCCCAGGAACATGGGGCCCAAGGTAGCTGTCTAGTATTGCCTGATGGTAAATCCCCCCCTTAGTTCAGGAAACGTTCAGTCAGACTTTTTGCTTCTGGTGGCAGAGATGTTGGTTCACTGTTCATCAGAAAGGAGCTTTCATTAGTTTGGGGATGTGTTTAAGTTCAGGATTACTTTCTGAAATGAAAATTCAAAACCACTTTATTTGTCTAAAATTTCCGTTTTATGTTATTTGAATTTCTAGTGTGAGTTTTAAAAAAAGGTGCGACTAACAAATGTCCCCCTTCATTGTATTTTAGGTGGGAAATATTCTGACATTGTTTTTAGCTATAAGATGCTTTATTTCTCTGATCCTGTGTGGGGGGGGGCCTCCAGGCCTGACCCAGGCCTGTTTGATGACCTCGGCTCTCTGGGGTTAGGGCTTCATGCCAGATGCTTTAAACCATTAAGAGGAAATTAGGATGAGAGTGAAAATGGATCATCCAAAGGACAACAAGCTCTTCATGTTTGAGAGAGGAAGTTCAAAGGCTGCTGGGATTTTATTGGACTCTTCATAATATATCGCAAATGAAACTAATCCAGGCGGTGAAGGAGATAACCATGATAATGACGACAGTGATCGTAATTATCCCGGTAAAATCAGCCAATAATAGAGCAGGATTCAGGTCAGCGATTAATGAAACTAGGACATTAAATGTTCAGACTTCCTTTGTTTTATTTTACTCCCTTCTGTCAAACATGAGGCTGAGGAATAAAAATCATTAACACATGCTGTGTTCTGGCGCCTCCAGGTGGTATAAAAATGTTACTGCGGTTGGAAAGGTTTTGTTTGTGCTGCCATTATGAAAAGATTTAAATATTTCCATTTAATCCAGATCAGGGAAGATTTGCCTCAAAGAAAGATATTGACCTGTGAACTGAAGCTTAAAGACATAGGGAAAACATATTTAAATGTCATATAATTCTGGCTTAAAAATGTATATAAATTTACTCTTTATCAGACCATATTGTCCCAAATTTTAGAACATTTCTATTTTAAAAAAATCTTGTCTTAAAATCTTTGTTTTTTTTTCATTATCTTATGCAGGCCAGTTAGTTATACGTCAGCCTGAACACCTAAATTCGGCCAATCATATATCAACGGTCATCTGTCAATCATATTTTTTCGGTCTTGATTCATATGTCGCAGCTAATATACGCAACGGTTGAAATAAGAAATCAGAATAATTTCCTTTCCCATTGAGCTCCGTCCCAGTGTTCACGGGGATGGACGTCTGTGTCTTCAGCAGGCGTAGAGCTAACAGAACTGGCAGCGTTGCGAGGCAAGGGCTCAAACATGTACGGCTGGAAGCCTTCTACACCAAACCAAGCTTCTGCCGCCCTGGCGTCCTCTTCCACAACATCTTCATCCCCGCTTTCCTCCTCTAAATAAAAAATGGATGATGGAGGAGACTCATCCACGACCGCCGACACTAAACTCTCCTACTCTTGCATGTTTCCTCCGTCCATAGCGTTCCTTGACAGTGTCGTTTCTAAGTCACCAATTTAGTGCTACTTGGTCCAAATGGAATTTCCCATTGGGAACCTATAGCACTAAGATGCTAAGTGGTTAGCAAGATGCTTCTGACAAACCGGCCACAATCAAACTTGCTTGCAAACCTCCCACCACAACAATCCCGCCCCCTTGATAAACGACCAATCATATTCACTTTATTCCCTCGTGTAAAGTCGGGAGAAATTCAGGAGAAATCGGAATGCAACGTTTGGAACAGTCACTTTCCTATGACTTGAAAAATTAAATTGCATCATCTCTGCATCATCTCTCTTTCATTCTGTTAAAAGGGAGTTTTTCCTCTCCACTGTCGCTAAAAGCATGCTTGGTGTGACATGGGAGCTGGCTCGGAGCTCGTCTGTCTGGCTGTGTGTTTCCTGGACGGAGCCGCCTGTGGAGCTGGTTGACAGTTGCCTTTTGTATCTATGCTTCTTTTTCTATGTCTGCTTCTGTCTCCTTGAACCCCAGTCGGCCTCAGCAGATGGCCGCTCACTCTGAGCCTGGTTCTGCTGGAGGTTTCTTCCTGATGATCTGGTTCATCTGGATCTATAAAGTGACCTGAGATGAAATGAGGTGAATTGGAGCTATAGAAATAAACTCAATTGAATTGTGTGTGTGTGAATGGTTGTTTGTCCTGTCTGTCTCTGTGTTTCCCTGCGATGGACTGAAGAACTGTCCAGTGGAACCCCCCAGTAGAGAGCTGGAGATAAACACCAGTAGCCCTCACCACCCCAGTAAGGATGAAGCGTGATGGGAAAATGGATGGATGGATTTTCAGACCATGTGGGGAACAAATATCTAGAATGAGTGGTTTGACATCCCAGCTTATACAGCCGCGTCAACCTCAAGACTAAAACCAGTCTATCATGTTAACCTAACAGCCTCAGCAGCCAAAAAACGAAAAGCACAACATAAGGAAAAGAAAATGCTTTTTATTTTCTTTTGTATTCAAAAAATGTCCACGTTTGTGTCACCATATTTTTCTACAATTTTTTTGCTGCTTTAAACACCAGAATTCCCTCATTGTGGGACAATAAAGGTATTTTCATATTCTATTCTATTCTATTCTATTCTATTCTATTCTATTCTATTCTATTCTATTCTATTCTATTCTATTCTATTCTATTCTATTCTATTCTATTCTATTCTATTCATTTAGCCAGCAGGGGGCGACATTGTAACTTTTGTAGGTTTGTTTCCAGTCGGGTGATTTACCGGTGCACCGTGATGAACTTCCGTTTCGGTGTTTCCAGCGCACGTGTGAGACCTAAACAGGAGGAAAAGCTGCTCGCGGTTTAATGTTCAGGTAATATTATAATTTAAAAGTTTCAGCAGAGCTTCAGTCTGACCAAACATGGCGGCTCTGACCTCCAGCCTCATTTCTGGAAGCTTTTGGTCTCTAAAACAGACCCTGTTTGTATCCCAGCAGGGAGAAGATTCATCTTCCTGTTTGGTTACAGATCAGAACTGTCTCTGTTTTTATCCTTTAACCTTAATCCTGTGTTTATCCTCTAAGTTAATTAACTGATTTTTTAGAATAAAAATAATAATTAAATAAATAAATATTATTTTTTTTTAATAAATAATAAGGCCTGGATGTGGGATTTATAAACAGTCAGAAAAGCCGATCAGAGCTGAAAATATCTTTACTTTCTCTCTGACTTCCTTCCTTCTGAATTCTCTTTGGTTCTTTTCTTTCCAGGGTCTAACTGATAAAACCCTGAAAAGGTAATTAACTTTTTATTCATATTTATTTATAATTATTTGGGACATTATTTAACTGAGGCCATCAGCAGTCTTCTTTTAGGACCGATTATTTTCTTTAATTTGAACCTAAATCATTTAATCTGTCTGGTTTCTGTTCTTCCCTGTTTGCTGAATAAAAACTCACTTGAATCAACCACCAGATTTTTAGAAATCACAAATTAATTTAGACTTTAGTTTCTCTGTTTTATTTATTTTGATGTTTGAAGCTGAAATATACTCCTTTCCATCAGACACTGATTTTATCTTCAGTCTGATGCACACATTAAAGGTTTGAGTTTAATTTGATTCAAACAATCATTAAGTTTAAAAACACAGAAATAAAACAAGTAGAGAAACAATTAAAAGACAATAGAGGCAGATCTGTCTGATTTTAGCTGTTTATTCATCCATGGCAGCTTCATCTGTTTACTATAAAAAGGTTTTCATGTTGTTTACCTTTAGATTTGTGTAACATTTGTTATCATTGTGTAATTTTTATTATGTAAACAGAGGAAGAACAAAATATTGGCAGCACCCGACCCGTCAGTGATCGGTTAGACTGATGTCTGATAATGGGCCTTAAAAAGAACCTCAATCAGTCTCAGGCTGGTTGAAAAGTGTGGAACCGGTTTAATGCGGTTGGTTTTTGAACTGGAAGCTGAAGATTCTTCTCAGGTTTTGAAATGTTGAAACTGTTGATTCTTCGCCTCAAGGTTTTCCTCTCCACCGGAATATTCTCAGTATTTTTGATTCTTCCTACTTTAAAACTCCCATCAGGCTCGTTCTACCTGAATTTGTAAACGCACATATAAAAAACGTTCGCTGTGTTTTTGCCACAATTGAGTTAAAAAAATTTATTTTGACTATTGCTAAAAAGTAAATTGATTTTTTTTTTTTTGTTTGCAGCAGGTTTAACAAACAGGAAATGATGCAGGAATAAACAGATTTTATCAGAGGAAAATAATGTTAATGTAATGTGCATCTGTTACCTGATTTTTAACAAACAAATAACATGAATTAATGTAAAATAGGGCTCATAATTACACACTAATTACTGCGTATTAAAACTGATATTTATGTCCCAGCAAGTTATAAAGATTATTAGAAACTAGGGTTGTCACGATACTAAACTTTACAACGCGATACGGATACTAAGTAAAATATTCGATACTTGATACCCTTTTCGATACCACAAGAATAAAAACAAAGACTCTAAAATTCAACAGAAATATTTTCATTACATAAAAAATACAAGAAATAAATAAAAAAACAATAAGAATAATATTTTGAGGTTGTATGCTGTGCACAATATTAAGCAAGCTTGATAAAAAAATTACAAAATTCAAATTAAGTGTTCCTTCCTTGGCTATGCTTTGCACACATAACAATGACGCTAGCCAAACCGGTTAAAAAACAAAAATAATTCTCAGCAGCTGCACCTCTTACAAAAAAAGTCTGAAAGTGCATTTTCCACTATTCTGCACTTTAGATGGCTGTATCGATACTTTTGAAAATGAGTATTGTATCCGGATACAACGTTTCAGTATCGATAAATTTTTTGAGTATCGATACTTTTGACAACCCTATTAGAAACAGAGTTTCGTAGCATGAAGTGCGAGAATTAAGGTGCTCAGCAGAAGCAGACATTGACAGCTTTTGCTGTAGGTGGAGAGGAAACGCCAGTGGTTCCGGGGATAAATCCTCTGATGGGCGGGGCTTTATGACGAAAATCTAACATCACGATGTATTTGGGCTATAATCGCGATATACGATATACATCACCATATGTTTAAATTACTTTCAAAAACAAGAGTGCAGAAAATTGCACTGATTTACTCAAACCTTTTGTTTTTAAATTTTAATTTATTTTAACCAGCTGAAAGCTATTCTGCCCCATGATGTCTTTGGGTGTCAGAATTAGACCTTTAATAAGATCCCAGCAACCAAACAGGAAGCAAAGCAAAAACACACAATAATAAATAAAATGCAAAATAAAAAGGGCTCCTTTGTACATAATCTAAAAATAAAAATGCAGAATGAAAAAAGAAACTGAGCTAAAATTAGAAAGCAAAAGTGGAAATACCGTCCAAAAGTTAAAGCATTATCATAGCATCTATTAGCATTGATCTTTACCTGCTTGGATTTTAAAGAAACACTAAAAGTTGGAAAATTGAGAATGTTAGAAAAACGTCTGTAAAACCTTTGATCCCATCACAGCTATTAGAGCATCTAAAAAACATTTCAATAAAGTCATAAATGCCGTCTGTGATTTCCCTCCATCTCTTCCTGTTTCTCTCATACGGGATCGCCTTTTCAAACGACGCCGTCGGCTTCACAGCTGATTGATTGAACGTTTTAATTGGTGGGCGGGGAGACGCTGACATGCAGAGTTTACACTGGATGGTGGAATAAATCTGTTCTGCTTCCTTTGCAGCCATGGTTTTTGCGGCACGTCTTAAAAATTAGCGCCTTTTGTTTGACGTCCTCGTCGTGAAATCCAAACCGCTGCGTTTATCGCTCAGCTGAATCACCTGCTGTCGCCATGTTTAGTTTGCAGGTTGCTGTAGAGCGTGTGAAAATAATCCTGTTTGGAGGAGGGGTTTATGATGCATTCAAAGTGCGTGGGAAAAATAAAATCAGTGAAATGGATGCAGACGGCTTAATGTCGCCATGCTTGTACTTGATGGTTGCGATGGAGTCATTTTACATGTTGTGTGGAAGGAAACATGAGATATGTCGAGTTTATTCGATATATCACTCAGCCCTAGTCATGTGGTCTCTGCTGATAAATATCATCCACTTTGTGCTTGACAGAGAGCAGGATGGATGGAAAAGAGAAGAAACAGAAGAAGCACCAGCAGAAGCACAGCGGACCGAAGGCAGAGAAGAAGAAAGCCAAGAAACAGGGAGGATCCGTGGAAGAAGATGAGCGTAAACGGAACCCCAAAGCGTTTGCGGTGCAGTCCGCCGTCCGCATGGCCAAGACCTTCCACAGGTTCGTCTCTCCCAATCCGAACATCCGTTTGCTTCAAATCCTCCTGGTTTGCTGAAGGTTTTGTTTTCCTGCAGAGCCCAGGACCTGAAAACCAAAAAACACCACATCCCTCTGGTGGACCGGACCCCCCTGGAACCGCCCCCGGTTGTGATTGTGGTTGTCGGACCCCCCAAGGTTGGGAAGAGCACCCTGATCCGCTGCCTGATTAAAAACTTCACCAGACAGAAGCTTGGAGACATCTGTGGACCCGTGACCATCGTGTCCGGTTAGCTCAGCCTCTGCTCCTCCTGCTCGCCGCCACTTTGGTTTTCTGCCAAAATGATATTTCGCAGTGTTTTTCTTTGTTCTTCTCACCCGTATTTCATTTATAATATAGAAATAATAAGAAACAGAGCAACTTACAGAACACAGCTGGTCAGAAATCATTATTTTACTTTTTCCAAAGATCTTCATAGTTTGCTTGTTGCAGCCTTTTTATAAAAGGTCTTTCCATGCTGGGAATTTCTTCTACAGCCTCCATCCACTTTTTAACTCTACGGGGTTAAATGTGTGTGTGACGGCCTTTTTTTACCGCTGCCAACAGAATTTTAAAGAGTAAAGATCCTTCTTCTGAATCTCTGCCCCCTTTAAATGACTAAAATATAATGTCAGTGTTGTTCTTGGGGGGTGAACTCCAAGATCTTATCTATTTCTTTGGCAACATTTTCCCAAAATTGGGACAAATTGCAGCACAGCCAGAAGATCTTTGCAGGAGGGGGAGAGCGGAGGAGGACAGAATGTGTGCTTTAAAGACAGTGCTTCCTTTTTTATCCTCTGGAGAAATAAAAAACCCAACTAAACTTTTCCAACTTAAATTTTCCAATTCCTAGAACTAGTAGTGGGAACCTGCGATTTACAGATAGTGTCCCACATGTCCTCACTTATGTCTTCACCCATTTGTCCCTAATGGGACAGCGTTGAGGTTTTCCTGTTAACTATTAATTCTTTATGCAGCGTTCACTTTCAGCCGGGAGAACTGGGCTTTCCCCTTTTAGTCCCGTACCTGAAGGTACATGCAAAAATCTCTCTGCAGAGTTTGGAAAACTAAAATGTATTTCTTCTAATTTTCCTTAAAATTCCTCTTACCGTTATTTGTCATCATAGATTGTGCATGATCTATGTTACCCATTTCTATTTGTTTCCACTTTGTCATGTAGTGTGAATTTCTCCAAACTATTATAGCTGCGCTGCATAGAAATAGTTTTTTTAAATGAGGTTGAAAGTGTTTAAATGTAATTCTGCTTTTAGCGACATTCCAAATAAGCCTAGAGATATTTTTTTTTCCCAATCTATGGATTGTTGCTCTTTATTGACGCTGGTAAAGCCTGAAGATGTCCAGGATTCCAGGCAGCACATTCATCCCGATAGCTTCAGATCAAAGTTTTTTGGGCTTCAGTTGTTTCTGTGTTTTTCTGCGTCGGTTCATTAATCAGTGACCCGATCCATGAAGCGTCTCCTCTAACCTCTTCTTCTGTGGTATAAACCTCAGTGTTTTGTCCCCTCAGGTAAAAAACGTCGGCTGACGTTCATGGAGTGCAGCAGCGACATAAACACCATGATCGATCTTGCTAAGGTGGCAGACCTGGTGAGTGTTTAATGTTCAAGGAAGCAGGAAACCGGTAAAAAATAGGAAAGTCCCTTTAAGGTCAAACACATCAAACGTAAAGTGGAGGATTTTAGAAAAGACCCGCCCTCTCCAAAAAGGCCTTAAAGGGGAACACTGTTTTTTTTTTCTTTTACATTGGGCCCTTGATTTTACGTTATTCCATCATGTTCTACTCACCCATATTAGTTTTGTGTCATTTGGAGCCGTCCTGAAGATATTCCGTTAGGTTATATCCAAGTAACGTCTTCCTTTGGGCAACGACTTGAAGGCACAAACTAAACTGATCAGAATTTATTCTTTATGGTACGCCAGCATTCAGAACATGTAGGCCAATCACTGTCCCCCAGATATCCGCCGTTATATTTTTTATATTTATATATTTTTTAAACAAAGCGGCGCGTGTATGACGTCATCCGCGCGCCGGACTGGAGTAGTGACAGGCAGCTGAGGCCACAGGCGGCTACGCTCTACCCCTTCTATTTGTTCAGCTAGCTAATCTTAATCGTTCAATTCCATCTGGAGAGCGAGATCATCTGTGGTAGTAGCTCTAGACATCTTCCAGGCATGTGAGTAAAACTAGCAGCAGTTCAGCGGACAGGATGAATGAACGGTAGCCCGCGCACGCAGTTCATCATACGGCCCTTATTGCACGGGAATCAGCCCTGTTCTGTTCGTTCCCCCTTACTTAAAACAACGGAAAGTAGTCAGAGTCAAAACAGACACTTTGGTTAAACAGAAACGTTATGAATAAACCTTAAGAAAGAACCAGACTTGTTATGGGAATAGTTGCAAACGCTCCTCACTCAGACATTGCGCGGCCTTTCAGGTGAAACAGAGTAAAAACTGCATAAATAGCATACCTATATCTATGAAATAAGAGAAATCAGAGTTTTCTGTCCACAGTCATTAAAATTAAGGGTCCTTCTGTGGATGTATGTAAACGTAGACATATCAATGCCCCCTCAGACTGAAGCACGGTGGTGGCAGCGTCATGTTGAGGAGGGCTGATGTATTTTTGTGTTAAATGAATCTGATTATTAGAACCGAAATGTTTTCTTGCGTGGCTGTCAGGAATAAAGCGGGTGTTCTCCTTCCTGCAGGTGTTGATGCTAATCGACGCCAGCTTCGGCTTTGAGATGGAGACGTTCGAGTTCCTCAACATCTGCCAGGTTCACGGCTTCCCTCGGATCATGGGGGTCCTGACCCACCTGGATTCCTTCAAGAACAACAAGTCTCTGCGGAAGACAAAGAAAAACCTCAAACACCGTTTCTGGACGGAGGTTTACCAGGTGAGACGACCGTGGTTCTGACGGCGGGCCGTGGTTCTTTTTTTTTATTTTTTATAGTAATATCCATCTGTATATTATATTCGGTACATATCCAGCTGTAAATTTAGTTCATAACACTAGTGATCTATATATTATATTCATTATTTATCATAGTATTCATCTCTATACTCATTCAGTAGAAAAACCCATGTCCTGTATTTATAGAACCATTATTTATCCTGCACTTCTGGTTAGACCTAAACTGCATTTTGTTACCTTGTACCTGTACCTGTGTAATGACAATAAAGTTGAATGCTGGTCTGGGTCTTTCAGGGAGCCAAGCTGTTCTACCTGTCTGGGATGGTGTACGGCGAGTACCAGACGCAGGAGGTGAAGAATCTGGGCCGCTTCATCTCCGTCATGAAGTTCCGTCCTCTGGTGTGGCAGACCTCTCATCCTTATGTGCTGGCTGACCGGTGAGCGGCCGCGCTGGAAACTCACCTCCCCAGTTTGTTGTTTAATCCACAGCTGTAGCACAAAGGACTCGGCTTCCTACCGTTGATCTTCTAACCAGAGAGAAGAACAAGTTGGTCATTCTTATTGGTCCAAATCATTGAATGTAACCCTAGAAAGCCTCTAAAATAATTGTAGTTGAAGCCATTGATTGACAGGTTTTCTGACCTTTACTGAATTCGATCTGATTGGTGGAAAAAATCGGTTTCATATCAAAGTATCGGCCGATAGACCAGCCAACCGATTCTTCGGTTTCCTTTCATAAACACGCTGTCAGTCTGAACATCTCATCTTAGCATAATAACTTCAGTAGAGCTCATCTCCATCTGATCTCCACCCATCTGGGTTCTTCCTCGTCTCCCAGCATTTCCTCACAGGAGGAACAGCTGGACCGACTGGCACCAGTCCGTTTGTGTCGCATCAACCTCATCGGTTAAAGCAGCAGTTATGTTCACCAATGCTCATTTTTCTATTTCATTGAGTTTTCTGTATTTTTTTCCAGTATGGAGGATTTAACTGACCCTGAGAAGATCCGGACGGATCCCAAATGTGACCGGACTGTGTCGCTGTACGGCTACCTGAGGGGGGCGCATCTGAAAAACAAAGGCCAGGTCCACATCCCAGGTACACGCAGTGGAGCCGTAGCTCTGGCTGTTCTGGTTCCTGATTGGACCGTTCTAAACGGACCGGCACCAGTGAACCATGCTGTGCTACTGCTGGCATCCCTTGAACAGCTGACTTGTATTTCAAACGTGTTTCCTCTTTAGGGTGGGTTGCTGATTGCATCCAGTCATTGATTGGATGCAGAACCCGTCCAGTTTTTGACTTAGAGAAGGTTGCAGAGACGCAGCAACCAGGATAATTCTATTCAGTCTATTTCTAGAGCTCCTATTGAGAGACTATTCAACAAGATCATCCAGTCAAATTGAATCAAAGTTTTCTATCTAAGGAAAATCAGCTGATTACATCGACTCATTGACTCTTCAGCAATCCCTCACACTAAGCATGCTTGTAGCGACAGTGGAGAGGAAAAACTCCCTTTTAACAGGAAGAAACCTCCAGCAGAACCAGGCTCAGTGTGAGCGGCCATCTGCTGAGGCCGACTGGGGTTCAACGAGACAGAAGCAGACATAGAAAAAGAAGCATAGATACAAAAGGCAACTGTAAAGGCGGCCCCGTCCAGGAAACACACAGCCAGGCAGATGAGCTCCGAGCCAGCTCCCATGTCAGAGGATGAAGAGAGCACATCCAGTTAGTCACATTCAGAGAAACAGGACTACACTGAAAAACAGGCCAAGCTCCAACATCTAGAAACAAAGGTGTTGATGGCAGCAGCACAGCTGATATTTCTCTCCAGGATGGAGTCACAGCCAAACAGGAACAGACCAGATGAAGCTACTATGAGAAAAAGCAGAATCTGTCCTTAAATTACAACCAAACAAATTTCCACAGTAACAGTTAAAAATCTTTCAATAAATCAAACACTACCGCCACACATCTGACCCAATAACCATTAAAACAACTATTTTCATTTATTTTAGACGGAACTATTCACAGAGTGGATTATATTAAACTGCACTTCCAATATTCACCACTGTTCAGCGTTATTTCCCTTTTTCCTCTGAGCACGGAGCAGCCAGCTTGCTTGGACTCGCAAGGAATCCTGGGAAAACCAAGGATAGCGAGGATACATCAGACCTGTCCTTCAAAACGGGCTAAAAGAAGGACGACCTTTAAGCTTTTTACTGCTACCTAAAGAGCTGGAGTTAGAAATTTGGAATTTTAATCTTGCTAAGTTAATAGGACTGAAAAAGAGTGATTCTGCGATTTGAAAATTACACTTTATTTAATTGTGATTTTGTTGCAGCCCTACTGAGCTGTGGACTCTGCAGCAATCCTTTCCACTGAGCATGCATGAAGTGGCAGTGGGGAGGAAAATCTCCCTTCTAACAGGAAACCTCCAGCAGAACCAGAACCTCCATGTCCTGCTCTGTCATTCAGAGCATCTCCTCCACACCTGGCAGGAAACCAGCATTTGCACTGAAATGTTAGCTTAGGTAGCAGCTTGCTCTGTTCCCACCAGTTTCTGATTCCTGGTTGATGGGACAGGTGTTGTGAATGAAACGGTGTCCAGCTTGAAAGAGCTCCTGTGTGTCTCTGAATGTGAGCATTGATGACTGAAAGACATCTTCTGCCTCCATTTATCTGTTTACTACAGTGTGTTGAATTCATGTTAATGTGGATTTAAAGACATTTTAATTAGTGGAAAAAACTGCAAGAGGGAATATAAAAAAAAGTTATCAACCAAAACTTTGGTGACCACCATGCGGTACCTCCGTGGACCCCTAGGGGTCACGGACCCGCTGTTGAACACATCTGTTTTAGGGAAGCAGAACCGTGTTGATGAGTCTGAATGTCTGTGTTCATCAGGTGTTGGAGACTTCCAGGTGAGTGACGTGAACTTCCTGCCCGACCCATGTCCGCTGCCAGACGCTCAGAAGAAGAGGGCTCTGAACCAGAAGGAGCGTCTGCTTTACGCCCCCATGGCTGGCGTTGGAGGACTGGTTTATGACAAGGACGCCGTCTACATCGACCTGCCGGCCGGCCACGTCAACCAGCTGCAGGTACGGAGCGTTTCCACGGCTTGCCTACATGAGGCAGAGCGGCCTCTCACAGTGTTCCTCAATGTGTTGAAGGAGGAGCTGCGTCCCACCACCGAGCTGGTGCAGTCTCTGATCGACACGCACGCCACCCTGGACACCAAGATGGCCGCCAGTAAGGTGTCTTTGTTCAGTGGCTCGGCCACTCTGGATTCCGCAGGCATCAGCCAAGAGGCCAGGTCAGTTCTGATGCAGAAGGTGGAGCTCCACCTGTGTGGCGCCTCGGGAGATGATCCAGCCTGTGTTTGTTTGCAGGGAGGAGCAGGGCTTCCAGGAGGAAACGGTCTGGGATCCAAACACCCAAAGAGAGCGAAGGAAGGTGGTCTTCACTGAGGATGAGGACGACGACAGCGGCGGCAGTGACAGCGAGGACGACGACAGCGACGGCAGTGACCAGGCTGATGATGAAGACGAAGAGGAGCATCCGCAGGCGGCAGCAGACTGTAAAGAGAAGTCAGCAGGTGGCGCTCCACCGCAGAAGAAGCAGAAGGTGGAGGCAGAGGCGCTGAGGACAGGAAGCTCAGCCGAGATGCCAGCTTTTGCAGACAGCGAAGACGACCTGGAGATGAGCGAGGAGGAAGAGGAGGCGGGGTCACCTGGTGACTCTGGGCACAGTTCTGAAGATGAGGAGGAGGAGGAAGAAGAGGAGGAGAGTGAGGATAAAGGTGGTGCAGCTGTAGACCTGGAGAAGCAGGAGTCTGACGAAGAGGAGGAGGAAGAGCAGGGTATTTTCTTTTTCTTTATTGAATTAACTGATTTTTTTATCTTTTTTTATTTAAGTTTTTGCTTTGAGGCTTTAAAGAGACTTATTTACCTTTGAAGCGTAAAGATTTGGGATAAAAAAAGACAATTAAAAACAATGTTTTTCCTTTTTTGGAATGTCTATGACCTGGATGAGTGAGAATGTTTGGGACATTCTCCGGGTTTGTCTGCAGGAGGAGCTGATGACTTTAATCTGTCCGTTTTCATCCTCAGGGGCTCTTAGATGGAAGGAGGGCCTGCAGCAGAGGGCAGCCGAGGCGTTCCTACGGCAACAGGAAGCTGCTCCAAACCTCAGGAAGCTGGTCTATGGTTCAGGTATGCAGAAAGGTGGATGCACTGAAGCAGAGCCGGTTGCCTTAGCAACAAAGAACAGCTGCATTTGAACCATCTGAAGGATATTTCAAACCCAAGTTTGGTTCTTGTAGTTGTGGAGGCGAAGGAGGAGGAGGAGGATGAGGAGGAGGAGCTGGGCGGGCTGTTCAGAGTCAGCCGGCCTCAGAAAAGCAAAAAGGTCCAGGCCAACGCCCTGGACTGTTCCCGGTTCCAGCCCGACGCAGGACGCGACTGGGACGGCGAAGAGGTGAAGCTCCGCCCACTTCCACGGTCCTCTGGCTTCCTGATTGATCGGGGCTCTAATGAGAGGTTCTGTTTCAGATGCTGGACTCCATCAGGGATTGTTTCGTCACAGGGAAGTGGGAGGAAGGCCAGGATGCAGAAACTCTGCTGAAACAAGACGGTGAGTCCAGATTCTAGAGCAGCAACGTTTTATAGATCCATGGATCATCAGAAAAACGCATCACTGTTCCTCACTCAGTCAACCCTGATTCCAACAAATTAATCACCTTTCCTAAAAACGCCGCTTCATGGCGTCCCGATGGAGCGGGTCACTTCCTGTCTGTGGCCCGTTCTGGACCCGGTTCAGATCGACCAGGATAAAATCTGTTCTACAACCATCACCATGCTGATGAGAAGATGCTGAGTTTTAGGCGCCATCTTTGTTTTTCTCCATAGTTTCCTTTCCTGCCACTAAATTACTGTAACGATCATAAAAAGACGTCTTTCCTCTCTTTAGAGGAGCTGTATGGTGACTTTGAAGATCTGGAAACAGGAGAAGTCCACGTCAGCCACCCTGAGGTACGACATGCAGCGCAGCGATGTTTGGCTGAGCAGAGCTTTTAAAGAGGTGGTTCTGCTTCCTTTCAGAGGACAGTTAGAACTTGGATCCATGAAGGTCGATGTGTCATCCCTGCTGATCCGTTCACGTCTCTGATCAACTGTTTAATCTGCAGAATACAGAGAATCAGGCTGATGATGATGATGATGATGAAGAAGAGGAAGAGATCCAGGTGAAGGTGGATGATGAAGAGGCTCAGAAGAACAAACGTTTGGAGAAGAAGCGTCGGCTAAAGGAGCGCTTTGACGCCGAGTACGACGACGGCGGCGATGCTACGTACTTTGATGACCTGAAGGAGGAGATGCAGAAGCAGGCGGAGGTACAGGAAGTGCAGCAGTTGGAGCGTCTCCCAGCAGACGGCTCCCAGTTTCTGATGCCCCTCTGTCTCTCCTCTCGCTGCTCAGCTGAACAGGGCGGCGTTCGAGGACATGGATGACGAGAGCAGAGTTCAGTACGAAGGCTTCCGGCCGGGAATGTACGTCCGAGTGGAGATCTGCTCTTTGCCCTGCGAGTTTGTCACGAACTTTGACCCTCATTACCCCGTCATCCTGGGTGGACTGGGCTCCAGCGAAGGAAACGTGGGATACCTTCAGGTACGTCCATTAGAACATCCACTGACGTCTTTACTTCAGCATTGTTTCACGCATCCGTTGGGTTTATGTGATCGGATCCTGCAGGCAGATTCTCACATTATTGACACAGAAACTGGGCCTTAAAGATCAATAATCCGATTGGTGGATAAACTGGTGTCTAATATTTAGTTTCAAAACTAAGATCCATCAATTTCCATAACCGATAATAATGTGCATCGTTAGTTATTATAACAGCTGTGAAAGACAGCAGGAAATGCAAAGACAGTTTGGAGCCTGGATGCCATAAAGCAGGGCTAACCGATAAAAAGTCAGAATAAAGAAAATCATCAACCAGTAAAGGTCCGGAGACATTTTTAATTATAATCTGTTAGTTTAAACAGAATTAAACACTGAAATAAAAAGCAGTTTTTTATGTATCCATGTTATACATTGAACTTTTAACTAAAGATTTAATTTTTCCACTAGAGAACAACAATAGTTCAGTTTAGTATATAGAAAATTCCTGATTCCCATATTTTCTCAAACACCTGAACTGAGCGTTTATTATTTTTCTTTCTTTTTTCTGTCTTAATGTTGGCAGTGGGCTTTATGCTGCCCTGCAAGGCTTTAAACCTGGTTTGAATGGAGACTAAGCCGTTCTAAAGCTCATATCAAGGAGCTCATTATGAGCCTGGATCCATATTTATTTTTGATTCTGTTCATGGAGGAGAATCCTGCTTCACAGCAGCAGGTTGAGCCAAACATCCTCTAAATGTTCAGGGTCATCTTTGAGCACCATTTCACTTTTCTTTCACCAGTTCACCACAGTTCTTCCAGCAGTCCACACTTTCTCTGCTCTCTTTTTCTCATCATCTTCTCCTTCTTTCCCATCGCCCGGCTTACTGCAGGTTTGCCTGCTGTGTCTAAAAGTAGCAGCAGCAGCAACCCAGACTGAAAAAATCCACATCCGGCTGTTTCTTGGTCATAAGGAAATTATTTGTTGTTGTCTGGGTAACAAGCGGCTAAAAAAGCGTCATGATTATGACATGAAAATCAGCAGACACACTGAGCGAGAAACCTAACCCAAACTTATCTTTTAAAATCATCACTTTTTTTTAAATCTAATCTTACATTAAAGTTATTACTGGAATAAATCAGAAAAATAGAATAATATGGGGTAAATTTTGATCCTTTGTTGTTTCAAATAAAAACAAACCTTTTTGTAAACAGAAATAAACTTTGAGAATTACATTATTTATGTTTTTTAGAGTGAGTTCTGCAGATTTAGCTTTTTTCAAATTGCATCTTGTTTTCACTTCCCGCCCAATCCAAACAACAACAAGATAGTTCTTTCTAACGTTCAGCAGACCAATAGAAACGCGTCTTTGCTCCTCAGCTCAGAAAACATCCCGCCCCCCCAGGAGGGAAGAACGGGATCTGGGAAAACCATTGAACTCAATCTGATTAATAGAAAATTCAGGCATAGGGGGAAAAAAAATATTTAAAAACTAAAAAATAAAGGGGAAAAATAAGAGAAAAATATTATTATTTTTATTAAAAAAGATAAAGGAAACTTTCAATTTCTTTTAATTTTCCATTTACAAAACGTGTCCATCAATAATTGAGCAAAATTCACTCCATATAGCACTGTACTTGATGTGATATTTGGTTTAGGCGGCTTTATTAACATATCCCACCGTATTTTTCCACCCATGTTGAATACGAGGGGCGCTTAGTAAGTAATGCCCCTGACCCACTTCGAGGTGTTTGATCTAGCTGACATTTATTATGTTTCATTATTTATATCTCTATATATTAGGTGGTGAATTACGGCTCTGGTCTGATTGTGGTTTCTGATTGACAGGAGTCTGAACTGAGCCTGTTGAGCGTCGAGCAGCGATCCACACACCACAGGAGGCTTTAGGTACATGAAAGTTACTTCTGGTGATGATGCTGCATCATGTGACCTTACAAAAACCAGATCACTGCTCGACAATCAATAGGCTCCATTTCAGACGTGACTCAGTTCAGACTCCTGTCAATCAGAAACTACAATCAGTCCAGAGCCGTAATTTAACACCTAATATATAGAGATAGAAATAATGAAACATGATAAATGTCAGCTAGATCAAACACCTGGAAGTGGGTCAGGGGCATTACTTACTGAACAGCCCTCGTATTTTATTACCGTATTTTCACGACCATAAGGCGCACCATACTAAAAGGCGCAGTCTCAGTTATGTGTCCCATTTCTGTATTTAACACACACATAAGGCGCACCGGACTATAGGGCGCATTTTTTATATACAGGTACATGTCCTCTACTACCTTTAAATACCTCTACTGCGTATTTTAAAAATACAGCGGGCCCAAAACTGAGTATGACTGTGCTTTATTCATGTATTTATTACAAAGTATTATTCAAACCCATCAAAGTCATCATCCTCTGTTTCTGAATTAAACAGCTGCGCTAAATCAGACATGCCAATTTCCCCTTCTTCGCTGTCAGAGTCACTTTCCGTGCAGCGCAGCTCCCCAGAAATAATGCCGGCTTTTGCGAAAGCTTGAACAACAGAGCCAGCAGACACGTTAGTCCAAGCATCTACAATCCATCCGCAAACGGTGGCGTAACTTGCCCGGCGCTGCCTTCCACTTATCCTGAAACTGTGGTCTCCGTCTGTCATCCATCGCTCCCACGCCGCTCGCAGCCTTACTTTGAACGGCCTCTTCACACTGATGTGGAGCAGTTGAAGTTCCTTTGTCAGACCCCCCGGGATAACGGCGAGCACAGCGTTCATTTGATTCACCTTTTTTTTTTCACATCGGCTGTGAGATGGGCACGCAGCGATGGTGATGCGTGGAAAAAAGCACCTGGTCTCCTCACATACACCTGCCTTTCATCATCTCCAGCCTTTTTCATTTGCGTTAATGTCATCAGAGCGCTGTGTCTGTCTCGCTGTCAGCTCCCAGATCAGCTTCTCTGATTGGTTGATGCGGCGCGTCCAGCAGCAAAACTTAAATTTTTCCATCTTGAGCAGCAGCAGCGCGTTGGCGGTGCGTCAGATGCTTAAACGCTCCCGACGTGCTGCACCTGCAGCTCAAAACGCGCTCGGGACCTTTTGCTGCGCCTATACGCGCATCAACCATTGACTTTGCATGTAAACTCGCTGCTTCTGCTGCACCTGCTGGGTCCGGTTCACACCGATGTCGAGCGGTTGAACAGCGAGCACAGCGTTAATTTGTTTCCCCGTGTTTTTCACATCAGCTGTGAGATGGGCACGCATGGAGTCACAGATTAACAGCGATGGTGATGAGTGGAAAAAAAACACCTGGTCTCCTTACATTCAGCCACTCTTTCATCATCTCCTCAGGTGGTGGAGACTTTTGAGACCACCTGAGGTGGTCTCAAAAGTCGCAGTTACAACACACATAAGGCGCACCGCACCAAAGGGCGCACCGCACATTTTGAGGGGAAAAAAAGACGTTTAAGTGCGCCATATAGTCGTGAAAATACGGTAACTATATTTCCCTTCTGTCTCCTATTTCTGTTTTATTTCCAGTGTTTCCTCTTTCTGTGTTCCTGCCTCTAACCTTGAATTAAATTCCTGCTGATAGTTTCTCCTCTTTCTGTCCTGCTCTGAAAAAGGCCTCAGGTGTAAAACCCCGTGATGATCAGGATTTATTCCCTTTGATCATTGTAACCATGAATTGCAGCGTTCCTGCCGTTAACGACCTGCTGGTGTGTTTTTTAGATGCGGCTGAAGAAACACCGATGGTACAACCGCATCCTGAAGACGAAGGATCCCCTCATCTTCTCCCTCGGCTGGCGTCGCTTCCAGACCATCCCCCTGTATCACATCGAGGATCACAACGGCCGCCACCGCCTGCTCAAGTACACGCCGCAGCACATGCACTGCGGCGCCTCCATCTGGGGTGAGGCTGATGTAATACGAACTTCTCAGACTGTTCCTTCAGCGTTCGCTGGATGGACGGTTAGGAGTCTATCCAGGGTAGGAAAGGAGCTAGGGGCTGCTGAGGCTAATCTGAAGTAGGGCTGAAACAATTGATCAGATTAATCGATTTCTGAAATAGTTTGCGAAGATTTTCAGTCATCCTGGTCAAATTCATTCCGAAAAAGTTAACGGAAGTTTTCAGGACTCTCACTGGGGTCTAACTGGTTCAGTAAATAAAACGAGATCAGTTTGACCCCAAACCGTTGATAGCTTTCCTTTTTTCTTGACGTTTGCTTCATTATTGTTAAAATGCTAATTAGTTTAAGCATAAAGATTTAACTCATTAAAGCTTAAAGGTCGTGGCCCGTTGTGTTAAATAAAACTGAATGGAATTCTTGGTCAGCAGGTCAGTTTAAATTTAACTCTGATGCCAGCTGATTGCCTGTAGAAATCTGGAGTCCGGAGCAGAAGCCATGTTTTTAAATTCCCACTTTCTCTGATGTTTTGTGGTGCCATGTCCTCTGCTGCTGGTCGTCCACCATGTTTCCTCAGGTCCAAGGTCAACGCAGCCTCCAGCAGGAGCTCTAGATGCTTCCTGCTGAGCAGAAAGGATCAAGGTTTCCCTGTTCTTAAACGGCCATGAGTAGATCCCTATTGGCATGGAAATGCTTTTAGACCTCCAGGAGGAGCCGAGGGAAATTTCCCTGTTTTACCTGATTTACTGATCCAATATTGTTCAACGTCCAAACCAGCTTTAATGAAATGTTCTTCTCTGTTTGTCCTCTCCAAGGTCCGATCACCCCACAGGGTTCAGGTTTCCTGGCTGTGCAGTCGGTGGCAGGAATGAAAGTAAGCAGTAATCCTCTGAGATTCAACTAGAAACTAACCTCTGGGATTAAATTAGAAACTAACCTCTGGGATTAAACTAGAAACTAACCTCTGAGATTCAACTAGAAACTAACCTCTGGGATTAAATTAGAAACTAACCTCTGGGATTAAACTAGAAACTAACCTCTGAGATTAAACTAGAAACTAACCTCTGGGATCAAACTAGAAACTAAACCTCTGAGGTTTAAACTAGAAACTAAACCTCTGAGGATTAAAATAGAAACTAAACCTCTGAGGATTAAACTAAAACTAAACCTCTGAGGATTAAACTAAAACTAAACCTCTGAGGATTAAACTAAAACTAAACCTCTGAGGATTAAACTAGAAACTAAACCTCTGGAGATTAAACTAGAAACTAAACCTCTGAGGATTAAACTAGAAACTAAACCTCTGAGGATTAAACTAGAAACTAAACCACTGAGGATTAAACTAGAAACTAAACCACTGAGGTTTAAACTAGAAACTAAACCTCTGAGGTTTAAACTAGAAACTAAACCTCTGAGGATTAAACTAGAAACTAAACCTCTGGAGATTAAACTAGAAACTAAACCACTGAGGATTAAACTAGAAACTAAACCACTGAGGATTAAACTAGAAACTAACCTCTGGGATCAAACTAGAAACTAAACCTCTGAGGTTTAAACTAGAAACTAAACCTCTGAGGTTTAAACTAGAAACTAAACCTCTGAGGATTAAAATAGAAACTAAACCTCTGAGGATTAAACTAAAACTAAACCTCTGAGGATTAAACTAAAACTAAACCTCTGAGGATTAAACTAAAACTAAACCTCTGAGGATTAAACTAGAAACTAAACCTCTGGAGATTAAACTAGAAACTAAACCTCTGAGGATTAAACTAGAAACTAAACCTCTGAGGATTAAACTAGAAACTAAACCACTGAGGATTAAACTAGAAACTAAACCACTGAGGTTTAAACTAGAAACTAAACCTCTGAGGTTTAAACTAGAAACTAAACCTCTGAGGATTAAACTAGAAACTAAACCTCTGGAGATTAAACTAGAAACTAAACCACTGAGGATTAAACTAGAAACTAAACCACTGAGGATTAAACTAGAAACTAAACCTCTGGAGATTAAACTAGAAACTAAACCTCTGGAGATTAAACTAGAAACTAAACCTCTGAGGATTAAACTAGAAACTAAACCTCTGGAGATTAAACTAGAAACTAAACCTCTGAGGATTAAACTAGAAACTAAACCTCTGGAGATTAAACTAGAAACTAAACCTCTGAGGATTAAACTAGAAACTAAACCTCTGGAGATTAAACTAGCAACTCGTCCAGATCTTCTGTAACTTTCCAGGGTTTAACCAGTCAGAGTTCTATTATCTGGTCTTCATGGTCTGTCCGTCTTCTCTCTGCAGTCCAGCTTCCGTATCGCGGCCACTGGAGTGGTTCTGGATCTGGATAAGTCGGTGACCATAGTGAAGAAGCTGAAGCTGATCGGATATCCCTTCAAGATCTTTAAGAACACCTGCTTCGTTAAGGTGGGGGACGTGCCGCTTCCTCCCAGACGGCGGCTCTGCAGGCGGCTGCTCAGTGTCTAAGGTTCTGATTGTGTTCCTCAGGGGATGTTCAACACGGTTCTGGAGGTGGCCAAGTTTGAGGGGGCCTCTGTGAGGACGGTGTCGGGCATCAGGGGTCAGATCAAGAAGGCTCTGTCTTCCCCAGCGGGAGCCTTCAGAGCCACGTTTGAGGACCGGCTGCTCATGAGCGGTTAGTTTTTTCCTGCATGTTCCCCGTCAGCATCTTCAGAATCCTGGAGGAGGAGAGTGAACGTCAACTCGTTTTGGTTTTGCAGACATCGTGTTCCTTCGCTCCTGGTACCCGGTGTCGGTTCCTCAGCTCTACAACCCAGTCACCTCCCTGCTGCTGCCTGCTGGTGAGAAGGACAGCTGGTCAGGCATGAGAACCCTGGGAGAGCTCAAACACGACCTGGGCATCCGGAACAAACCCAACCCAGACTCTCTGTACAAGGTAGCACCCACTGAACCTGCAGACACCTCACCTTCCACACAGGAGGAAACATGAGTCCTAAGATCAAACCTTCAGGGATCGGATCCCTGAGCCGCATTAGGATAACCTCCATCACGCCGGCTGATCCAAACCTCCAGTCTGAGTCTGGATTATAGGAACGATTTCCTCTGGCTGGTGAATGGGACAAGCAGATTTAACAGCTAGATATTCATCACTGATGTCTGCAAAGCAATGTCTCGGTCCGACATGAATATTTGAAATCAGTCTGTTAGCCAAAAAAATCAATTTGGGCCTGAATCTGAAACCTGTGATCTGAACAAGCGATAGAAAGAGCAGCTTCTGGAACACGTTGGTCAGTAGTTAAAGGACCGGTTGTTCTCATTCCTGTTGGTGTTAACCTGTTTGGGTTATATCACGTGACGAAGCCTCTTCCAGTATAAAATAAGCAGGGCTTGAAGGTTTTCATGATCAAGCTGCAGCCAAGATGGCAGTGAGGGCAGGGAATAGCGGCTTGGAAACGTTAGCAACACTTGGCGGAGGCAACGTTTGTGAATCCTGGAGGAACCGTCTTAACCGACAAAGACTTAAAAAATAATGGGGCTAGAGATGGATGGAAGAAGTTGGCCGTGACACTCGGTAGCTTTCCTGTACAACCAATACCCAGTTTTAGTCCGTGAGGCGGACACTCTGTCTACTTTTAAAGCTGGGCATACACTCTGCGATATTTCCAATCGTTGCGCACAGCTACACCTCAAACTGTACAACAATCCACAGGGTTTAAAAGTTCGCAGCTCATGATGTTTGTTCTCACACTGTGCGACCCGAAGCTCTGATGCGAGCTTACGTCGGCCGACTGAATTTCAAATTTGTTTGATTTTCTCCTGACCTTAAGATTCCTAAAGGGTGGTCGTTAGAGGCTGATCGTCCCTCGGTACCCCCCTGTACACTACACCACACAGGAAGAGGTTGAAACTCGGACCGATATAATAATTCTCACACGACTGGAAAATCGACCCGAAAAGAGCAAAATATCGTACAGTGTATGTCCAGCTTAAGGCAAGGCTTAAAACTTCCCCCTCTGATAAAGCTTATAGTTACCGTATTTTCACGACCATAAGGCACACCGTACTAAAAGGCGCAGTCTCAGTTATGTGTTCCATTACTGTATCTAACACACACATAAGGCGCACCGGACTATAGGGCGCGGGTTTTATATACAGGTACATGTCCTCTACTACGTTTAAATACCTCTACTGCGTATTTATAAATATAGCAGGAGCAAAACTGAGTATGATTGTGCTTTATTCATGTATTTATTACAAAGTATTAATCAAACCCATCAAAGTCATCATCCTCTGTTTCTGAATTAAACAGCTGCGCTAAATCAGACATGCCAGTTTCCCCTTCTTCGCTGTCAGTCACTTTCCGTGCAGCGCGGCTCCTCAGAAATAATGCCGGCTTTTGCGAAAGCTTGAACAACAGAGCCAACAGACACTTTAGTCCAAGCATCTACAATCCATCCGCAAACGGTGGCGTAACTTGCCCGGCGCTGCCTTCCACTTTTCGTGAAACTGTGGTCTCTGTCTGTCATCCATCGCTCCCACGCCGCTGGCAGCCTTACTTTGAACGGCCGCTTCATACCGATGTCGAGCGGTTGAAGCTCCTTTGTCAGACCCCCCGGGATAACGGCGAGCACAGCGTTCATTTGTTTCACCTTGTTTTTCACATCGGCTGTGAGATGGGCACGCAGCGATGGTGATGCGTGGAAAAAACCACCTGGTCTCCTCACATACACCTCCCTCAGCCACGCTTTCATCATCTCCTCATCCATCCAGCCTTTTTTATTTGCCTTAATAACGTCTCCAGCTGGAAAAGTCTCTTTAGCCAAAGTCTTTCTTTTAAAAATCTCCATAGGCAGCAGTTTCTGTCCATTTGCGTGGCAGCCAAGCACAACAGTAAACGGCGCCTTTTCATACCCCGTTGTGTGTATCGCTACCGTGCTGGTCCCCTTCTTCTCCACCGTGTGATTCACCGGGATGTCGAAAGTGAGCGGCACCTCGTCCATGTTGGCTGGATGCGTTTGTCAGCGATGTGTTTGCTGCAGTTGGAGTGAAAGCTCGACAGCTTTTCATTATAATCCGCCGGACGTTGCTGAGCAACTGTAGTCCTGGTCCGGATGGAAAAATTGCACTTATAGGCATGTCTCTTTGCCATTTTCAGGGTTGTTATGACAACAATGTTCTGCATAAAGCACATACCTGTTCTTTTTTACACAATCCACGCCCACACTTCCCACTTTAACGTTCTCATGATGGTCTCAACAACGTCCGCAGTAACACTTCTCCCTTTAACACATAGGGCGCGCCGCACATTTTATATGCGCCTTATAGTCATGAAAATACGGTAAGAACAGAGTGATGTGTGCTTAGTCGCTGGATAAGTAGAGACATAGGTGTATGTAAAACGAGAACAGCCCAATCCGGCAGGGTTAGAATCTCAGTCCAGATAGACGTTTCTCCTTGGCTATATACCTTTTTTTTTTTATACCTCATCCAAAACACTTAGTTTATCTTGCGCTATTTCCTCCATTTGTGCTGCTATAGGCTTGGACTGCTGGAGGACATAGGGACCCCTATTTCATCGTTCTGCTTCATTCTTTCTCTATTCTCCCACTCTGCAGAATCTGTTAGTTCAATCTCTAACGTTCTGCTCTCTCTGCTTTTTTCTCATAGTAGCTTCATCTGGTCTGTTCCTGTTTGGCTGTGACTCCATCCTGGAGAGAAATATCAGCTGTGCTGCTGCCATCAACACATTTGTTTCTAGATGTTGGCGAATCGGCCTGTTTTTCAGTGTAGTCCTGTTTCTCTGACTGTGACTAACTGGATGTTCTCTCTTCATCCTCTGACATGGGAGCTGGCTCGGAGCTCGTCTGCCTGGCTGTGTGTTTCCTGGACGGGGCCGCCTGTGGAGCTGGTTGACGGCTGCCTTTTGTATCTATGCTTCTTTTTCTATGCCTGCTTCTGTCTCCTTGAACCCCAGTCGGCCTCAGCAGATGGCCGCTCACACTGAGCCTGGTTCTGCTGGAGGTTTCTTCCTGTTCAAAAGGAGTTTTTCTTCTCCACTGTCGCTACAAGCATGCTTAGTGTGAGGGATTGACATGTGAATTGCAGCTATAGAAATAAACTGAATAGAATTGACCAATAAACACTTATTCCAGATATTTGTAACTGTATTGTTGCTGTAATGCGTCTCGTTTCAGCCGATAGTCCGAGCAAAGAGGCACTTCAACCCGCTTCACATCCCCAAGGAGCTGCAGAAGGCGCTCCCCTTCAAGAGCAAGCCCAAACAGCAGCAGCCCAAAGGGAAGACGCCCAGAGACCTGCAGAGGCCCAGCGTGATCAGGGAGCCCCAGGAGAGGAAGGTAAGCCTGGTCCCAGTCTTTCTCACAAAGACCAGCACCTCCTGGCTGCCTGTGGAGGAAACGGGCGTGTTATACAGAAATCAACCAAATCCTGATCACATTGGCTCTTCTAGAGTTAAATCTAGTTACAGTGGAGCTATAAAGAGGGACATCTAGGCTGCTGCTCCTGAAGATGTTCAGATATTTACCCATTCAGATGTAAAAAGTAGCTTTTTTGTGGTAGCTTACGCCACCTGCTGGGATGAATGGATAACTGAATCTGACAATAATCCACATATAGCGTCGGATGAAGTGTATGTATGGGGTGAGCTTTGCTCCATTATTTTTACAAGAAAAGAACATGTTATTAAATAGAAAGCAGAAAAAATTTACAAATGTTTTAAATAGAAATGTATATATATATATATATTGAAATTGAATAAAAAAGTAAACATGCTGTAAAAAAAATTTTTTTTAAAGGAAAATTTGAAAAAAAAAAAAGTTTTGTAAAACTTGTGAAAACCTTTGTAAAGTTTCGTATCTGGATGGAAATTTTTTTTTCATATCTTACAAAATATGCTCTTTGCTGCAACAATAATGGAGTAAATTTCACTCCATACAGAGCTCAGAATTTTCAGCAGGGATTTTTCAATCATCAGTTCATCTAAAAGCATTTTATTGAGATCTGATCTTTGTTCTGGTGTCGGAAGCTGACAGTTTCCTTCCGCTCCCATAGGTGGCAGCACTGCTTCAAGCTCTGAGCACGGTTCACAATCACAAGAGGAAGAAGGCCCATACGGCGCAGCACGCCAAACACAAAGAGTTCCTGCAGCAGAAGGAGAAGGAAGAGGAGGCCAAGCTGAAGAGGCAGAGGGAGGCGAAGAAGAAACTGTACCGAGTGATGGGTCAGATGGACCAGAAGAAGCAGCGGTCCAGCCTGAAGGGGGCAGCAAAGGACGACTAGTGACCTGGAACCAGACTCGTCTGTGGAGACTCTGTAGACCTGCAGCAGGAAGTTCAGCAGCTCTGACCGCTGGGATTTAATCCCTGCTGACATAATCTGACAGTTGCAGATTATCGTCTCTGCTTTGATTCATGTAGTAAAGAAAGTTCTTCTTTTTTGGAGGATTATGGTGCGCCGTTCTGCACCAACTTTGGACGTCTTGACATCTTGAGCCTGAACTTCGGTGCCGTTATGGAAGCAGGTCGACTTGTTCTGCCTCTACTGCAGGTCTGGACTAGGAGAGGAAGCTAGCAGGGCAGAATGTCGCAGACGGCATCCATCAACGCCTCAGGTCCTACTGTGGGAGTCATACCGGCTCTGAGTGAGCCAATCAGTGAGCGGGGTTGAGATAAGAGCTGTGTAGAGGTCAGAGGTCATCGGTTCTGTTAGCAGATCAGTAGAGAAACCGAGCCTCTTTATCTGAGCTGATTAAAGCTGCTCCACTGACCCACAGAGAGAAAATAGGAGATATTATCTGGAAAATGGGATTAAATTCCTGTTCTGGTTGGGAATGGATGGGACTGATCAAAGGTTCCAGTTCATCCAGAAAGACTCACAGCTCTGAACTCTGCCATGTTTGGTTCCCTCTTAACAGTTAAACTGATTTTACAGGAACTTCCTCATCATAGAAATGTATCACCAATATGAACCTAATAAAATGTTCCCACCCTATGGTTGATAATCAGCTCTCCCACCTTCAGCCAGTTCGGACGCTCTTTGCAGAACATCTCAGCTCCACCAGGTTGGATGGAACACGCATGAGCAGCGTTTCCTGATGTTCAGTCTACACACTAGCAGGGGTGGATTTAGGAAATGTGGGGCCCTAGGCAAAGACAGGCAGGGGCCCCTCTGAATGGAGAACACATAAAGCAGACCCATTCTACAGATAGAGAAATGTTAATAGAATAGACATCCATCATCTGTTCTAGGTTGTGTCCCTCTCTTCTTGTCCCTTTTCTTGTTGTTTTCCTCTCTATGTTTTGTACTCAGCTGACTTTTCATGCTGTCTCTAAAGCAGTGGTTCTCAAACTTTTTCTGTCATTCCCCACTTTGGACAAGGGGGGATTTTCAAGCCCCGCCTGTCCCCATCGCCCCAACACAATGCTTATGAAATATGCAACAATCTTAAAATGTTCCAATTTTATTGAAGTAACAAGTAGTATCTAAATACAAACTATCTACATCAAATAACAGCAAGCTCAAAAATAAAGAAAACAAAAATGCAGCTGTGTCAAAATTTGTATTAAGCTCAAAGATAGAAAAAAATTAAAGTGCCAATCTGCAATCTGTTAAAAAAAGAAAAGAAGTGAAATCCATCTGGCAAGACAGGTCTATTTATCCCTGCATTAGTGGCTGCAATTAGCCTGTTTCGCATTGCACAGTTTCTCAAAACGGAGTTGCAGGCTTGATACTGCCACTCTCAGGTCATGCTCAATGTTCAGCTGAGATCTGTATTTTGTTTTCAGTGAAGCAACAGCTGAAAAGCCCATCTCACAGAGATATGATGTGGCAAAGGGAAGAAGAATGCACACAGCTCTCTGCCCGATGAGGGGATACTCCCTCTCCACTCCAAACCAGAATTCACTATGAGTCTGAGCATTAAACCTGAGCCTCAGGGTGGAGTCAGACATCATGTCAATAAACTGGTCCTCCTCAGCAGACCTAAAATCAGCAGGTGCTGCAGACAGAATAGAAAAAAATAGACTTACTTTATTTTTCAATGCATAATAAACACAAAGAAATCAGTTTGACAACAATCCATTCCAGCTAGTAGCATACAACAGAAATAAATTAATGTATAATATATGAGTATAATATTCAATAAAATGTCAAAATACCAACCTGCTGCATTGAATGGATCCATAATAACCCAGGCATACTGAGCACTGTTGTTTGGGAATTATTTTTGAAACAATCCACTCAGGGAAGAGAGGTGCTGCTTAATACATGGGATCACTGTGGTGGCTCCAATAAGATAAAAATTGGATAAGATAAAATATTTCAAATTCAGTTATTTATGATCAACCTGCGCCGTCAATCCCGGCGCATGTGCGCTTTATTTGCAGTCTGCGTGCTGTGTCTCTGACTGCAGCGCTGAGAGGGACTCCTGCAATAGCGGGGGAGAACGGGGTGGGGACAGAGGAGGCGCCCCACGGCAGCACCTGACGCTGGAGGACAAGAAAAGGAACGAGACGTGCTTTCCCGTAAGAGTCTCCAAAAGTCCCTCGATTTGTCGCTAGTCGCTTTTTTGATAAAGAGTCGCTGGAGGGGTCTGAAATATAGCGACAAAGTCGCTGAGTTGGCAACACTGGGGCGCGAAAGTTTATTCCGTTACAAATAATATGCTGACGTCACGTCAATCATTATTTTGGCACTTCAGTTCCAGGTGAAATTTTTCTCATATCTAATGTTCTTTTAATTAGACTGCATGTAGACTAGTAATGATTACTTTGTGGGTTTGATTGGTCTAAAAAGCGGCAACATACAGCTATAAGGACAGTTTGCTCTCACACGTTCTACATTTATAGTCACACACACACACACACCGGAACTTGGCGCGCCCCACCTGTCACGTCTCAATTCCCCACCAGTGGGTCGCGCCACACACTTTGAGAACCGCGGCTCTAAAGGAATGAAAGATTTTTTCCAAGCACTAAGCTCACTTAGCTGATTGCTCCTTCCTGTGTTTCCAAAAAGGCCAAAGTAAATAACCCAGTCCTTCTTTTCACTGTAGACAAGCCATGATCTGCTTCTCTGTTCTCCATTTTTCATTTGCATGAAATAATAGCTGCATGAATCATGACAGCAGACAAGATAGAGGAGAGCAGGAGGCGGGGTTACCAATCTACTTGCTCTGGAGAGCAGAGTTCGCTGCTTTTAGATGTTGTCTCCAAAGTCTCCAGTAGCTGGAAAAAAAAGATGCCAAATATATCTAAAGCGTTAAGTTAGCAACACTGCTCTTTGCATCGTTTGTTTTTAAATGGTTTGCTGCTGCCTGTTTGGACCTTTCTGAACATGTGCAGCAAATGGACTGATCCAATATGGTGGACGCTGAAGGGGGAGCTGAGACACACTTAATATTATCAGTGTTCTGATGGCATAAAAACCAAAGGATTTTTATCAGAAACATAATGTGCAGAAATAAGGGATAGCTGTATTAACGATACATGGAAACAGAGTTTTATGGGGCCCCCAGGAACTTGGGGCCGTAGGACTGGGCAACTTCCCAATATTGCCTAATGGTAAATCTCCCCCTGTATGCTATTAGCTAGTGCGTAGTTTTGAACAAAATCACTTTGTTCCTGTAATCGGTGACAGAGATGCATCTCATTCGGAAGCTATACACCATTTCTTTGTATAATGTTTAAATATTAAACGTTTGGGAAAAATTTCTAGATCTATAAAGATTGCTATCTTTTTTATTGCTACCAGTGGTTCTAATAACTTCCTGGATGATTCCTGGAACTCTGTGGAATCCTTTTTATATTAATAAATGATTTAGTTTTTCTTACCTATTGGGGAAAAAAGGATTATTATACAGTAATTATCAGCGGGACCTTTGAAAAAACATCAGCCCCACCATCAACATTACTACTAATACAACAGTTTTATCAAATGAGTGTTTTAAATAAACCAGGAGTCTACAAAGTTTTCCAGGCCAAGGACCCCAAATTGATGGTGAGATGGAGCACAGACTCCCTAATTATATATATTATATGAAATAGTGTTCTATCAAACTGGTCCTATAGTCCCTCTATTGCAGATGGAGTAATGTAACTAAAGTAATTTCTCCCTGGGATTATTAAAGTATTTCTGATTCCTGGTTGATGGGACAGGTGTTGTGAATGAAACGGTGCCCAGCTTGAAAGAGCTCCTGTGTGTCGCTGAATGTGTGCCTTGATGACTGAAAGACATATTCTGCCTCCATTTATCTGTTTACTACAGTGTGTTGAATTCATGTTAATGTCGATTTAAAGATATTTCAATTAGTGGAAAAAACTGCAGGTAAGAACTTTAAAAAAAGCTCTAATCAACCAAAACTTTTGTGACCCCCATGCAGTACCTAGGACCCCCTAGGGGTCACGGACCCCCTGTTGAAGACCTCCGAAATGAAATAGAACAGCCTAAAGTTGATAAACAATTTTTTTTTTTTTACAGTGTAGCATCAATCGAAACACGGTACATGATATATAAAAAGGTCTCCTGGACGGATCATATCATATATGGTTTATTACTCATTTTGCTAAGAAGGGATCACTATATTCATAAATATATGTATATATGTGTATATATATATATGTATATATACATACACATGCATATACGTGTGTATATATATATATATATATATACATACGTGTGTGTGTGTGTTTGTATATATATATATATCCAGTCCATGCTGGGACTATGTATATTGTAAATAATCCCATTTTTAAAACCATTAATCCCTGTTTATCCTCAGATTCTGGAAGGAGCCTTGAAGCCGAACAGCTGAGCGTTTTGTTGCATCAGCAGCTAATCTTTAAAGATAATGTGCTGTTAGCGATGATGACCTGTTCAAACAAGGTTTCGCCCTTCAGGAACACCTCGCTGTGATTGGTCAGCTTCAATGGCCTGACCCAGGCTCTGCCCACTTTCCACATTGACTCTACTGATAAAAAAAAAAAAACCCAAAGTGGCTTCAGCTGCTTTTATGTGATCCTTCAGTGAAGGATGCAGCTCTACCTTCATCAATTAAACAGGAATTGTCTTTAATTATCAGTTTCATACATGAAAGGAAATATACTTTGCATTTACTAAAGAGATTGTTTTAAATCTGTATATGGATGTTTTACACACACACACACACCTGAGGATTTAGAGAAGCCAATTCAACTAACAGTTACATTTTGGACTGTGGGAGGAAGCCGGAGTACCCAGAGAGAACCCACACATGCTCAGGGAGAACATGCAAACTCCAAAGACCGTGGGTCGGGAATCAAACCCAGAACCTTCTTGCTGCAAGGCGGCAGTGCTAACTTACTGTATGCACCACCAAAATACATTTCTTCACAGTCAAAGTAATACATATATGGAAGTATATGGAATTCTATAATTCATTGCTAGACATCCAGAATATTTCTTCTAGATGTGAAGAATGTCATTTTGTTTAAAAAAACTTCATTTTGACAAAGAAAAAATGTTATTTCAGATACCAGAAATACCTATCAGACAAACTCATAAATATCAAAACGGCTTGCCATAGTGGCTGAGATTGCATGACAACATTACAGAGTTTATTTCTTGGATGGTAGTGGATCAATGTATGTATTTAGGGGAAATCTCCAGTCAGCAGGTGAAAATAAAGATTAAAAACGTTGATCTAACAGGAAGGACCTGTTCATCATCTCATGGGTTCCTCCTCATGTTGATCCTGTCTTCCAGGAAATACTCAGTGTCTGTCTGACTGAGCAGGTGTTTTCTATGATGCTATGTTCTCTCCCTGATATAATCCAGCTGACGGATCAGGTCTGGATGTCTGATGGATTACGGGGTGAAACGGTAGAGCTGATAAAGAGAACTTCCTGAATACAAAGGACATCTAGATGCACTCTGACAATCGTCTCTATAAATTTTACATTTCCTGTGAATTAATGCCGATCATTCTTTGATTGGATCCTCATCTAAAGGATGTGATATGTCTGTATCACCCAATGTCTCTAATGAACATAGTTAATCATTTCCTTTTTATTGTTTATGCAAAACTACGAGTGAATGAGCAAAATGGAAATATAGACATATGTTGATATAGACAGATTTATTTGTCAATTTGTTTACACAAGTGTAAAACAAGAAAATTTCGTTTGGAACCGCTCTCTGGACAATTCTTTTTTTTTTTTTTAAGGAGGAAAAGGAAAGGAGGTGCAGCTTTAATGCTAAATAAGCAAAATGGAAAGGAGGCTCAGCTTTTAGCTCCTAAAGGAGGGACATCCCTCTATCTCCCCTCTTTAAAGAAAATATAAACAATATTTTCGTTGTAAGAAAAACTGATAGAGAACGAACATATATTTTGTTTCAGCAATTAACACTTTGCTGTAAACTGATTTTAATTAAAGGAGAAAGTTGTACAAAAAGTTGCTTTTTAGTTTTTTCTTTAAAGTAGCTAAACAATAAAACTGCATCTTTAATTAGTTTCTAATTGAGCATATTGTTCATAAAGCAGTAAAGAAATTAAGGAACCAACTGATTCGTTTCTATTTATTTATCTTAATGCTTAAAGTTGAGAATCAATCCAGAAACTCGGATTCAAGCAGATCCGTTAAATTTCCACAGTTTATTGAGCAGCACTGGTTTTGTCTGCATGTAGAACTGGACTGATTGCTGCCATGTGACGACCTAAATCAGGGGCCACACAACATGAGGCCCTAAGGACCACATGGGGGCCCGAAGCACCTTCTGAAAACAGAACAACTCACCAATGGGCTAAGTTTGAAAGTAGTGCTCCACTTTCTCAATCATTTAAAAAAGAATTTAGTTTTGTTTATCATATAGAGCAGTTCATCTTTAAAGACATTTCTAAATGAAAATATCTAAAAGAAAATTAGCAATTAAAAGAAACAAAAAAGTAAAAAAAACAATCCACTGGACTTTGTTTCCAAGTTTGAAGACGTTTCTCTTCCCATCCAGGAAGCTTTTTCAATTCAATATGTAAGAAATATATTTTAAAAAAAAATTCCATTTTAAAATCTAACGTGTATTTTGAAGTATTTTGAGGCACACTTAATATTAAAAGTGTTCTGATGGCATTTTAGCCAAAGGATTTTTATCAAAAACATAATTAATGTGCACAAATAAGAAATAGTTGTATTAACCATACATGGAAACAGAGTTTTATGGGGCCCTCAGGAAATTGGGGTAAATCCCCCCTGGCTGGGTTGATAGATAATTAGCTGTAGCAGCAGGAAGAAGCCATCCATCCATTTTCAAACACACTTATCCCTGCTGGGGTCCCGAGGGGAGTTGGTGCCTATCTCCAGCTGTCGATGGGTGAGAGGCGGGGTCCACCCTGGACAGGTTGCCAGTCCATCGCAGGGCAACACCCAAACAACCATTAACACACACCTAAGGGGACTTTAGAGAAGCCAATTAACCTGGAGAACCCACGCATGCTCAGGGAGAACATGCAAACTCCCTGCAGAAAGACCCAAGTGCGACCCACTGTTCCACTGCCTCTGGTGTGATGGACGAGGCAGGCCTGGACTGAACAGCTGCTCTGGCCATTAAAGGACAGACAGACTGATCTGATTAGTTTTGATGAAAAACATTAAATGTAATAGGATATGGAGGCCTGATTTTTTTTTTTTGAACAGGCATAAATGAGTCTTTTTTTCTGAGATTTGAGACAATTTAGGAAAGCAATATTAGTTTTATATAGATAAATTTTTCCTCACCATTCAGCCCAGCTTCTTCTCTCTGATCTCTGCTGCTGCTCCTCTCTGTATCTCTGGATGTTTTATGATGGATGGATCGCTTCCTGCTTCTATGGAAAGATGATGTTTTCAGTCGCCATTTTATTCTCATTGTCGTTTTATTTTATTGCATAATTATTTTATTCCAAATATGCATAAATATCCCAGTGGGGCCCCTTACAGGCGGGCCCCTGCTGGTTGAGGCCCCAGGCGGTTTCTATGATACATTTACTTTAGTAACTTTTAGATTAAGTGCATTTTACTTTTTTTCCTGAAGTAATATTTTGATGATGAGTGATGATTTATAGCTACTCTAACTTTGGTCAAATCCTTGGCTACTCTATGCACTGCAATTATATTCACTGAAAACAGAGGAAACACATTTAAACCTAAAATACAGCAGAAACAGGAGGAGTCTAAGTTTAACTTACATTAATCTTAATCTTAAAGTTGCCTTTATCTGCTCAGGCTCTTATGATGTGGAGCTTAAGGTAATATTCAGTAAAAACGAACATATTGTCAGTGGAGGTAGTTTACTCTCTTCCTTCTTGGATCCTTTAGGAAATCTTTTTATGTGTTATACGTCAAAAATTGATTTTCAGGAAGGGTTTCTTCTAGCTGAATAGTTTTTTCTATTTTTTATTTGCATTTATTACTTTCTTTCAGTCATTAAAAACAAAAGGAATTAGTACTTAACTTTTTATTGTGTTTTGTCTGATTTAGTTCATTTCTGTTAGTAAAACAGTAACTCGGTTCTTCAGCAGCCTTTTTACCAAACAGCTTTTTAATCAGTATCTAACTGGACGGCTGCATTTTCCTTTTACTTGAGTAAAAATATGTTGAAGTCGAGCTACTTTTAGTGGAGTACATTGTTTTTAATACTCTAACCACCTCTGCTCAGAGTTAAACTACAAACATTTCTGGATTAATTCTAATTCAGTCCCATTAAAATTACATCCACCAGATTAATTAGAGATTGAAATGTATTAGAATATCAACCTATAAACCCAAACTACTGACTTTTTCTAATAATATCACAGATCTAAACTTTATTCACTGGGAAAATCTGATGAAAATATTATTATTTACAAAAAAACAAAACACAACAAAACAACCAAAATCTAAAGAAAGCCACTTTGAAATCTTAATTTTGATTGGCATCTGGTTTAGCTGCTATTGCAACTAAGCCAAAACATTCTAGAATAATAATAAACCGACAGATATATTTCCAGAATGTGCCTCTAGAGATACAACAATTAGAATATTGCTGATGTTATGATCTATTATTCCGTGATTTCCCTCCATAATGTCATATTTCCTTTTATTTCTGTTTACATTGTGTTTAGATTTGGTGCTTTGGTAAAGACGGTGTATAAGGGAAGATCAAAGACGAAAAAAAAGAGTTTAAAGTGCTATATTTACGAGATCATAAAAATGCTAATTTTGAAGGGAACAAGCAAATGTCCGAGAATAAATAGGCAAATTTACTAGACAAAACTTTTATTATAGAGATGCAAATTTAGAAGGAAAATGTAGAACATTTACGACACTAAAATGTGCAAATTTAGATTATAAACATGCAAATATGTTGTATCATTAAGTTTTTCCATTAGGCCATTATAACGTCTCATTCCATTTCCCTAAATCCCCCTAATTAATGATTCATTTGCATGTTATGTAGCGTCGTTTAACGTGTTTTATAATCTCACATTGCTCCGCAAATTTACAAGTTTAAATCTCCTTTAAATCTACTTTCTTCTCTTAAATCTACGAGTTTTTTTTACTTATTTGCAATTTTTTCTCTCATATTTTTGTTTTAAATTTGTAAATTTACATGTTTATTCTCGTAAAAATGTGACTTTAAAGTCAAAAGTTAAACTCCAAATAGTTTTTTGGTCTTTAAATTACGGAAGAGGATTAGGGCGACTGAAAAAAAAAAGTTTACAGATTTTTACATTTATTTCAGTTTAGTATTGGAAAAAGTCAGAATTCCGACTTTTTTTTCTCAGAATTCCGACTTTTTTCTCAGAATTCTGACTTTTTTTTTTTATTGTCAGAATTCTGAGAAAAAGGTCGGAATTCTGAGAAAAAAAATTCGGAATTCTGAGAAAAAAAGTCGGAATTCTGATTTTTTTCCCATACTAAACTGAAATAAAATTAAAAAATCAGTTAACTGTTTTTTCCCCAGTGGCCCTAATCCTCATCCGTATTAAATAGCCCTACGTACTTTAGTAAAGTCATTTTGTGGAATTCATCAGACATGTTTGAACCAAATAAAAAGAAAACTCCCGCCATGCTTTTACTTTGAAGGGCTGTGAGGGGAAGCGGTAGGGGGGCACTTCCGGAGTGTGAGGAGGAAAACTTTGGGGGAGCAACATTCTCCTGCGGGTCTTCAGACGGACAGTAGGGCCGCTTCTTCGGCCTCCAGACTCCCGCATGGCTCCGACTAACGTCCGTTACCAGCTGCCTGCTGCCGCCGGTAAGTATTCATCCCCCCACCCGGTCTGCCACATGGTCCGCTGGGAGTGTGGGGGGGTAACAGGTCAGCTGAACATTTGTTGAATGTTCAGCTGACCTGTGATTGAATAAATCTGTATTTTCCCCTCAATCTAAGGAGTTAAACACGGTAATTGTCCTTCTCCTGAAAAATAAAGACAGTTATTTACTAGAAATAAAATATTAGAATTTGTTTAGTCTCTCTATGAGCATAGATCTTCTCCATCAATCAGTTGATTGTTAATTAGTTAATATTTTTACTGCTAAAATCAGAGGAAAATAGACTTTATTGTCTGAAAATAGTTGGTGTTTAGCAGTAAAGCTCCATGGATTAAACTGTTTTCATTTTATTCTCAATCTGTTGTTTTTCTATGCTAAATATTAAAATATGAATATTTTAATCTTTGAGAATAAATCTGGATTACTCGGTTCTTTAGTTGATCCTTATAGTAGGGATAGATTTCTCACCAGATGCTGAATCTGAGCCTCCGTTTGTTTGCAGATCTAATAAGTATGAGTGGATGTGTTGGATATCTGCTGGTTTTAGTTCTCACTGAGTTCCTTCTGTCCAGGCTGCGGCTCCGCGGTGGAGGCTGAGCTGCGAAGCTTGCTGCAGCAAAGGATCATGGTCCTAGATGGCGGAATGGGAACGATGATCCAGCTGGAGAAGCTGGAGGAGGAAGATTTCAGGGGAGAAGAGTTCAAAGATCATCCTCTACCTCTGAAGGGAAACAACGACCTCCTCAGCATCACACAGCCTCACATCATCTACAAAATACACCAGGTAGTGGATCCAGACGGATCAGAGCCGCTGAGCCTCAACAGGTCACTGAGGTGACTGGGATTCTTCTGCTGTGTGTTTGAAGGAGTATCTGCAGGCCGGCGCCGACATCATCGAGACCAACACCTTCAGCAGCACCTGCGTAGCCCAGGCGGATTACGGCCTGGAGCGCCTGGTAGGACCGCGGCTCACGCTATCAACACAAAGGTCACGCACTCACAGCGATGACTCATTAACCACAGATGAGCTCATTCTGAGAAACTCACCTGGATCTGATTCTGCAAAGCGCAGCTGAACGGCCGTCGGCCGCTGTGACCCGACGCTTATCTGACACTGAAAGCTGTCAGCTGGTTTCTGTTCTCATCACCAGAGAAATTAGCCTGAATTCATGGACAAACATGAAGGTGACCTCAGTCCTTCTAAAGCCCTGAACACACCGGCTGCTTCCCACTTTTAAATCTCTGATCCGATTTTTTTCCATATCCCACTGAGAGAGGCTCTGACTAGGCAGGATGAGCAGATTATTTTCCCTCCTGTGTCTCCGTTATTCACACATTAAAGGGGTCATAGAATGATTCTATAGGGTATCTGATGCTGGTACTTCAGGTCTCCTAATAGGGTGTGTAACATCGGTTGGGCTGAAAATGGCATATTTGCTGTTCTATGAGCCCAAAAACAAGCCTGGTTAAAGGACCTAAAATGAAACGACAGGCTTTCTTCCTTCTATGGTATGATCATGAATATTTAGATGAGCTGTGCACTGATTGGTTTGGTTTACAACGAGCCAAGCTGCTGAGCAAAGATGCATCATAGCAACAAGCTGCTGAGCAAAGATGCATCATAGCAACAAGCACTCACTCACTGAAACATCGAATTGTTGATATGGTAGGGTGACCAGACGTCCTCTTTTTACCAGACGTGTCCTACTTTTCACACCTAAAAAAATGTCCGAGGGGAATTTCAAAATCGTCTGGGATTTTGGTCGACTACTGTGCAAACACCACCCCCCCCACCCCCCACCCCCCCGCCAGCCGCTGCCACCGAAGGCAAGCGCCCTGCACCGTGTCCCATTCATACACACTTCATCGTTCTTCACCTTCACTAGACGTGGACATACTTTAGTGTTTTCTGCTGTAAAATTTGTCTAATATTTTCTTGTTTTACTGGTGGATTCAACCTATTTCGCAGGATGCACAGCTTTAGATGGTAACTAGGTGACTGTAAGAGAGTAAACCGAAACTTATTGGCTTATTTATATGACTAACTGGAATGATGTTGATCAGAGCATCGCTTTGGACAGATACGCTGCGCAGGTTTCACCAGCGACCTCCTCCTCACACCCCGCGCTCTTGTTGTCTGCTGAATCTCAGTAGTTCTAATCCACATGATGTATGCATTATTTTACTGCCCGCACGCCCTTACTGGCATTAAAAAAACACTACCTCGCATAGTCTAAAATCCGGGATCATTTATCAGACTCGCAGACATCCGGTATCAAATAAGGCAACATCCCAGAGTTTACGTCGACTCGGTGCTTCGTTTGGATTCACTGTTTTATGGTGGAAGTTTAGAATTGTGAGATTTGCAGAGAAAGGAGGTGTTGATGGGTTTGAACTTCTCTGTACGTCCATTTCATCCACTGAACTATCGTTATTCATCTATGACAATGGAAACTGCATTCTATCACCCCTTTAAAACTATTTCCCATATTTGACTGAAACTGATTTTGAAAAGTTTTTATAAACTTTATAAACACACATTTTATAAATTGGAGGTCTTCCACTAGGGGTCTGCGAGCCCCAGGGGGTCCACGAAGGTACTGCATGGGGGGTCCGAAAGTTTTGGTTGATTAGAGGTTTTTTTATATTCCCTCCTGCAGTTTTTTTCCACTAATTGAAATGTCTTTAAATCCACATCAACATGAATTCAATAGACTGTAGTAACCAGATAAATGGAGGCAGAAGATGTCTTTCAGTCATCAATGCTCACATTCAGAGACACACAGGAGCTCTTTCAAGCTGGGCACCGTTTCATTCACAACACCTGTCCCATCAACCAGGAATCAGAAATACTTTAATAATCCCAGGGAGAAATTACTTTCGTTACATTACTCCATCTGTAATAGAGTGACTATAGGACCAGTTTGATAGAACACTATTTAATATGATATATATAATTAGGGGGTCTGTGCTCCATCTCACCATCAGTTTGGGGAAACATTGAAGACCCCTGCTATAAAGCAAAGCTCTTCTTAACAAGTCTGTGCAGCATCTAGAACCAGAGCAGATAGAGAATGTTAATCTATTAAAACATAATGAGATCTACGTCTAAAGAAAAGAAAAACGCAGCAATAAACGGCGTGGGACGGTTTCTATGGTGACTGAGGCAGAGAGGTGATTCTCAGAGAGATCTGGGAAGTTTATCCAAGTTTTTCTTTCTTTTTTCCTAAAGAGGTGAGAGAGATACGCTGCGCTGACCTGCTCTGTCTGCTCCTCCTTATTCTGGTTTCTGTGAGGCTCAAAGAGAATCACTACTTTATCGGTTTTCTGTCCTCCTGAACTCCCATCATGGGGAAAGTTTCTATGTTAAAGTTTCATTCATTGTTTTTGCTCCAGTCTGTCCTGCTCACTATAAACACGATGTGCGACTCCAGACTGACTCTTTTTCCATCAGATTAACAGATTTTATTTAGTATTTTCCTCCAAAGCGGATGTGTTTGACTTTGTAACAGCATCTCTCTTCCTGTCAGACCCCTTAATTGCTGCCTAATTGCTGCATAGTCTGACTGAAATAGACCTGGGCTCTATCTCAGTGTGACCTACGCTGCCCCCTGCAGGAAATCATCCCCACTGACTTTCAATCAGCGCTAAAAGCCACGACCTCTAAGGCACGATTTTCTGTCGGATCAGACGCTAAATCAGACTGGATGTGTTCTGGGCTTTAGTCTGCAGCTTCCTGCTGTTCTGAGAAAACTGAGGATGTAGAACATCTGTCCTAACCTCCTAAAAGTAGTTTGATATTTTTTGGCTTCAGCTGCAGCAGCAACGTTCAAAATGAACCTGTAGTCCAAAAACAACAACAAATATAAAATCCATTCAACTGTAGAAAAGTAAATATAGAATAAATCGGTCAAATAAAACTGAAAAAGCTTCCCTTTTCTAAAAGGACTTTCCATATATACTATATTTATATAGAAATTATTATGCTGGAACAGAGACGTACCTAGAACATGCGGGGCTGGGGTCCCTGGGGTGGGCACCTCTGGGCTTAAGGTCTCTATTTGTGCTGCAGGCCTACCGTCTGAACAGGGCGTCTGCAGAGCTGGCCAGGAGGGCCGCCGATGATATCACCAAGCAGTCAGGTAAGCTGAGCGCCTCGTTCAGGACGACGTCCCGTCCAGCCGGATGAGGGGACCAACATCTGCTGTGTTTGTTCTCAGGGTGGAAACGCTATGTGGCGGGGGCCCTGGGCCCCACCAATAAAACCCTCTCTGTGTCGCCTTCAGTAGAGAAACCAGATTACAGGAACATAAGTAAGAGTTTAGCTGCTCTCTTTGCTCTGAGTGCGCATCGCTGCTGATCCGGATCCAGATCCGGATTCTGATCCAGACTGTCCTCCTTGCTGTCTCCTGATGCAGCGTTCGATAAGCTGGTGGAGGCCTACACCGAGCAGGCCCGCGGTCTGCTGGACGGAGGAGCAGACATCCTTCTGGTTGAAACCGTCTTTGACACGGCCAACGCCAAGGTAACCTGAGAATGAAGTTGCCATGGAAACGTGGAAGAAAGTTCCTTTTCACACAATTAAGTAATAATTCTCTTTATTATGTATTAGAGGTTTTCCTTTCAACATTCCTGTAAATATTTTGACCTTCTGGGAGCCATTTCAGTAAGATGGGTTACAGACTAAGCTGTGGGCTAACTTTCTGTTTACCCTAGCTTCTATGGGGCTAATGTTGTTCCATTATTGTTGCAAACAAATAACTTGTTTCGTAAATTGAAATTGGGGGGTGGGGGGGATAGATCCAGAAAAGAAAAATGTAAAAACTTCAAAAATTCTTTTAGATGAATTAGCTGTTTTCTGTTATTCAGTTATTCTTTTTATTATTTATTTCTTTTTCATGTTTAAGTTTTCTTTAAAATTGCTTTTTTTTCCCAGAGAAATTATAATTTCTAATTTCTAAATATGGAAGACGATAACGGTCACTGGAAAATGATACAAAAAGTTTACAGATTGTTTTTTAATTTTAGTTTATAATGGGAAAAAATCTCAGAAATGTTCTCATATTGAACTTAAAATCAGTTAGTCTGCAAAAAAAAAAAAAAATTCCGGTGGCTATAATCTTCTTCCATAGATAAGTCTTTATTTTTATTCAAAATTGCGTTTTTCCAGATCCCATTCTCTGGAGTGAAGAGCCATTTTTATTGGGGGTTTTATTTTAAGCTACAAAAGTAAAAAAAAAAGAAATGTACAAAGTTTTTTTTATTTAGGGGATGCAGTCGCTGGATTTGAACTCACAGCCAGTTTGGTGCGAAGAAAAAACAAAAACTCTTGAGCTCTGCTCAGTCTGTGTCATGTGATGAAAAGCGCGTAATTTGATTGGCTAAAAGCTGCCGACTCGGTCCGGTGCCGAATGCTCTGACTCGCACCAGAAAGTCGACATGTTTACATTATAAAGGGGGATTTTTTAGCAGTTGAAAGCATAAAACTCCTGGATGAAAATCCACATGACTACCATTAGACAGAGCATCCAAAACACCATACAAGCTTTTCTAACTTTAGTGATCATTGTGGCACTGATGTAATTTTTCCCTCTCTCTGCCCACAGGCCGCTCTGTTCGCCATTGACCTGCTGTTTGAAAAGACCCACCGAAGGACACCCATATTGGTACGTCTGTCGCTTTTTACTCTAATTATGACCTGAAGCTTCCAAACCACTGTATTTAAATCCGTGAAAGTTTGTCAAAGCTGTTTTTCCTCAAACTGATTTTTCAGCTTTTCCTTTTTCAGTTTAATGGTAGAAATGTTGTTTTCGTCTCTAAACCTTAAACTAATTTTTCTTTTAAGGCATCTTAGAGCTCTGAGTCACTCTATGACATGTATAATAAATGAGTTTAATAAATGTAGAAGGTTATTCTTTGGCCATAATGTATGGAGTGAGTTTTGCCACATTATTGTTGCAAGATCCGTTTTTGTAAAAGGAAATTTGAAAAAAAAAAAAAAGTAACTTTGCTTTTATTTCTCTTATGTTTTTCAAATTTCTTTTTCAGATTGAATTTTATCATATTTCATTCTTTTCAAGTTGCATTTCACATTTTCTTCACTTCCACCCCCATCCAGATACTCCCTGTCCAATCAGAATGTTGTTGCTAACGTCCAGTAGACCAATAGAAATGCATTTCTGCTCCTTACCCCAGAGGGACGTCTATGGAGAGAATTTAGTCATTTGTAAATAATTTAATCATTTGTAAATGTGCATAACTTCAGGTACTTGAAGATTGTTGTTCAAATATAGACTCTGAAATTATGAAAACAAAATAAAAATACAAACATACCATTAAATTCTTGCGCACAAATTGCATGAAACACGCAGACCAAACCACAGTAACACATTCATAGGACTTCCTGTTACATGGTGCGTTTTAATGCTGGTGGAAAACTGGGTCATGAAATATATAAAATAAACTTGAAAAAATAAATTTAAAAAACACCACTTTAACAACCTTATTTTGATTAAGAAATTTCCTCACTGATTGCATTTTTTTTGCTACATTTCTCTTTACAAAACCTGTTTTTTCCTTGTTCTTTGAAGTCTATGTTAAAACCTGTTAGTTTGGAGCTGCCTTTGATGTTAAACTGTTAACTCAGGGATCCTTAGTTTAAGGTTATGGTCCAACTGTTTGATTTGCTTTACTACCTGCTTTTGTTTTTTCTTCTATTGCAGTTCTTTAGTGTTTAATTAATATAACGCACTTTAAATTGTGCTTTAGAAATAAACTTGCCTTGCAACAATAATGGAGCAAAATTCCCACCATAATTTGAAGTGATTATTTGGTAAATATGTTTTTATTCTAGGGCTGAAACTATTATTAAATTGATTAATCTGTCTATTTTTTCCCCCATTTATAGTCTGATAGCCAAAGGCTCCTTAGAGAGGATTTTTTTTTTAAGTTGGAACCAGGTGAAAATAAAACTTTCCCATTTGAAGAGTTCTGGATTATAGAGCCAGATTGACAGATGAAAACGATTCTTTCCTTAAAGCTATAGAGGAGGATCTTTTATTTCCGGGTGGATCATCTCAATCAGTGGTCCTCCTACCTGTCAATCATTCTGGTAATGTTCCCGTAAGGCCGTCCTACATTCTCGTCCCGTTAGCTATCTTTTTCTTCCAGGCGTATATCTGTGTTGAGCTACGGTTTCAGACGGTCATTGAAGCTCACCTTTCTCACTGCGGTTCTTTGAAAATGGCAGAGGGTCGGAAGAGAAAGTGTCTACGAAGTGGATGAGAAGTAAAAGGCCTCAGAAGAGGCAGATATATCCCAGAATGCTTTGCGTTGAGAGCTCTCTTCGCAAAGCATTATGGGATTTGCTGTCACAGCGGCCACTAATAAAGATGATGCAGGTGTAGCGTATATGCATGTTATCAGAAGACAAGGTTTCCGTTAAGGAGGTGTTTTTAAAGTAAATATTGACACTGAGGCAGATCCTTATATTTGGTGTTGGTACCATATATTATGTGAAAACAACAACAACCAAAAATATTTACAATCTGCAGAAAAAAATACATTGGTTTAATACATTGCACTTTAGAAAACCTCGGTTTTGTAGACTCAGTAGTTCACAGAATTAACAAAATACAGAAACAAATTCTGCAATATTAAAAGATGAACGCTAAATGCTTCATCGAGATGAAGAGAACAATCACTTGGATGCAAATAGTCCATGATCCAAGTTTTAGCAAATGGCCATCACTAAGTGTGTGTGTGTGTATAAATGACAGTGGAGGAGGTAACCAAAGTTGCAGCTTCCTACCAGACCCTCATGGTGAGGATGTTATGAGACAGATTCTGTTCCAGGTAGTAGCTCGCCATCGATTGGTAACCAGGACCCATGGGTTAACAAGTAGTCATTTAAAATCAGTTACAAGCTAATTTTAACTTGTATATTTTATGTTCTCTGTACACAACATTCAAAGTAGGTCATAAATTGTTAAAATGACAAAGACTTGTAAAACATTACTTAATTGTTATAAACCTTAATTATTAGGAGTATACATAATATTCCATTCAATACAATTGTTAATTTTGGTTTTCAGTGTATAAATAAACCATTTAAATACTTAAAATCACAGCATCAAGAAAAAACTGCTGGGTTTGCATTACTAATTTAACGCATTAAAACTCAATAGGAGAAATTGGAGAGCAACTGCTACTAGCATTGCTAATGCTACCTGATGGCTTATGCCGTTAGCATTGAGCTAGCAAAACATTTCAACATAATAGATAGCATGGCTAATAGCAACATTCTAGTAGACAAACAAATAGACTCACAAATTCCTACAGATATTCAACACAGCGCAGCACCAGTTGCTTTTTAAATACCACAGTACTTGGCACTATAAAAATCTAATCGCATGCTAGAGTCAAACAAGCATTTAAGATGGAAAATAGCATCGTTTGTGTACAGAGACATACCATGTGCCACTGCTTTCCGCTCACACTACTGATTGGGGGAACTCACCTCAGCTTCTAAACTCTGCTTGATTGGTTAGACTCAAGTGTGTCTTGTGGTGTGTTCAGGTGACTGGGAAAAAAATGGGACCATGGAATTCTAACCTGGGTTACACAGGCACCCCACGGTGGAGGAGGAGTTACATGATGTGGAGTTAGATAGCTGAGATGTAGGCATTTCTTGCAAGAAAAAAGGTTCAAATTTATTGAACGTCCTCAGACGGAGAGATAGAGCTCTGACAGAGGCAACCTCAGTACAATCATTTATACCTTACAATTTCCCAACACCCACACTCCCCCCAGGGGAACCAACCCACCCCCTGCCTAAAGAACTTTCTCACACTTTAAAATTTGGAGGAAAAACATCTTGAGTTCATCTTCGCTGTTCCCTGTTAGGTTAATATATCTTTCACTGGTCAGATGGATCTCCTCTAAACAGCAGTTCTCCCCTTCATTCCATGAAGGAGTGATTATCTGAACGGCTTTGAGAACAGCAACTTCTATATAGAGCGTGCACGAGGAGAAATGGGCTCATGCACACTCTCACACACGTTTGAAGGAACAGTCTGGTCAGCAAGGAATAAATATAATGAATTTATCCTTAATCAGTAAAAAAATGAATATAATTTTCGTCATGACCACTGAGTCTGGGAGCGGCCATTTTTGTCCAAATATAGTAGCCCCTCCCTCCTGCCATCTTCCAGCAGTGACGTCACGGTGCGGTAAGCCTAGCGCCATTCTCCCCGCTTTACAAGCAAAATCAATGGGAACTACTAAACACATCTGCAATCAACAACAATTATTGAAGATTTCCAGAGGACTTCACCATTGAAATTCACCAGAGCTATAGTGAAACTGACAATAGCTACGTTTACATGCGCAAAATTTCCCTGATCCGATCCAAACCTTGGTTGATCGGAAATTCAAAATCTCCGTTTACATGGACACTAAATGAAATAATCCGATCATGACGTGTGTATACATGTACCAAGCGTTGGATCAGATTAAATCTTTTAAGCATGCGCAGAACTTCCTGCCAAACTTGGCAGTTCTGTCTGCGTCTGGTTTTTGGGAGGCCTGACAAACGATGCGCTCGGAGCGAGCGGAAAGAAAAACGGAAAGAGGAGGAAAAAAGCGCTTGGCAGCGAAATGTCCGAGAGAAAATGTAGAGAATGAGCGCTTGAACCGGCGTGGGAGAGCGAGTGGGCTGTGGAGAGGAAGAAGAGGAAGAGGAGGAGGATAAATTCCTGCTTCCTGCAGCTTTAAATGAACTTGAGTGTATAAGTCGGCGTTCCTAGACTCCTCCCGCCATGTTGTTCACAGCGAGAGCGACCGGTGGTTTCCTGTTGTTGACAAGGCGGAAAAACGTCACGCTGACGTCGCACACATGCGCAGTGAAGATTATTTTACTCTTAAGATCCGAATGGGTGTTTACATGGACGCCAATCAGAATGGCGATCGGCAAAAACCACCTCTCTCTTTCGGAATTAAATTTATTTCCGATCGGACCGAATCGGATTAGAATCTTCAGTCTGACATGTTTACGTGAAACATTTTTGATCTGATCAGGCCTTCAATCCGATTATTTGTGTCCATGTAAACGTAGCTAATGCCAACGTGCATGGCAGCTGGATGTTGGAATACATCGGGTAAAAGTGGAAAAAAAGAGTTATTTCACCTTTCTGATTCCTGATCCTCCACGGACGGGTTGGTCGTTGGATCGCCAACTTGAAGAGGGAGGATTTGCCATCGAACTTCTGGCCAGAGAAAAAACCCGTAATATGTAGCCAACATTTGGAAGAAGAATGTTTTCAAGATGACTTGGATAATAGCGCGTCGTGACAAACAGCAGATACAGCACTGGGACTTGATCAACAGCCGATACCGCACCGTGACGTCACTAACCAGTAGGTGGCAGTAGTGTTCTTTGACAAACATGGATGCCTCCAGTAAAGCACATTCACATGAAAATGACTCTGAATTAAAAACATTTATCCTTTATTGGACAGGATGTAATAATTTCATATTTAATGAACCTTTCAGAAGTTTGAATTCTGAATATGAGAGGACTTTTCCTTTAATAAGGATTCTCTCTCTGGAGCTGATGGATCCGCTCTGTCAGCCAAAGGCATGTTTTAGAGTCTCTATACTCCAGTTAAAGTTAATTGATTGCTAAATTAGTTGAGGATTATTTCAATAATCGATTAATCTGATTCATAGTTTCAGTTCTAATTTATTCCTTCCTAAATCTGATGGAATTTGAGCGCCGTTGCTGACGCTGGGATGTAAACCGTGTTGACATGAGCAGTTTTCCCTGCAGGTGTCGGGGACCATTGTGGACCGGAGCGGGCGGACGCTGTCCGGTCAGACGGGAGAGGCCTTCGTAGTGAGTGTTTCCCATGCTAAACCTCTGTGGTGAGTTTACCTCTGGAAGAACCAGCAGGGGGTGCTGTGGGGTAATCGCCTAAACGCAAAACCAGCATAAATCTGTCACTGTGTTGCAGTATTGGCCTGAACTGTGCTCTAGGGGCCACAGAAATGAGGCCTTTTATTGAGGCGATTGGAAAAAGCACCACAGCTTTCGTCATCTGTTATCCCAATGCAGGTGAGCCAGAATTAGTTAATCTATCTGACTGTTTTTACATATGATGCCATCACCAACAGCAGCAACTAAAGGCTCCAAGGGGACGCTGGAGGTTCCTCTGCAGTCTTTTAGTTCTGAGTCATTGTTAAGGTTTTGTTTACCTTTAATGACCTGAAGACCAACAGTGACCCGTGTTCTGGTTCTTTCTGCCTCATGATGCGTTTTCTTTTTTTTTTTCCCGTCAGGTCTTCCCAACACATTTGGAGGTTATGATGAAACGCCGCAGGTCACCGCCTCCAGTCTAAAGGTTCTGTTCCTTTACACACGTTTACAGAGCAGTTGAATTAGCAGCCTTAAGGCCTGAACACACCGGCTGCGTACGACTTTTTAGACCCCGATCCGATTTTCGGAGCAGCCAGGGCTAACGTTAGCCCGTCTGCAGCAGCCCTCTCTCTGCGTAGCCGTTTGTGAAATACCGCTAGCTCTGATGGAGGTTTGATTTTTATTTGACAAATTTTTTATTTGATTTGTGTTTATCTGACTGTGTTCATTATAATTACCCCAATAAATGAAAAACAGACATAATTAATAATTTAGACTAATAATTACAGAAGGTGAAATGCAGCTCCAGACTATCTTTGAATGTGGTGATGTCATCAGTATGTTTATGTTCCAATTGACCCACATTTATTCTGCGTGCTCCCGTTCTCCCCGATTCCAGACTTTCATGGGTTCTTCTCAAGAACATACTTGGCAAGAACACCAGTCCATACTGGTTGATTAAAGGCCTGATAGCTGATGTTGCTGCTCTTGACATTTCTGTTTGGAGTATAAAGATTTGCCCGCATTGATTAACTAACTAAAACAACAGCAAAATATATATAAATCCAGAGTTAAATTCAGAAATGTGAGCCAATATGGGGAGAAAAGTGAGCTATAGCTTATGAACTAAGGATAACTATAGGAACAGGCTGATGTTCCCACCCTGACGTCCTGGGGAGCTAACCATGCTGTATAGCAGCATGTTAGCAGGCTCTCTGCGGACAAACGGGTCTAAACCTCCTGATGCTGATGAAGATTCTCAGTCATCCAGGTCAGAGTCATTCCGTAAAAGTTCAAAAAATATCCACTGGACTTGGTTTCCAAGATTTGAAGACGTTTCGCCACCTCTCCAGGAAGCTTTCTCGAGTTTGGTCATTTGGTTCCATCGTTGGCCTGTAATTTCTGAAACCTGTCTATGATTCTGAAGGTCGGTCATTAAAGGGGGGGATTGTCTCCTGTAATACCTGAAACCTGTCTATGATTGTTAAGCTTCCTGGAGAGGTGGTGAAACATCTTTAAATCTTGGAAACCAAGTCCAGTGGACATTTTTTGAACTTTTACGGAAAACCTCCTGATGATTCTCCAGATAAACATCATGAACTGGTGACTGGTCTGACCAGATTAAACTAGGATTGCTGGCAGGAGGAGGATCACATCATCAGCATAGAGGGAGTATTGTTTTCCAATGTTGCCCAGGAGGCCTGAACGTCTGAGTAAAGGTTGGACCTGCATGGTTTACATGAAGGTCAAAGGTCACAGGGTCATTCCTGTGAGTTAGATTATTGTTGTTAATACATAAAGCTTGGCCTCAGTTTTTACTCTAGCCTCCTGTTTAGGTTGAGTTTAGGTTTTTAAGTGTTGTGCGTCCGCCAGCTGCCTGCATGCCGCTCAAATGTTGCGTCTTCTGCAGGAGTTTGCTGCGGATGGATTGGTGAACATTGTCGGAGGTTGCTGTGGGACCACGCCTGCACATATCAGGTCAGAGTGGTGTTCCTGGGAGCCGGAGGTCTGATGCGTCAGCAGGTTTTAGTGATCTTTTGTCTGTTTGCCCCCCCAGAGCCATATCAGAGGCAGTGAAAGCGTGCAAGCCAAGAGTTCCTCCTGCGGATGCCTTTAAAGACCACCTGCTTCTCTCAGGTACAGAAACTGGAGAGATACTGAGAACTGAACAACTCAGATGATTCATTTTTTTTTTAAGATATCAGGATTGTCATGATTCTGAGATTTCAAACTCTATATTGATACCCAGTAAAATATTTAATACTCGATACCATTTTCAGTACCGTGGGAATGAAAAATGCCATTTAATGAAATGCATTATAACATTAACATCTTTTAGAATGTTAATGTTCAATCTTAACACTGACTGATCTTTCTTAGTTAAGGTGTTTAATAAATAAACCAAATATCAGAATATGAGAATATTTTTAGGTTTGATTGATTGAAATGAATCCTTTATAGGGCAAGTTACAGTTTTTTTGATCACTTGCCTTACAAATGGAGTCCACACCCCGTCCCTCAGTGAGCTCTAGAAGCACAAGCTCTTATTTTGGCATTTGACCAATTTGATGAGCCCTTCAATGATTATTACCTACTGGAAATTAAGTTGGACAAAAAAAGTTAATAAGTCAAGAAAAAGGGGAAAAATGTAATTGAAAAGTTAAAAAGTGAATAAGCCTAGTTAACAATTATATTTAGGTTTATAAACTAAAAAATGTCAGTGCCAGTATCAGCATTAATGCCTCTAAGGTTATGTTGGACCAAAAAATGTGTTTCTTTCACCGAGTGTTTTTCATGAATTTCTTCTAGAAGCACTTTTGTTATTTTTCTTAACATATTCGGGGAAGTTGGCGTTTCTTGTTATCTATCACATTCATTCATTTTTATCCATCAAAATATCCAAAGTTTTTGAATGTTACAAAGGTAATAAGCTCTTATCCTGGATTCCAAGAACACTATTGGCTGGAAATGTTGATTTTTAAAGTATTTCACTGAGGCCCTATAAAGGGTTAAGAACAGCAAACATATGCAAACAACACTTATATTTGGTATCGATACCATGCTAAATTACTAATGTAATCGATTGCAGTGTTTGAATATTAATACTTTAAGAGTATCAATACTTTTGACACCCCAAACCGATATAATTGGAGGTTATTGGAGGCTTAATTAGCACCACTGGAAGCATTAAGGCCTGTTTGTCACATCTCTCCTTGAAGGCAATCCTAAACGAAAGGAGAAATGACTCCCTTATTTAATATTTGGAGCTACAAGCCAAAACCTAATAAATGAACATTAAATGGGCGGTTACCTCTGACACCATCTTTCTCCGATCATGCAGGTCTTGTCCCATTCAGTTTTCCTTTAACTACCTCTTATTAGACCTAAGCCTGGAAGTCTATGCTCATAAAACAGCAAAACTACTTCTAATAACTATCTGAAATTATACACTAAAGGTCCCCAATCAGTTATAAAACATCTTCAGATGAACCCTTGTTGATCCCTGGAGAACCACTGTACCAGATTAGCTCCTGACAGTTTTCAATCATTCCTTATAATTTTTTCTGAGTCTATTTCCTCCTGCCAGCTGCAGCCAACGGTCTGTCTTAGTTATTGTTGATTAGCTTGGTTTATGCTACATTTCTGGTCCACATCTTTAGTAAAACAAACACATTGAAGACCTATTTTTTTCATTAACCAAACATTTATCACAGGGATCAGCAGAATCAACATCGAATGAATCCATGCCAATCGCCACAACAAAGGGCACCTCCTTATCACCTTTTTATGGACCAGGGTTCTGTCAGAGAAGCATACGCCGTCAGACCAGCATACCCAGAGTCAATCTCTGTTTATCTCTTTAATTTTTCACTCTAGTTTAGTATTGAAAATAGACTTAAAAAAAAACGATAGATACAGAAAAAATTTTTAGACCGTAGGAATCAGCAGGGTAAATAAATATGCTAACTTTCATGTTTCTATCAAAAACTATTTGGCCACGGTGACGATGTAAAAATGTGTTTAGTTTTGAAAGATTTCAGTCCGATACTTTTTCCCAAAACCATAATTTTCCTATGCCTGAACAGCTTAGCTAAAAAACTAAACCATAAATGATATTGAAAAAAATAATTTCAATGTGAGAGCTAGAAGGGTCTGGAGATGTTCTTTACCAAGTTTCATGTTTGTACATCAAACAATTGAGAAGTAGCAATGATACGAAAACATGGGTGGTTTTTCGATTTTCGGCTGTGATTTTTGGAAAGTCTCTCATTGGATTTCTATTGGGACTTCTTGGTGGTCTGTGCCAAAGAAAAAATGTGTGTAAATTTTCAATCCCAATTTCAGAAAAACTGCCAAAGATATCAGAAGCTGAGTTAAATCGTAATAGCTGAATCTTTGATGAACATTTTAAAAGTTGAATGGTGTTTCTAGCTGAACGTATGCTGAAGTAGTTAAAGGTCAAAGATGGTGAAGTTTTAGCTGAATTTTGCTGAAATCTCAGAATTCTACATGCATTTCAATGGGACAAAAAAAGGCAGAAAAAGCAGAATATCGCGAAAACTACCTAAAAATATCTTTACCAAAAGACATAGCAGAATTCCCCTGAACAAGCTGAATGTTTTGATACCAAAATTGTTGAAATCGGTTGAAACTGCGGGACTAGTTAAAGTCAGAAAACTAAAAAGAGCAAAACAATAAGTGGGAATGCACATTGCTTTCCCACTTATTGTTTTGTTGATGGTGCAGATCTGGTCGTGACAGTAAGGATTAGCATTTACATTACCTAATTCTAATGCTAATGAGCTTAGCATTAGAGGACGATGTAACTGACTGCCAAACGTTCCTCATGGAGAGCAGGTTAGCCTAAGTAGCAGGGAAGGAATTCAACGTTAAAAACGTTAAATTTATTGAATGACATCGTTATGTGATGTGTTATTGGAGGCCCAGGCCAGGAGCCGACTGCGTTTTTATGGAAAGCAAGGGTTCTTTCATAAAATTTGTTCAGTTTTAAGGTTTGAGCCTGTTCTTTTAAAAAAAAATTTATTGCAAAATAATAAAAAAAACAACAACCCACTTTTAGGATTGGAACCCTTTCGAATTGGACCGTACACCAACTTTGTGAACATCGGCGAGCGTTGCAATGTGGCGGGGTCACGGCGTTTCGCCAAGCTGATCATGGCCGGCCAGTACGAGGTGATTTCCTCTCCTATCATTTTAATAACAGCATCAGTGAAGTCTCAGTAAAGCCAGCAGTGCAGGCAGCAGACGGTTTGTTCTCAGTGGGTTCCTCTGTATGTTCTCCTCAGGAAGCTCTGAGCATTGCCAAGGCCCAGGTGGAGATGGGGGCCCAGGTTCTGGATATAAACATGGATGAGGGCATGCTGGATGGGCCCACAGCCATGGCTCGGTTCTGTAACTTTATCGCATCGGAGCCAGATGTTGCACGGGTCGGAATTTCTTACTTAAATTGTACTTTTTTTCCCCAGTATAGAACCATTCTAACCACTGAGGTCCATTTCTCCTGCAGGTTCCTTTGTGCATCGACTCCTCCAACTTCTCTGTGATTGAAGCTGGGCTGAAGTGCTGCCAGGGGAAGTGCATCGTCAACAGCATCAGCCTGAAGGAAGGAGAGCAGGACTTCCTGCTCAGAGCGGCCGCTGTGAGGCGCTACGGCGCTGCGGTGGTGGTCATGGCCTTTGATGAGGAGGGACAGGTGAGGGTCTGTGGTTGCATCCCCGCAATTGCATAATTTCTGGTATCTTTCATCTTCTACGACCCACTTTTCATCATCACACTTTAAATCATGGGTCTCAAACCCGTTCCAGAAATGGCCGTGCGGCTGGAGGTTTTCTTTCCAACCAAGCAATAGCACGATAGACTCCAGTCATGGAGCTACTGGAGACTTTGGAGACAACATCTAAAAGCAGCGAACTCTGCTCTCCAGAGCCAGTAGATTGGTAACCCCGCCTCCTGCTCTCCTCTATCTTGTCTGCTGTCATGATTCATGCAGCTATTATTTCATCCAAATGAAAAATGGAGAACAGAGAAGCAGATCATGGCTTGTCTACAGTGAAAAGAAGGACTGGGTTATTTACTTTGGCCTTTTTGGAAACACAGGAAGGAGCAATCAGCTAAGTGAGCTTAGTGCTTGGAAAAAATCTTTCATTCCTTTAGAGACAACATGAAAAGTCAGCTGAGTACAAAACATAGAGAGGAAAACAAGAAGAAAAGGGACAAGAAGAGAGGGACACAACCTAGAACAGATAATGGATGTCTATTCTATTTTATTATCTTAGATGGAGATCCTTATCGCAGTCACCACAGTTACTTCAGTCACTGTGAAAACTAAAACATATACCACATATACAAATATTAGAATACAAAACATCAATTTTCTATCCAAATAACTAAACATACCTCGCTGCTTTCACTAAGGAACACCAAGTGTTGATTGGTTGCTTGATGACAAACAGCTTGAAAGTTCTAGTCATTCATTAGTACAATGATTCCACCAGCATTTATAGGGCCTGCCCTCATTTGCTACGGCAGCCTGTGAGGTCCAAAAAAACCTTAAACATTACAAGGTACAAATACCATTAAACAAACCACAAACAATGCTAATCAAAACAGACAAACATCCATAAACAATCTGCAACATTTACAAAATACACTTCCAATAATTTACATTAAAAATAAATTACACAATTCATTTTCAATAACTCACTATCCATTACACTGTATAATGGGTCTGTTTTATGTGTCGTCTTCTGCATTCAGAGGGCCCCCTGCCTGTCTTTGCCTAGGGCTCCAGATTTCCTAAATCCGCCACTGTTAATGCATAAAAACCCAATTTAACCATTACTGAGGTAGTGCATGGAAGTATTTATAGGGCTTAAATATCATCACTAACTGGGCCGGTATCGATATTCTCCCAAATACTCTGTTCCTCTGCGAGCCTTTTCAAAGCCGAGCGGCTCTGATCTCATCAGGGTTGCATCATTGCTGCTGCAGCAGTGAGCTGGTTGGCTGGAAGTAGATCAATGAACCAGTGAAGTGATTATTTTAACAGAACCACCAGAGTCTGGTCCGTCTTCTTTTATCTACTCACTCCACCTCTGTCGTTGTTAAGGTTCAGTTCTCATATTTATCACGGCTGTTGATAAACTGAATGAACAGAGTTTTGTATTCCATAATAGTCCAGGAAATGAGATCCAAAACATGCACGTTGATTTTACCTTGTAAATCCGACCGGTGTTCTGTCAGACCAGCATACCTATAGTCAATACGCAGCGCAAGACGTCACATTTGAGTTTATCCCTTTAGTTTTGTACGAAAAATAAACTTTAAACTCCCTCGATGGGTGTGTATCCCTTTAGTCATGTACATGTACAAAAAAAACTATTAAAGATCAGATCGCCATACGCTTCAAAAAACACCAAAAAGTAAGTAAGACATTTTTTTTTTTTTTTTAATACATGACTAAAGAGATACACGCCCGTTGAGGGAGTTTAAAGTTTTTATACAAAACTAAAGGGAAAAATTAAAGAGATAAACGGGTATTGACTGTGGGTATGCTGGTCTGTCAGAACACCAAATCTGGTCCGTTTTTCTTCCTGTCTGTATAATCCGTTCTAAGCAGCCGCCTGTTTTAGAGAAACAGTCAGCGGCCGGCAGTTCTGTTAAGCCTCAGACACCCTCTGCGGCGTTTTAACCAGAGCCCCTCTGAGTGCTGCGATCAACGTGATGACCCGGCAGCTCCACTTCAATTTCCAGCAGAACCAAGGAGTTAGAAATCAGCCATGTTGGCTGAATCTTAAGCATCATCGTCATGATTAGAACATTAAACAAAGTTCTGGTATCTGAATCTGCAGAAATCCATGTATGGTTCGTTCTTTGTTTTTTTACGTTTCAAAACAAAAACGAAAAAACAAAACGAGCTTGTGGTTTTTTGTTTTTCCGTTTTTAAAACGAAATAATTAATTAGAAAAACGGCATTTGCAAAAATGAAAAAAGGGTACGTTTTGGGATTTTTTTAATTGCAATGGTTAAACCAAAGACAAACTTTTATTTTGTTGTTAATTCAACGGACCTTATGGCAGAACCAGAAATGAAGACCTGAACTCCCAACACATAACATTTTTAGTTACCAGTAGGTGGCAGTAATGTACGCCTTCAATTTCTTGCCAACCGCCATTACAATCCACAAGAAGAAGAACGCATCACTGATTTCCTCTGTGTTTTTTCTCTCTCAAAAAGTTCGATAATCAATGCAGAAAACGGTTCAAGTGCAGCCATTGCCTTTTGTTTAGAAATGGTTTGTTTTGATGCCGTCTTCATCCACTGTAAATTATTTTTCTTTGGCGACTTACTTCATTTCCGGTACCGCTACATATTAAAACAACAGCCGTATTTTATTTTCATTAAGATGGCAAAAAAAAACTCAAACGCTGTTGATTTTCTATTAATTTGATTTTTCATTTTTTCGATTTAGGTTTTAAAAATGGAAAAAAAAAAAAAAAAACACATTCTTGTTTTGTTTTGTTTTTTGTTTTGAAACGAAAAAACCAAAGAAAGGACCATACACGGAATTGAAGATTTCCATAAGACTGAATTTGTTGTTTGGACATCCGACGGTTCCAGATGCTCTGCAGTTTCTATCGTTTCGGTGACTGACTCAGCCCAGCAGAGCCAGTTTCCACCTCTCCAAGGTGCGTTTGCTGCTTCAGGACATCTGAGCGCTGCCAGAACCAGTCCCAACATGTGGGAGAATTTCCCATCTTGACAGAAATGCAGACCTGTTGTTTCTGCAATCTGCCCGGCCCTGTCACAGTTCCAAAGGTTTTCCTAGAACTGAAGTGGCTGTCGGAGCGTTTCTTTGCATGTTTGCAGTAAACGGTGATGTTGCAATTTTTTAGGCATTATGACAGCATGCATGAGGAAGTGTAAAAGTCTTGATTTTGTTGTTTTGTGAGCAGAGGAAGATGTTTCTGCTCCACACCAGAGATGTAAGCAGTAGAGAAGCAGACGGAGCTGTGATCGACTGCTTCACTGCTGCTACATAGTTAGCAGAAGCCAGGCTCAGACTGGTTATCTGTGATAGCGGGTTTTTCTCCCAATGGGCCGGTCCTAATTTCAGGGTGCGAGGGCCGGCCCTCCTTAAATCAGGCCCCAACACTTCTCTCTGGCCGAAGCTCCTACCTGTGACAGTTAATAACTCAAGGAGCTCAAGAAGTAATCCAGTGTTAACTCCCTAAATGATGCATGCAGTATATATAGCCCTTCCTTGTCATGCACATCCTTCTGATGGTTGGCATATGGTGAAATATACCAACTGCCAGGGGCTGTAAATCGTTCCCAGTCCATCCCTGGCAGAAGCTCACAGTTTTCTCTTTCCCTAAGACTGTCTGCTGATGATGTAAGGCTGCTAAACGGTGTCATGTAACCTGCAGGCCACAGGGACGGAGCGCAAGGTAGAGATCTGCACTCGGGCGTACGAGCTGCTGGTCAGCAAGGTTGGATTTGATCCCAACGACATCATCTTTGACCCCAACATCCTCACCATCGGCACGGGAATGGAGGAACATAACGACTACGCCGTCAGCTTCATCAGGGCCACCAGGCTCATCAAGGTACTACGACAGCTCTGCAGGGAGGTTCACTTCTGCTCTGACGATCTGGAAATGATCGGGGGTTCAACATTCGAAGCCCATATCCTGCAATTTAAAGCTCTACCATAAAGCAGTTTGCTTCAGGATTTTAGAGTTTTCCACTGTATCCTCTGTTGGGTTTCCCATGATTCATTGCAGTTCCAAGCAAGCCGGCTGCTCAGAGGAAAAAGGAAAATGGTGCAGAACAGTGGTGAATTTTGGAAGTGCAGTTTAATATAATCAAAGTCTGAATAGTTCCATCTGAAATGAATGAAATAGTTTTCTTAAAGGTATAGAGGAGGATCTTTAATTTCCGGGTGGATCATCTCAATCAGTGGTCCTCTTAACTGTCAATCATCCTGGTGATCTGTTTCCGTAAGGCCGTCCTACGTGCTCGTCCCGTTAGCTATCTTTTTCTTTCAGGCGTATATCTGTGGTGAGCTGCGGTTTCAGACAGTCATTGAAGCTCACCTTTCTCACCGCGGTTCTTTGAAAATGGCCGAGGGTCGGAAGAGAAAAAGTGTCTACGAAGGGCATGAGAAGAAAAGGAAGGCTTAAGAAGAGGCAAATATTTCCCAGAATGCTTTGCGCTGAGAGCTCTTCTCACAAAGCATTATGGGATTTGCTGTCACAGCGGCCCGCTGTCGCCAGAGGCTGCCGCTACCCGACAGCGGAGACTAATAACAAAGATGGCGCAGGCACCGCGCGGTGGTGGAGGAGTTACGTGACCAATAGAGTAAAAAGCAGCGATCATCTGTCTGAACGGTCAGTGAACTGAGTTCACTATAAAGTTCACTATATAGTCCCCGCTCTATAGTGATGGAGGGATTTAGGGGTTAGAGCGGACGGTCGGACACAGGAGGCTGGTATGAGAACAGCAACTTCTAAACAGAGCATGCACGAGGAGAAATGGTCTTGTGCACACGCATTTTTTTTTTTTTTGTAGAGAGGGCGGCCCCTTTAAGAAATCTGCCACAATACCTTGAAATGGTTATCGAGTCAGATATGTGGCGGGTAATGTTTGGTTTATTGAAAGGTTTTATCTGTCCCTGTCTAAATGGGTTTGGCTGACATTTAAGCCCAGATTCCAATATCTCTGTAGTGACTATAATATATATAATCTGATATCTGAGACGATGGTACTGCTGCTGAAGCTCCTCAGAAATGTGATCAACACCCAGAACAGCGGCGAGGAGTTTGGCATCCATTCTTATACTGCTTTCCTTCTTCCAAGGACCCAGTCCAGGTAGACCGGGTCCTTGGAGGACGCAGCCGTGAAATCGAACACAGCCAGGTTCCTTAGCGCCCTAATCATCTAATTACTTGAATCAGGTCAAAAAATAAAAATCCACTGGACTTTGTTCCCTAGTTTAAAGACGTTTCTCTTCCATCCAGGAAGCTTTTTCAATTCAAAATGCCAGAAATGGCGATGAATTCCAGGTTTTATCCAGTAGCCCAACAAAGCCTTGTTTTGGTTTAGAAAACATGCAAATAGAAACGGATGAACAGGTCCACCCCTTTAGAATGGGGGTCATTAGCTTTTTTGTTAGCCTGCAATGCCCCATACCTGTCTAAGTCTCTGAAAGGGGGGTCGTTAAAGGGAATTGTTGGCCTGGCTGAATAGATCAGGTCTTCTGTTCTCCTCTAAAGGGGTTGGGGCTGCGATGATAGCGGGAAGGAATCAACTCTATCGCTGCATTGTAGGTTTTTGAAAGCTGGAACCTGAGCAACCCCCCCTCTGTTTAAGGTTGTTTTTTCTTTCTTAACATTGATGGCTTCCTTCACGCACCTCTGAAATCACCTGTCTTCTTTGTCCAAAATGTGAACATTCTGGTCCTCAAATGTATGTCCTTTGTCACTGCATTGAACTGCAGACACCACTCCGCTCAGATGAGGTCTGGAGGTTTGGTCTTTAGGATGAACTGGTCTCTGTTTAAGGGGCTGTTTGTCTTAGACAGAGGCTAGTGCATCCCAAGGACAAAACTGGGAAACAAAGTCCAGTCGATTGTTTTGAATTTTCTTTTTTGTTTGGAATGACCTGGATGACTGAGAATCTTCACCAGCTTACTTGAATCAGGTGTGTTGGACCAAGGACACCTGTAAAGGTGAGCCCACCCCTGAGCCAGGGAATAAGTAGGTAAGCTGATGCTCTTTAGTGGCGCTGATAAGGGTCTATTTTCTAACAGAGTTTATGTCACAATCACAGTTTCAGCATCTTCAGCCAAATTAATGGATTTCATCCTCAAATCTTGTCCTGATTCTATGCCTCCTGCAGAAGACTGTGAACGGGTTCATCGTTATATTTTCCTTCGAATTGGTTTATTAATTCTATCAGAAATTACGGTTGTAGAGCTGAACCTTCAAAGATACTACATTTGAGAACATTGTGGGATGCTGGCATAACGATTTAAGTCCCAGTAAAACCAAATGGTTCAACAATCTTTGTGCTTTTGAGGGGCACCTGCTCATCGGAAAGAAGAAAAAATGTCAGCGCATGATCAGCTCCTGCTAACTGGACTCCATCAGATCTGTAGGATATTAAAACAGCCGAGGAGCTAACCCTGCATGGTGTGGTGCAGCCAATCCTCTGGGGCTGCAGGGATCTTCCACTGTCCTGCTCCAACACACCTTCACCCAATGATCTAATAGGAGCTCTACAGTCAATATGGCGGGCAGGAAATAACCTTTCTAAAGATCTGGGAAGTAGACCTGCTTAGAAATTAACATCCTGCTCCGTCCCGTTCCTTTCTGTTTGTGTCCAGGAGACGCTGCCTGGTGCCAGGGTCAGTGGCGGTTTGTCCAACCTGTCCTTCTCCTTCAGAGGGATGGAGGCCATCAGAGAAGCCATGCATGGGGCGTTCCTCTATCATGCCATCAAGGTAATCGCTTACAGCATCAACGCCACCCACCTTTCTGTCTCCTCCAATCGGCCCGGTTCTCTCTTCAGCCCAGAGTGGTCAGATTATGCTGAGTTGGTGGATTTAGAAGCTTTATTCTGAACATGTCAAAGGTCAACATGCTGATTTGTGTGGCGCTGTGAAAGACGCCTCCATTTATCAGCCTGCAAATGTTTTACATTCTGATATAAACCAGCAGGAAATTAAAATATAAAAAAATTCAACTGCAGTATTTAAGATTAGCCACAGAAATTCAAATCTGGACTTTAACTAGGCCGCTCTGACACATCTTTACACGTTAATATAAATGTGTCTTAGACCTTTCTTTAGCCCCCCCACCCCCCACAATGTAGTTTCCTACTTCAGTAATTAAGTAAAGACATAAAATAAAGGCAGTACTTATTATTTGTGCCATTGTTATATTTTTCTTACCTTCTCTTTGTGTCTTTTCTAAATAATAAAAGCAATGAAGTGGGACATTTTATTTCATAACAATAAAGAACAAAATCAGAAACAAAATGTTGGTTTAAGCTGAGAAATTTAAATATTCATACATCTTTTTGTTTAGGAGTGATTTACTCAGACTATATATTGTTATGAATATTAATGTTTGAATAATTGGCTGTTAGGGCTGCTCCAGAATCAACTTTTCATTCAGTTCAGTTCATTTATTCACTTTATTTTTATAGTGCCAGTTCACATCATGTCATCTCAAGGCACTTTACAGTTCACCAGATAGAAATAGAAGCATAGATACAAAAGGCAGATGTGAACCAACTCCACAGGCGGCCCCAGAGAGCAGAACGTTAGAGATTGAACTAACAGATTCTGCAGAGTGGGAGAATACATTCATTTGTTTTTTAAACTGAAGAATAAAAAAAAATGAAGCAACAGTTATTTATTTCAAAACATAATATAGAGCGCCTGCCTCGGTGCTGTGGGGCAGGCGCCTCAGAGCAAACAACTACAGGTGTTTGGTTCCAGGTACTTAGAGATTCACTTCCATACAGTAAGCCCATATTCTGGTTTTCAGGTAACACAGAGTACATGTCAGATTAAATACTACTACTTATACTTCAGCAATAGTTTCAAGGTGTTACTTTATTGTATGTCTCGTACCATGTCTGTTGGTTGTGCTGTTCTTTATACTCTTTGCAGGTGATGAAGCAGACTGAAAATGTTTTATAATTATCACCCTTTTATCTCCTCTTTCTTTCATCTTTTCTCCTTTTTTCAGTTTTTCCTTTCCTGTTCTTCTTACATTGCAGTGTCCATATAGTCTGTAAAACATTATGCATAATTATAATAAAGCTATTTATATGCATAAATCAAGCAGAACACTATGGCTATAGCCGTACTGCTCCACTTGTAAAAGTAAAATCTGTTGGGCTCTTTTTGGCATCAAGACAATTATTCTTATTCCCACATCACCAGAAAAGATGATATAGAAAAATAAAGAAAAAAAAAACATTTTTTTTTTTTTTTGCCGATGTGACTGATCCATCAGCCCCATAAAGCTGCATGATGTCCTCTTCAATCCCAAATACTTCTAAATGAAAACAGCATCAAATCAGTTCATTAATGCTCATAAATAAATTGATTGGACCAGACGGAACATCTTATCCCTGATTCTGAAATCCATCAGTCTTCTCTTTGCAGGGCAGCGCCGCCCTGAACCTGTGGAGCCTCCTAAGTCTTACATTTCAGTGTTTCAAATGATTCTCAGAGGGAAAAGATTAATACATGAATAATGCTCACATTATTCCTCACATTTATAAACAGTTTAAGATGGTCTTTACATTAGGCTCCTTATTAACTATCAGTCTGTAACTAGGGTTTCTTTAGATATAATTTAAGTCTGGAATTCTTTCTGAGCATCATTGAATGTTCATTAAACTATCGTTACCTCAAAGCTCAACGAAGGTGAATTTATAGATCAAAGTAAAGGCTCTCTATTTTTTGATGTTTGGTGGAACTAATGTTGAACAAAGGAGGAGTAGATTCTTGTATTTTCATCGTTGGTGTCATTTAAAATTGAGTAATTCTGATGGTTTCTGTTTCCTGGAGGTCTTCGCTTCCTTCTTTAGGTTAAATTTCTGGAATGTTTGGGGAGCCGATGAATCCTGGAATTGTTTTGATAAAAGCGAGATCTAATTTCCTGCGTTTCCTGGCAGGATGGGATGGATATGGGCATCGTGAACGCTGGAAACCTTCCTGTTTATGACGACATCGATAAGGAGCTGCTGACGATGTGTGAGAACCTCATCTGGAACAAAGAAGCCGACGCTACAGACAGACTCCTGGCCTATGCTCAGGTATCCCATCCCGACCGGACCTCAGAGCTCCGAGTCTTGCTTGGACCGACAGAACTCTGCCTCTATTTAACAGAACATAGTGAAAGGAGGGAAGAAGGTGGTCCAGACGGACGAATGGAGAAACGCATGCGTAGAAGAGCGGTTGGAATACGCTCTCATCAAGGTAACGACCTTCATCTGCTGGAGCAGAAACAGGGAGAAGTCCTACAGAATGTTGAGGAAAACTTTTTTTTTTTCCTTTCCCTCATTATGATTGAAATTCTGACTCCAGGTGCTTCCCAGTCCGTACTGCCAGATCTGGATGTTGCTCAGCTATGGAGTGAAATCTGTTCCATTAATGTTTTAAGCAGAAAACACTTTGAAAACATAAAATTCCCAAACAAAACTTTGAAAAACTTTTTTATCAACAATTTTCTTGAGAGCAGAGTTGCCGTTTTTAGATTTTTTTTCCTTCAAAATGTTTTACAGATTTTAAATATTTGACATTGATTTTATTTTTTCGTGAAATTTCTCTTTTTCAGGTTCAGTTTTAAAAATTGTTTTCTTTTCCTTTTCACGTCTGGAGGCAGGCTTAGGAGTAAAACTAAATCTGAAAAAGGGAGCGATGAAGAGCAAATGTAAAATATGTAACAAAAGTTTTAAAAAATATATCATATTGATCTAATATGTTTACATACATTAAAAAAATAAAACGTCACAAAACACAATCAGAGGAAATGGCAAAGAGACTTTTTTCTTCCTTATCAAAGATAATGGAACAGAATTCACTCCATAGATTTGACAGGAGCTTTTCCATCTTTAAATCCCACAAAAGTTAAAGTTCAGGATTTTCAGATTCTATGCTGCTGTTTAGTTTTAGTGTCTCTGCAGCGTTCCTATAGTTAGCTGTGGCTGGTTCAGCTCCACGGACCGCCGTACACTGCAAAACGCTGAGGAGCTCTGCTGTGTTCCTGACAGGGAATAGACAAACATGTGGTGGATGACGTTGAGGAATGCCGGGCACAGGTGGATCGCTACAAGCGGCCCCTTCACATCATCGAGGGTCCCCTGATGAACGGCATGAAAGTGGTGGGGGATTTGTTTGGAGCTGGGAAGATGTTCCTGCCACAGGTGACCCCATTTATTCCCTGCTATTCCCCGTTATTCCCTGTGATTCCTTAGTATTTCCCGTTATTCCCCGTGATTCCGTTATTCCCTGTTATTCCTTGTTATTCCCCGTTATACCCTGCGATTCCTCATTATTCCCCGTTATACCCTGCGATTCCTCGTTATTCCTTGTTAATACTGGTTATTCCCCTTGATTCCCTGTTATTCCCCTTGATTTTCATGTTATTTTTCGTGATTCCCTGTTATTCCCCGTGATTCCCTGTTATTCCCCGTGATTCCCTGTATTAACCCTTGATTTCCTGTTTTTCCACGTTATTCCCCATTGTTTCCCGTGATTCCCTGTTATTCCCCGTGATTCAATGTGTTCCCCGTTATTCCCTGTTATTTCCCGTGATTCCCTGTTATTCCCTGTTATTCCGTTATTCCCAGTGATTCCCTGTTATTCCCCCTTATTCCTTTTTATTACCCGTTATACCCTGCGATGCCTCGTTATTCCCCATGATTCCCTGTTATTCCCCCTTATCCTTGTTATTCCCTGTTATTCCTTGTTATTCCTGATTATTCCCCTTGATTCCCTGTCATTTCCCTTGATTCCCTGTTATTTCTCGTGAAATCCTTTTATTCCCCTTGATTCCCTATTATTCCCTATTATTCCCAGTGATTCCCTGTTATTCCCTATGATTCCCTGTTATTCCCCTTATTCCCCATGATTCCCTGTTATTCCCTGTGATTCCCTATTATTCCCTGTGATTCCCTATTCCCATGATTCCCTGTGATTCCCCGTCATTCCCTGTGATTCCCCATGATTCCCTGTGATTCCCCGTGATTCCCTATTATTCCCCGTCATTCCCTGTGATTCCGGTCATTCCTCATGATTCCCCGTGATTCCCCGTTATTCCCTGTGGTTCCCTGTTATTCCGCGTGGTTTCCTGTTATTCCCTGTGATTCCCCGTCATTCCCCGTGATTCACTTATTCCTTGTTATTCCCTGTTATTCCCCGTGGTTCCCTGTTATTCCCCTTGATTCCCTGTTATTCCCCGTGGTTCCCTGTTATTCCCCCTTATTCCTTGTTATTCCCCCTTATACCCTGCGATTCCCTGTGATTCCCTATTATTCCCAGTGATTCCCTGTTATCACCCATGATTCCCTGTTATTCCTCTTATTACCCGTGATTTCCTGTTATTCCCCTTATTCCCTGTGATTCCCTGTGAATCCCCGTAATTCCCTGTGAATCCCCGTCATTCCCTGTCATTCCCCTTGATTCCTTGTTATTCCCTGTGGTTCCCTGTTATTCCCGGTGGTTCCCTGTTATTCCCCGTGATTCCCTGTTTTTCCCTGCGATTCCTCTTTATTCCCCGCGATTCCCTGTTATTCCCCACGATTCCCTGTTATTCCCCGTGATTCCCTGTTATTCCCCATCATTCCCTGTGAATCCCCGTCATTCCCTGTTATTCCCTGTGGTTCCCTGTTATTCCCCTTGATTCCCTGTTATTCCCCTTGGTTCCCTGTTATTCCCCATCATTCCCTGTTATTCCCCGTCATTCCCTGTGAATCCCCGTCATTCCCTGTTATTCCCCGTGGTTCTCTGTGAATCCCCGTCATTCCCTGTGATTCCATATTATTCCCCGTCATTCCCTGTTATTCCCCGTGATTCCCTGTTATTCCCCGTGATTCCCTGTTATTCCCCGTGGTTCCCTGTGAATCCCCGTCATTCCCTGTGATTCCCTGTTATTCCCCGTGGTTCCCTGTTATTCCCCGTCATTCCCTGTGAATCCCTGTCATTCCCTGTGATTCCCTGTTATTCCTTGTTATTCCCTGTTATTCCCTGTGGTTCCCTGTTATTCCCCGTGGTTCCCTGTTATTCCCCTTGATTCCCTGTTGTTCCCTGTCATTCCCTATTATTCCCCGTGGTTCCCGTGATTCCCCGTGATTCCCTGTTATTCCCCGTGGTTCCCCGTTATTCCCCTTGATTCCACGTTATTCCCTGTTATTCCGTGTGGTTCCCTGTCATTCCCCGTGATTCCATTATTCCCTGTTATTCCCCGTGGTTCCCTGTTATTTCCCATCATTCCCCGTGATTCCGTTATTCCTTGTTATTCTCTGTTATTCCCCGTGGTTCTCTGTTATTCCCCTTGATTACCTGTTATTCCCTGTGGTTCCCTGTTATTCCCCGTCATTCCCTGTGAATCCCCGTCGTTCCCTGTGAATCCCCGTCGTTCCCTGTTATTCCCCGTCATTCCCTGTGAATCCCCGTCATTCCCTGTGAATCCCCGTCATTCCCTGTTATTCCCCGTCATTCCCTGTTATTCCCCGTGATTCCCTGTTATTCCCCGTGGTTACCTGTGAATCACCGTCATTCCCCGTGATTCCCTGTTATTCCCCGTGGTTCCCTGTTATTCCCCGTCATTCCCTGTGAATTCCCTGTGATTCCCTGTTATTCCTTGTTATTCCCTGTTATTCCCTGTGGTTCCCTGTTATTCCCCGTGGTTCCCTGTTATTCCCCTTGATTCCCTGTTGTTCCCTGTCATTCCCTATTATTCCCCGTGGTTCCCGTGATTCCCCGTGATTCCCCGTTATTCCCCGTGGTTCCCCGTTATTCCCCTTGATTCCCCGTTATTCCCTGTTATTCCGTGTGGTTCCCTGTTGTTCCTCGTGATTCCCTGTCATTCCCTGTGATTCCATTATTACTTGTTATTCCCTGTTATTCCCCGTGGTTCCCTGTTATTTCCCATCATTCCCCGTGATTCCGTTATTCCTTGTTATTCTCTGTTATTCCCCGTGGTTCTCTGTTATTCCCCTTGATTACCTGTTATTCCCTGTGGTTCCCTGTTATTCCCCGTCATTCCCTGTGAATCCCCGTCGTTCCCTGTGAATCCCCGTCGTTCCCTGTTATTCCCCGTGGTTCCCTGTTATTCCCCGTCATTACCTGTGAATCCCCGTCATTCCCTGTGAATCCCCGTCATTCCCTGTGATTCCCCGTCATTCCCTGTGATTCCCCGTCATTCCCTGTTATTCCCCGTGATTCCCTGTTATTCCCCGTCATTCCCTGTGAATCCCCGTGATTTCCTGTTATTCCCCTTGATTCCCTGTTATTCCCCTTGATTCCCTGTTATTCCCCGTTATTCCCTGTTATTCCCCGTGATTCCCTGTTATTCCCCGTCATTCCCCATGAATCCCCGTTATTCCCTGTTATTCCCCGTGATTCCCTGTTATTCCCCGTCATTCCCCATGAATCCCCGTTATTCCCTGTTATTCCCCGTGATTCCCTGTTATTCCCCGTTATTCCCTGTTATTCCCCGTGATTCCGTTATTCCCCGTCATTCCCCATGAATCCCCGTTATTCCCTGTTATTCCCCGTGATTCCCTGTTATTCCCCGTCATTCCCCATGAATCCCCGTGATTCCCTGTTATTCCCTGTTATTCCCCGTGATTCCCTGTTATTCCCCGTGGTTCCCTGTTATTCCCCATGGTTCCCTGTTATTCCCCATGGTTCCCTGTTATTCCCTGTGGTTCCCTGTTATTCCCCTTATTCCCCGTGATTCCATATTATTCCCCGTCATTCCCTGTTATTCCTTGTTATTCCCTGTTATTCCCCTTGATTCCCTGTTATTCTCCCTTATTCCTTGTTATTCCCTGCGATTCCTCGTTATTCCCCGTGATTCCCTGTTATTCCCCGTCATTCCCTGTGAATCCCCGTCATTCCCTGTGAATCCCCGTCATTCCCTGTGAATCCCCTTGATTTCCTGTTATTCCCCTTGATTCCCTGTTATTCCCCTTGATTCCCTGTTATTCCCCTTGATTCCCTGTTATTCCCTGTTATTCCCCGTGATTCCCTGTTATTCCCCGTCATTCCCCATGAATCCCCGTTATTCCCTGTTATTCCCCGTGATTCCCTGTTATTCCCCGTCATTCCCCATGAATCCCCGTGATTCCCTGTTATTCCCCGTGATTCCCTGTTATTCCCCGTGGTTCCCTGTTATTCCCCATGGTTCCCTGTTATTCCCCATGGTTCCCTGTTATTCCCCATGGTTCCCTGTTATTCCCCTTGATTCCCTGTTATTCCCTGTGGTTCCCTGTTATTCCCCTTATTCCCCGTGATTCCATATTATTCCCCGTCATTCCCTGTTATTCCTTGTTATTCCCTGTTATTCCCCTTGATTCCCTGTTATTCTCCCTTATTCCTTGTTATTCCCTGCGATTCCTCGTTATTCCCCATGATTCCCTGTTATTCCTCATGATTCCCTGTTATGCCCCATGATTCCCTGTTATTCCCCATGATTGCCATAAAATGTTAAGTTGAATTTCTCCAGTCTGTTGGATAATCTCATTTTTTGGGCCAATGGCCTTGCCTGTTTTTCCAGGTTATCAAGTCGGCTCGTGTTATGAAGAAGGCCGTCGGTTACCTGATCCCCTTCATGGAGAAGGAGAGGGAGGAGATGATGGCAGCATCAGGATCAGCCGAGGAGACGGTCTGCAGCTTTTAAGCTTTTTGCATTGTATCAAAGTTAATCCATAGAAACTAAACATAATGTCAAGTTTTATTTCTTCCAAACATTTTGTTCAGTTTAATCCAGAACTTTGGTTCTCTCCATCAGCAAAGTGTTGCATCAAACTAATGTTTGGTTTAGTGTGGAGGTTCGTAGTTCCAGGGTCAGAGAGACGCCAAAGATAAAAGCAGGACTGCAAACGTTTCACCAAACCTGGGAGTGAGATTTTGTACTAGTGTGGAACGGCCACCCCTGTCAGGGTTAGTTTGAAACGCTTTCAGGTGCAGCTCTAGGTTGGAGGTTTTCAGAGGATTTCACTGAAACTAAGCAGCAAAATGGGGAATTTTTACAGCACAGTAAATGTTACTGAATGACAATAAGTGATCTGTAGTTATTTGGAACATTTTCACACAATATATATTATTTCTACATTCTGGTGATTTTCAGAGAATAGAAATAAAGAAGAACGTCTTCTACTAAAATACTTGCATCTTAAATATACTGTAAACTAAGAATTTCAGAACTTTAATTAATTATTATCTGCAGTTAAAGTAAATTAAACAATGGGGAGCTAATAAGTTATTACTGGATTACTGGCACTGATACAGGAACCAGTACAATGGAAACCAGTGCAAACTACACTGTGTAGGAATATTTGCTAATAGGCTAAGGACTAAAAATCTTAACTCATTATTCTATTATCTTGTTAATTTTTTTCTTTAATTGACATAACAGCTAAACAATTCAGACCTTCTAGGAGGCTGTAGATTCTATAAAAAATCTCCATGACAGGAGACAGCATTTCTCTGGATGTTTGATTTTGGAAAAATTGATGGAAATTAAGTTTTTAAACATATTCAATGGACCAAAATAAGGATAAATGAATAAGATAATTAATAATAAACTGAGAACATCCCTGTGGTTCCTCTGAGTTGTTCTGCACATCCTCTCTGGATGTGGTTGGTCTTTTCTTGGGTGGCTGATCTTTTAAAAATAAAATGCATTGATTCTTTTCTTTATGGTCGACCTCCTGCGGCTTTGTGAGGCAAACCTGCAAGCTTTAAGAATTTAGAGATTTGTGTTGCTTTAATTAGTCCTATAATCCAATGTGGGATTATTTAACTAGACTGAGCAATAATTATTTAACTTGTGAGAAAAACATGGACTAAAACTGGGACTAAATCAGGAGGATAAATTAGAGCAAATAAGGATTAAATCTCACTAAAAAAGCACTAGATGTAGAGAAACCAAACCATTTGATGTCAGTTTGGTGTGATCCTGCACTCCGTTTGCACATGGATCATTTAAGCTAGCTGCTGTGTATTTTATTTATATTTACTCAAGTACTAGATTGCTTAAAGTCTTCATTAATTTACAAAGTGATTTATCTTAGTCCAGAGAAGATTAAAATCCAATGACATACCTTTTAACAACTGCTCAAAAATGCCAGTGTTTTTTCAATATCTGGCTCAGTGGATATGTGGGCTGGTGCTAAAATATGGACTGGAAGGAACCTGGCATGTCCCTGTATGTTAGCACTAAGGTTGTTTTGAAAATGCAGACTGGATTTTTATCAGCATGGTATTTTTATATATGAATAAGTGGAATGGAGCTGAGTTTTAATGTCCGTAATTTTTTTAACGTGAAAAATGAAATTGTGGATATAAGATGAGAGTGTGTGGAAACACTGAGAAGGGCGAGTGTCACGCCGAATGGGTGAAAGCCGACAGCCCTGCCTGAAAGATTCATGGTTGTACCAGAAGAGATTAGCATGAGAGAGATTGAGATGAAACCAACCTGCAGGCCTTACTGGTTCCATATCAAGACGAGACCGAACCAGCACCACACACACCCACACACACACATACACACATAACGATAAATCTGAAAGATCTGCTTTCCCATGAAAAACTACCATTCATCCCTCAGAGCAGAAATAAATCAAACTTTCTCTCTTTAGTTCTCATTACTGAACTTTTCTCCATCTTTCTTCTTTAGTCAAATATTTTACTACATCAGGCCTAAAAAGTACATTTTGCCTCCCCTGCTAAAGCGCATCATGAAAGTCAGCTGCAGATCATAAAACTTATCAGGATCACTGAATTTTATCTCAAGAAAAAAAGGATGCTTTTTTTGATCTCAATTACATTTTTTAATTCAGTTTCATTCATTCATTTCTATAGCTCCAATAGGGGGTTTTCAGTGACGTCACTGGCCAGCTTCCGGTCCGCCATCTTGGGTGGCATATTATCGTATATCATATATATCATGTCGCGAATGGATAATTACGGCAGCACGCTAGAGCCACCAGATCATGGAACATATCTGAGGAAATGTTCCGTGATCGACCATATGGACCCCTATGCCCTCCACAGTGCCTTGTTTAGCACTAATCCAGATGATTGGCCAAATGTAGAGCACGGTGACATAGTTCATTACCCGGTGTTCAGTGAAAACCCTCTGCACACTCTTGAGGAAATGAGAGCGTACAAGGGTCTAGAGGATCACAACCAGTTCACATCTGGTTGGGTACGAGATGTCGAAGTGATGTACATGAAGGAAATCGCCATCATACGTGGACGGGTGAGTTTTAATAAGATGGTAAAAATGTAAACAATCCGACGCAGGGCTCGCTATGCTAGGTGGCTAACGGCCGGCGGTGCGCGAACAGTTCCAAAGCTACAAGTCATTGGAGTCTCATGTGCAGTTTACGAATGGATGAGTTCAGGAGCTGCAGCTCATAAAGCCAGCAAACAGTGCTAACCGTTAGTGCTAACAACCACTCAGGCATGTAATGTACTTTTAACTAGCTGCTATGTGTTTCAAAGGTTTGGTTAGTAACGTTAACTGCCAAACCTCCCTAAACCCTCCGGGTTTCTCACATATTTGAGCCTTTTCCCGCTGGTTAAATCAAGTTAAGGTGAAATTAATCAAATTAAAACACGGCTGAGAGAGGGAGTCCAGTACGCGGTGGTCATAGGCAGTAGTCTGAGTAGCGGCGGCGGAGACGGTCAACATTGCGGCCACGGAAAGTAATACGTCATGACGCCCAAGCCCCATTATTAATATATTCTTACATGTTTTAAATGCTTGACAGTTAATTACCTGTGACAAAGTGAGCACTGCAGACTCTGGCGTATTCCAGCTTAACACCGTCCAAATCGGACCTGGATATCCGTGTCAGCCATAGGTGACGGCGTTGTTCAGATAGTTGTTTTGTTTTTTCACATTGATTCACGATTACGGCTGGTATGCGATAGAAAGAGCGTTGATCTCCACCTCCACGGGCCGTGCAACCAACAATTACACACGATTTCACCATTTTTCACTGTCAATACTGCCTAAGGCTGCCACCCAATATGGCGGACGCGCTGAGTAGTCACGTGAGCGTGACGTTATCTGAAAACCCCCTATTCACATCCTGTCATCTCAGGTCACTTTCCAGTTCACCAGATCATCCAGTCAGATTGATTCAAAGTTTCTATCTAAGGAAAACCAGCTGAATGCATCAAATCATTGACTCTTCAGCAATCCCTCACAATAAGCATACTTGTAGCGACAGTGGAGAGGAAAAACTCCCTTTTAACAGGAAGAAACCTCCAGCAGAACCAGGCTCAGTGTGAGCGGCCATCTGCTGAGGCCGACTGGGGTTCAAGGAGACAGAAGCAGACATAGAAAAAGAAGCAGACTGACTGGATCCACAGTCGTCTCATATTTCCAGCTTTTGGAAAGCTTCCCGCATATCAGACTCAGTTTTAACTATCAGCACGGAAAACAGCCAAATAGCATTCCTGAACACTTTCTCTCTGCCTACAGGATCCCTATCAGGGCACCATTGTTCTGGCTACAGTGAAAGGCGACGTCCACGACATCGGCAAGAACATTGTAGGAGTGGTGCTGGGCTGTAACAACTTCAGGTTAATACACTTTGATTTTTTACCATACAGGAAATTTTTTTCTGATCCACGCATAACCTTTGATATTTAATCTATTTTTCTCATCTCTGCTGAAAAGTATGGAACCTGTTTCTGAGACAGTCAGAATTATGAGATACAAAATCATAATAATGAGTTAGAAAGTCATAATTTCAATCTTTAAAGTACTAATTATGAGATAAACATTCATAATTACGAATTTCAAAGTCATGATTATGCGATACAAAGTCATAATTATGTGATAAAAAGTGATAATTTCGACTTTCAAAGTCATAATTATCAGATACAAACTCATACCTATGAGATATTTGACTTTTTATCTCATAATTCTGACTTTCTATTTGGCATTTTTTTATATTCATGTGGCAAAAACAGACTTCCATAGAAAAAGTGTCCATGTGTAGATGCAGTCAGATTTTCTCTCCATTTTGGGGGCGTCCTTCCTCTGGAGTTAGGAGCGATGATGCATTTCTATTGTGCATCTAAGAATATAAAACATGAGAAAAAAGTTTAAATCTGAGATAACTGCAGGGTTACTTTCAAAACTTGTTTTTTTTTTATTAAAAATTTTCTTTTTCAAAATTTTGCGTCTCGATTGAAATTTCTTTGAAATTTCCGTTTAGTAAACGTGTGAATTTTAGGTAACAATAATGGAGCAAAGTTCTCTCCATACTTCTGCGCTACAGAAGGAGAAGGAATTCCTTTTGGAAGGCTTAAAGTCCTAAAAACGCATCATTTTGATTAAAGTTTTATGAGATGAAGCATCACACAGCAGAGACATGGAGGATGTTCACATATTCTTTTTATTTTTCACTCCTTTGTATAAAATCAAATAAAAAAATGAGACGATATTACCTGAAGGCAGGATTTTGGGGGAATTAACGAGGTTTTCATGAAGCACCTGGGAGTCTTCCTGATGTCCTCCTGATAATGTTGAGTGATGTTTATAACATAGATGTTCAGCCACATTCAGAGAAGTTCACCAGCTTGTTCGGTCTGTTGCAGGGTGATCGACTTGGGTGTGATGGTTTCCTGTGATCGGATTCTCAGAGAGGCTGTCACTCAGAAAGCTGGTATGGAAAATAATCTGCCTCCCAATTATTATCAAAGTTGGTAGAAAAACATGTATCCAATAAATGTAAAGTTAGTTCCACTATAAGCTGTTAGGTTACAGCTGTTCCCACCACTGAATGGTGGCAGGAATAGGAACCATTTGGTTCCTATTCCTGCCACCATTTAGGATCCATGGAAAAACTGTACTTTATCTGTAGGTTGGTGATGGACTGTACACCTTTATAAACCACATTCCAGCCTCAGCGCTTAGAGGTTATTTGGGTTTTTAAAGGGTTTGTGTAAATAGTCTGATATAAAATTAATTACATTAAGTGGAGAGAAACTGGGAATGACTGTGCGTTCTGAGTATAAATAGTTTTAGTGTTCTGTGATTTTGCAGAACATCAAAACATCATTGTGATGTTAGGATTTAAGCCTAGAAAAAAAAACGATAGCATTTGTATTCAGAAATTTTGTCTACACTTACTGTGAGAACAGATGTAGATAGGGTTTAGAGTGGCTGGAACCCTGTTTGGAATCGTTGGAATGCTGTTTGGAGTAGCTGGAACCCTGTTTGGAGTAGCTGGAACCCTGTTTGGAGTAGCTGGAATGCTGTTTGGAGTAGCTGGAACCCTGTTTGGAGTAGCTGGAACCCTGTTTGGAGTAGCTGGAACCCTGTTTGGAGTAGCTGGAACGCTGTTTGGAGTAGCTGGAACGCTGTTTGGAGTAGCTGGAACCCTGTTTGGAGTAGCTGGAACGCTGTTTGGAGTAGCTGGAACGCTGTTTGGAGTAGCTGGAACGCTGTTTGGAGTAGCTGGAACGCTGTTTGGAGTAGCTGGAACCCTGTTTGGAGTAGCTGGAACCCTGTTTGGAGTAGCTGGAACCCTGTTTGGAGTAGCTGGAACCCTGTTTGGAGTAGCTGGAACGCTGTTTGGAGTAGCTGGAACCCTGTTTGGAGTAGCTGGAACGCTGTTTGGAGTAGCTGGAACGCTGTTTGGAGTAGCTGGAACGCTGTTTGGAGTAGCTGGAACCCTGTTTGGAGTAGCTGGAACGCTGTTTGGAGTAGCTGGAACGCTGTTTGGAGTAGCTGGAACGCTGTTTGGAGTAGCTGGAACGCTGTTTGGAGTAGCTGGAACCCTGTTTGGAGTAGCTGGAACGCTGTTTGGAGTAGCTGGAACGCTGTTTGGAGTAGCTGGAACGCTGTTTGGAGTAGCTGGAACCCTGTTTGGAGTAGCTGGAACGCTGTTTGGAGTAGCTGGAACCCTGTTTGGAGTAGCTGGAACCCTGTTTGGAGTAGCTGGAACGCTGTTTGGAGTAGCTGGAACGCTGTTTGGAGTAGCTGGAACGCTGTTTGGAGTAGCTGGAACGCTGTTTGGAGTAGCTGGAACGCTGTTTGGAGTAGCTGGAACGCTGTTTGGAGTAGCTGGAACGCTGTTTGGAGTAGCTGGAACGCTGTTTGGAGTAGCTGGAACGCTGTTTGGAGTAGCTGGAACCCTGTTTGGAGTAGCTGGAACGCTGTTTGGAGTAGCTGGAACCCCGTTTGGAATCGTTGGAATGCTGTTTGGAGTAGCTGGAATGCTATTTGGAGTAGCTAGAACGCTGTTTGGAGTAGCTGGAACCCCGTTTGGAATCGTTGGAAAGCTGTTTGGAGAAGCTGGAACCCCGTTTGGAATCGTTGGAATGCTATTTGGAGTAGCTAGAACGCTGTTTGGAGTAGCTGGAATGCCGTTTTAAGTAGTTGGAATGCTGTTTGGAGTAGCTGGAATGCCGTTTTAAGTAGCTGGAATGCCGTTTTAAGTAGCTGGAATGCCGTTTTAAGTAGTTGGAATGCTGTTTTAAGTAGTTGGAATGCCGTTTTAAGTAGTTGGAATGCTATTTGGAGTAGCTAGAACGCTGTTTGGAGTAGCTGGAATGCCGTTTTAAGTAGTTGGAATGCCGTTTGGAGTAGCTGGAATGCCGTTTTAAGTAGCTGGAATGCCGTTTTAAGTAGTTGGAATGCTGTTTTAAGTAGTTGGAATGCTATTTGGAGTAGCTAGAACGCTGTTTGGAGTAGCTGGAATGCCGTTTTAAGTAGTTGGAATGCCGTTTGGAGTAGCTGGAATGCCGTTTTAAGTAGTTGGAATGCTGTTTGGAGTAGCTGGAATGCCGTTTTAAGTAGCTGGAATGCCGTTTTAAGTAGTTGGAATGCTGTTTTAAGTAGTTGGAATGCTGTTTTAAGTAGTTGGAATGCTGTTTGGAATAGTTGGAACGCCGTTTGGAGTAGCTGGAACGCCGTTTGAAGTAGCTGGAATGCCGTTTGGAGTAGCTGGAATGCCATTTTAAGTAGTTGGAACGCTGTTTGGAGTAGTTGGAACGCTGTTTGGAGTAGCTGGAACGCTGTTTGGAGTAGTTGGAACGCTGTTTGGAGTAGCTGGAATGCCGTTTGGAGTAGCTGGAATGCCGTTTTAAGTAGTTGGAATGCTGTTTTAAGTAGTTGGAATGCTGTTTGGAGTAGTTGGAATGCCGTTAGAAGTAGTTGGAATGCTGTTTGAAGTTGTTGGAATGTTGTTTAGAGTAGTTGGAACGCTGTTTGGAGTAGTTGGAATGCTGTTTGGAGTAGTTGGAACGCTGTTTGGAGTAGCTGGAACGCCGTTTGAAGTAGTTGGAATGCTGTTTAGAGTAGTTGGAACACGGTCTGGAGTAGTTGGAATGCTGTTTGGAGTAGCTGGAACGCCGTTTGAAGTAGTTGGAATGCTGTTAAGAGTAGTTGGAACACGGTCTGGAGTAGTTGGAACGCTGTTTGGAGTAGCTGGAACGCCGTTTGAAGTAGTTGGAATGCTGTTAAGAGTAGTTGGAACACGGTCTGGAGTAGTTGGAACGCTGTTTGGAGTAGCTAGGAATGCCGTTTGAAGTAGTTGGAATACTTTTTAGAGTAGCTGGAACGCATTGGAGTAGTTTGAACGCTGTTTGGAGCTATTCCTGCCACCATTTAGGATCCATGGAAAAACTGTACTTTATCTGTAGGTTGGTGATGGACTGTACACCTTTATAAACCACATTCCAGCCTCAGCGCTTAGAGGTTATTTGGGTTTTTAAAGGGTTTGTGTAAATAGTCTGATATAAAATTAATTACATTAAGTGGAGAGAAACTGGGAATGACTGTGCGTTCTGAGTATAAATAGTTTTAGTGTTCTGTGATTTTGCAGAACATCAAAACATCATTGTGATGTTAGGATTTAAGCCTAGAAAAAAAAACGATAGCATTTTTATTCAGAAATTTTGTCTACACTTACTGTGAGAACAGATGTAGATAGGGTTTAGAGTGGCTGGAAGCCTGTTTGGAATCGTTGGAATGCTGTTTGGAGTAGCTGGAACCCTGTTTGGAGTAGCTGGAACCCTGTTTGGAGTAGCTGGAATGCTGTTTGGAGTAGCTGGAACCCTGTTTGGAGTAGCTGGAACCCTGTTTGGAGTAGCTGGAACCCTGTTTGGAGTAGCTGGAACGCTGTTTGGAGTAGCTGGAACGCTGTTTGGAGTAGCTGGAACCCTGTTTGGAGTAGCTGGAACGCTGTTTGGAGTAGCTGGAACGCTGTTTGGAGTAGCTGGAACGCTGTTTGGAGTAGCTGGAACGCTGTTTGGAGTAGCTGGAACCCTGTTTGGAGTAGCTGGAACCCTGTTTGGAGTAGCTGGAACCCTGTTTGGAGTAGCTGGAACCCTGTTTGGAGTAGCTGGAACCCTGTTTGGAGTAGCTGGAACGCTGTTTGGAGTAGCTGGAACCCTGTTTGGAGTAGCTGGAACGCTGTTTGGAGTAGCTGGAACGCTGTTTGGAGTAGCTGGAACCCTGTTTGGAGTAGCTGGAACGCTGTTTGGAGTAGCTGGAACGCTGTTTGGAGTAGCTGGAACGCTGTTTGGAGTAGCTGGAACCCTGTTTGGAGTAGCTGGAACGCTGTTTGGAGTAGCTGGAACGCTGTTTGGAGTAGCTGGAACCCTGTTTGGAGTAGCTGGAACGCTGTTTGGAGTAGCTGGAACCCTGTTTGGAGTAGCTGGAACGCTGTTTGGAGTAGCTGGAACGCTGTTTGGAGTAGCTGGAACGCTGTTTGGAGTAGCTGGAACGCTGTTTGGAGTAGCTGGAACGCTGTTTGGAGTAGCTGGAATGCTGTTTGGAGTAGCTGGAACCCTGTTTGGAGTAGCTGGAACGCTGTTTGGAGTAGCTGGAACGCTGTTTGGAGTAGCTGGAACGCTGTTTGGAGTAGCTGGAACGCTGTTTGGAGTAGCTGGAACCCTGTTTGGAGTAGCTGGAACGCTGTTTGGAGTAGCTGGAACCCCGTTTGGAATCGTTGGAATGCTGTTTGGAGTAGCTGGAACCCCGTTTGGAATCGTTGGAAAGCTGTTTGGAGAAGCTGGAACCCCGTTTGGAATCGTTGGAATGCTATTTGGAGTAGCTAGAACGCTGTTTGGAGTAGCTGGAATGCCGTTTGAAGTAGTTGGAATGCCGTTTTAAGTAGTTGGAATGCTGTTTGGAGTAGCTGGAATGCCGTTTTAAGTAGCTGGAATGCCGTTTTAAGTAGCTGGAATGCCGTTTTAAGTAGTTGGAATGCTGTTTTAAGTAGTTGGAATGCTATTTGGAGTAGCTAGAACGCTGTTTGGAGTAGCTGGAATGCCGTTTTAAGTAGTTGGAATGCCGTTTGGAGTAGCTGGAATGCCGTTTTAAGTAGCTGGAATGCCGTTTTAAGTAGTTGGAATGCTGTTTTAAGTAGTTGGAATGCTATTTGGAGTAGCTAGAACGCTGTTTGGAGTAGCTGGAATGCCGTTTTAAGTAGTTGGAATGCCGTTTGGAGTAGCTGGAATGCCGTTTTAAGTAGTTGGAATGCTGTTTGGAGTAGCTGGAATGCCGTTTTAAGTAGCTGGAACGCTGTTTGGAGTAGTTGGAATGCTGTTTGGAGTAGCTGGAACCCTGTTTGGAGTAGCTGGAACCCTGTTTGGAGTAGCTGGAACCCTGTTTGGAGTAGCTGGAACCCTGTTTGGAGTAGCTGGAACCCTGTTTGGAGTAGCTGGAACGCTGTTTGGAGTAGCTGGAACCCTGTTTGGAGTAGCTGGAACGCTGTTTGGAGTAGCTGGAACGCTGTTTGGAGTAGCTGGAACGCTGTTTGGAGTAGCTGGAACGCTGTTTGGAGTAGCTGGAACGCTGTTTGGAGTAGCTGGAACGCTGTTTGGAGTAGCTGGAACGCTGTTTGGAGTAGCTGGAACCCTGTTTGGAGTAGCTGGAACGCTGTTTGGAGTAGCTGGAACCCTGTTTGGAGTAGCTGGAACGCTGTTTGGAGTAGCTGGAACGCTGTTTGGAGTAGCTGGAACGCTGTTTGGAGTAGCTGGAACGCTGTTTGGAGTAGCTGGAACCCCGTTTGGAATCGTTGGAATGCTGTTTGGAGTAGCTGGAACCCCGTTTGGAATCGTTGGAAAGCTGTTTGGAGAAGCTGGAACCCCGTTTGGAATTGTTGGAATGCTATTTGGAGTAGCTAGAACGCTGTTTGGAGTAGCTGGAATGCCGTTTGAAGTAGTTGGAATGCCGTTTTAAGTAGTTGGAATGCTGTTTGGAGTAGCTGGAATGCCGTTTTAAGTAGCTGGAATGCCGTTTTAAGTAGCTGGAATGCCGTTTTAAGTAGTTGGAATGCTGTTTTAAGTAGTTGGAATGCTGTTTTAAGTAGTTGGAATGCTATTTGGAGTAGCTAGAACGCTGTTTGGAGTAGCTGGAATGCCGTTTTAAGTAGTTGGAATGCCGTTTGGAGTAGCTGGAATGCCGTTTTAAGTAGCTGGAATGCCGTTTTAAGTAGTTGGAATGCTGTTTTAAGTAGTTGGAATGCTATTTGGAGTAGCTAGAACGCTGTTTGGAGTAGCTGGAATGCCGTTTTAAGTAGTTGGAATGCCGTTTGGAGTAGCTGGAATGCCGTTTTAAGTAGTTGGAATGCTGTTTGGAGTAGCTGGAATGCCGTTTTAAGTAGCTGGAACGCTGTTTGGAGTAGTTGGAACGCTGTTTGGAGTAGCTGGAATGCCGTTTGGAGTAGCTGGAATGCCGTTTTAAGTAGTTGGAATGCTGTTTTAAGTAGTTGGAATGCTGTTTGGAATAGTTGGAACGCCGTTTGGAGTAGCTGGAACGCCGTTTGAAGTAGCTGGAATGCCGTTTGGAGTAGCTGGAATGCCGTTTTAAGTAGTTGGAATGCTGTTTTAAGTAGTTGGAATGCTGTTTGGAGTAGTTTGAATGCCGTTAGAAGTAGTTGGAATGCTGTTTGAAGTTGTTGGAATGTTGTTTAGAGTAGTTGGAACGCTGTTTGGAGTAGTTGGAATGCTGTTTGGAGTAGTTGGAATGCTGTTTGGAGTAGTTGGAACGCTGTTTGGAGTAGCTGGAACGCCGTTTGAAGTAGTTGGAATGCTGTTTAGAGTAGTTGGAACACGGTCTGGAGTAGTTGGAATGCTGTTTGGAGTAGCTGGAACGCCGTTTGAAGTAGTTGGAATGCTGTTAAGAGTAGTTGGAACACGGTCTGGAGTAGTTGGAACGCTGTTTGGAGTAGCTGGAACGCCGTTTGAAGTAGTTGGAATGCTGTTAAGAGTAGTTGGAACACGGTCTGGAGTAGCTGGAATGCCGTTTGGAGTAGCTGGAATGCCGTTTTAAGTAGTTGGAATGCTGTTTTAAGTAGTTGGAATGCTGTTTGGAATAGTTGGAACGCCGTTTGGAGTAGCTGGAACGCCGTTTGAAGTAGCTGGAATGCCGTTTGGAGTAGCTGGAATGCCGTTTTAAGTAGTTGGAATGCTGTTTTAAGTAGTTGGAATGCTGTTTGGAGTAGTTGGAATGCCGTTAGAAGTAGTTGGAATGCTGTTTGAAGTTGTTGGAATGTTGTTTAGAGTAGTTGGAACGCTGTTTGGAGTAGTTGGAATGCTGTTTGGAGTAGTTGGAACGCTGTTTGGAGTAGCTGGAACGCCGTTTGAAGTAGTTGGAATGCTGTTTAGAGTAGTTGGAACACGGTCTGGAGTAGTTGGAATGCTGTTTGGAGTAGCTGGAACGCCGTTTGAAGTAGTTGGAATGCTGTTAAGAGTAGTTGGAACACGGTCTGGAGTAGTTGGAACGCTGTTTGGAGTAGCTGGAACGCCGTTTGAAGTAGTTGGAATGCTGTTAAGAGTAGTTGGAACACGGTCTGGAGTAGTTGGAACGCTGTTTGGAGTAGCTAGGAATGCCGTTTGAAGTAGTTGGAATACTTTTTAGAGTAGCTGGAACGCATTGGAGTAGTTTGAACGCTGTTTGGAGCTATTCCTGCCACCATTTAGGATCCATGGAAAAACTGTACTTTATCTGTAGGTTGGTGATGGACTGTACACCTTTATAAACCACATTCCAGCCTCAGCGCTTAGAGGTTATTTGGGTTTTTAAAGGGTTTGTGTAAATAGTCTGATATAAAATTAATTACATTAAGTGGAGAGAAACTGGGAATGACTGTGCGTTCTGAGTATAAATAGTTTTAGTGTTCTGTGATTTTGCAGAACATCAAAACATCATTGTGATGTTAGGATTTAAGCCTAGAAAAAAAAACGATAGCATTTTTATTCAGAAATTTTGTCTACACTTACTGTGAGAACAGATGTAGATAGGGTTTAGAGTGGCTGGAACCCTGTTTGGAATCGTTGGAATGCTGTTTGGAGTAGCTGGAACCCTGTTTGGAGTAGCTGGAACCCTGTTTGGAGTAGCTGGAATGCTGTTTGGAGTAGCTGGAACCCTGTTTGGAGTAGCTGGAACCCTGTTTGGAGTAGCTGGAACCCTGTTTGGAGTAGCTGGAACGCTGTTTGGAGTAGCTGGAACGCTGTTTGGAGTAGCTGGAACGCTGTTTGGAGTAGCTGGAACGCTGTTTGGAGTAGCTGGAACGCTGTTTGGAGTAGCTGGAACCCTGTTTGGAGTAGCTGGAACCCTGTTTGGAGTAGCTGGAACCCTGTTTGGAGTAGCTGGAACCCTGTTTGGAGTAGCTGGAACCCTGTTTGGAGTAGCTGGAACGCTGTTTGGAGTAGCTGGAACCCTGTTTCGAGTAGCTGGAACGCTGTTTGGAGTAGCTGGAACGCTGTTTGGAGTAGCTGGAACCCTGTTTGGAGTAGCTGGAACGCTGTTTGGAGTAGCTGGAACGCTGTTTGGAGTAGCTGGAACGCTGTTTGGAGTAGCTGGAACCCTGTTTGGAGTAGCTGGAACGCTGTTTGGAGTAGCTGGAACGCTGTTTGGAGTAGCTGGAACCCTGTTTGGAGTAGCTGGAACGCTGTTTGGAGTAGCTGGAACCCTGTTTGGAGTAGCTGGAACGCTGTTTGGAGTAGCTGGAACGCTGTTTGGAGTAGCTGGAACGCTGTTTGGAGTAGCTGGAACGCTGTTTGGAGTAGCTGGAACGCTGTTTGGAGTAGCTGGAACCCTGTTTGGAGTAGCTGGAACGCTGTTTGGAGTAGCTGGAACCCCGTTTGGAATCGTTGGAATGCTGTTTGGAGTAGCTGGAACCCCGTTTGGAATCGTTGGAAAGCTGTTTGGAGAAGCTGGAACCCCGTTTGGAATCGTTGGAATGCTATTTGGAGTAGCTAGAACGCTGTTTGGAGTAGCTGGAATGCCGTTTGAAGTAGTTGGAATGCCGTTTTAAGTAGTTGGAATGCTGTTTGGAGTAGCTGGAATGCCGTTTTAAGTAGCTGGAATGCCGTTTTAAGTAGCTGGAATGCCGTTTTAAGTAGTTGGAATGCTGTTTTAAGTAGTTGGAATGCTGTTTTAAGTAGTTGGAATGCTATTTGGAGTAGCTAGAACGCTGTTTGGAGTAGCTGGAATGCCGTTTTAAGTAGCTGGAATGCCGTTTTAAGTAGCTGGAATGCCGTTTTAAGTAGTTGGAATGCTGTTTTAAGTAGTTGGAATGCTGTTTTAAGTAGTTGGAATGCTGTTTGGAATAGTTGGAACGCCGTTTGGAGTAGCTGGAACGCCGTTTGAAGTAGCTGGAATGCCGTTTGGAGTAGCTGGAATGCCATTTTAAGTAGTTGGAACGCTGTTTGGAGTAGTTGGAACGCTGTTTGGAGTAGCTGGAACGCTGTTTGGAGTAGTTGGAACGCTGTTTGGAGTAGCTGGAATGCCGTTTGGAGTAGCTGGAATGCCGTTTTAAGTAGTTGGAATGCTGTTTTAAGTAGTTGGAATGCTGTTTGGAGTAGTTGGAATGCCGTTAGAAGTAGTTGGAATGCTGTTTGAAGTTGTTGGAATGTTGTTTAGAGTAGTTGGAACGCTGTTTGGAGTAGTTGGAATGCTGTTTGGAGTAGTTGGAACGCTGTTTGGAGTAGCTGGAACGCCGTTTGAAGTAGTTGGAATGCTGTTTAGAGTAGTTGGAACACGGTCTGGAGTAGTTGGAATGCTGTTTGGAGTAGCTGGAACGCCGTTTGAAGTAGTTGGAATGCTGTTAAGAGTAGTTGGAACACGGTCTGGAGTAGTTGGAACGCTGTTTGGAGTAGCTGGAACGCCGTTTGAAGTAGTTGGAATGCTGTTAAGAGTAGTTGGAACACGGTCTGGAGTAGTTGGAACGCTGTTTGGAGTAGCTAGGAATGCCGTTTGAAGTAGTTGGAATACTTTTTAGAGTAGCTGGAACGCATTGGAGTAGTTTGAACGCTGTTTGGAGCAGCTGGAACGCTGTTTGGAGCAGCTGGAACGCTGTTTGGAGTAGTTGGAACGCTGTTTGGAGTAGTTGGAATACTATTTGTAGTAGCTGGAATGCTGTTTACAGTAGGTGAAACAGTGGAGCTAATATTTTCAAAGGATGTTCATTTCCCAGTCAGTGAGACTTTTCCGAGTCTGTCCCGCTGAGGACTTGGATGTCGTCTGTGCTCATAGATCTCTCTTTGTCTGGAGCAGATATCATCGGCCTGTCGGGCCTCATCACTCCCTCTCTGGATGAAATGATTTATGTGGCCAAAGAAATGGAGCGACTTGGAATGACAACACCCCTGCTGATTGGAGGAGCCACCACATCAAAGTAAATCAGCCGTGTGCCTTTTTAGGAACCCTGCAGCCGATCAATGTGTCACTGTTTGGTTTTCCGGATTTAATGTCATGTTTTTTTGTGTAGGACACACACAGCAGTGAAGATTGCGCCGTGTTACAGCTGTCCTGTTGTCCATGTCCTCGATGCCTCCAGGAGTGTGGTTGTGGTAAGATTATTCATCAGTAAACATTTAAAATCAGTAAACATGCCATGAACAGAACAGCTGGCATTTGTTTGGAAAGTTGAGGTCTCTGCTGTAATTCCAACTTCCTGAAACATGTTTGACTCGGTGGGAACGTGTCATTTAGCTCGTTAAAGCACATCCTTCCATGTATGTTGGTGTATCTATAAGACTCGGTGCGGAGGAGCAGCGGCTCAGCGCCGAGGCCCTCTCTAACGGGGGTGTCCAGTCATCCTGCAGAGGAAGCTTGTTACATCGGCTTGTATCCAGGATCAGGCATGACATGGATTTCATGACCAGAGAAGAGACTGGGATTGTAGAGCGTCATGCTACCTGAGAGTTTCCTGAGAGTTTCCTCTTTCTGCTCAGCCTTCTCTTCACCACAACAGACCGGCTGCTGCACCAGTCAGTCCATCAGTCTCCTGCCTCGTTTTACCCACATTCATTAAACACGAACCAAAGAAAGCTGAACTCTTCCCCAGGCAAGAATTCCCTGGTGACTTTAGATGGCAGGTCGCTTTTCTAGGGAACTGTAACTGACTTGGAGGAGCAGCTTCCCACTCAGCTGTGAGCCGCTCCGGTGAACGCTGCAGGTCAGGACTAGAGAGTCAGCAGAAAGACTGTAACCATGAAATTTCATTTACTTTTAGTTCAGTTTACAAATATTTGGCCAATTCACAAAAAGGGTAATTTCAGGATAAAAAAAGAAAAGATTGGATGGAGTTAAAGACTCTCCTGGAGAGACGGCTGCTTGCAGACTGTGCAGCGATTCCTCATAACAGGTAGAACCAGAACCAGGGCCGATGTGAGCAGCCTGCTGCTGCGGCCGGCTGGGTTCTGAGCAGACGGATCTAAGACACAGAGGAACACGGGATGCTGACGACCCGCCGTCTGTCTTCTGACCTCATTCACTGTTTCCAGCAGCTTCCCAGGCTGCAGCAATTTCCTCATAACACCACTGATGTCGATGGGGATTATTTCCAGACCCACTGCTGAACTTTCCAGCTGTTCTGTTGTTGAACTAAAGGTTTAAGTCTGCTGGGATTCATCCCATTTTGTTTCTGTCCCAGTGCTCCCAGCTGCTGGAGGAGGGAGCCAGGGAGGAGTATTTTGAGGACGTGAAGGAGGAGTATGAGGACATCAGGCAGGAGCATTATGACTCCCTGAAGGTGAGAGCTGCAAAGTCTTCGGGTCCAGGAATCCTTTCCCACCAGCCGCCGGTTCTTGGATCATGAATTGGTGGAGCATAAAATAAAAGCAGTTTTTTTCTTCCCTGTAACGCCTCCAGGAGCGTCGCTACCTTTCTCTCGCTGAGGCCAGACAGAAGGCTTTACGTGCCGACTGGGCCGCTGCGCCCAGACCAGGTGAGTTGGAACAGATTGGAGGATTTTAAACCACTGGAATGTTTTACTAGGATTCTCCTTCCAGAACTTTGTCTTTGTGTCGCAGTGCGCCCTCAGTTCCTGGGCACTCGTGTGTTTGAGTGTTACGATCTGAACGGTCTGCTGGACTTCATCGACTGGAAGCCTTTCTTTGACGTGTGGCAGCTCAGAGGGAAATACCCCAATAGAGGATACCCCAAGATTTTCAACGACAAGACTGTTGGTATGGACCGCTTTTAACCTTTCAACCTGCCGGGGTTCTTCCACCCATTCATCCTGCCTCTTGAGGGCGGTTCAGCTCAGAAAGCGGTGCGGCGGTGCAGGAATACGCCACAAAACCAAAGTTAAACCGCAGTTAGATCGATGACCTCATCGCTGTTGATCTTTCACAGCCACTGGGAACAGAAATGTAGTTCAATCCACCTGCAGGCGACCGGAAGATCAGAATGTTTAACACACTATATATACCCTGGTTCTCCTGGGAAATGCAGTCTTCCTTCAGAGGAAACAATACCGCCTTTGTCCACTGGGGGGCCCCAAAATCAACCAAAACTGAAAATTCTTTAGAACTGTTTTGACTCGGTAATATTACTTATAAAAATGTATGACTTCATTGTGGGATGCTGACTTGAGTTTTAGTTCGGATCTGCTCAGTGCCAAAAACAAAAATATATATTTAACTGATGGTGGAAGTTTAACCCGCAGGAAAAAAAGCCGCCAACATGGCAGCCTGGAGCTCAGCCCCCCCCAGCAAGAACCAGGGGTACCAAGGTTCCCATTCATCCCTGATAAGTGTAATTTTTTATGCAGATTTTATCGGTTACTTTTTTTTTCCTTGGGATTTCTCATATTGCGTATTTTTCTAATTGCTTCTCAGAAAAAAGCATTTAAAACAAGAATGAAATTCGTAAAAAAAATCAATCAAAAAAAGAGAAATTGAAAAATAATTGTAAAAATAAAAAATTTGTAATAAAAGATAAAAACTGATAAGACGATTCGAAAAAATAAAAAGGTATGGAAAATTAATTTGAAAACAGCCGAAAGAAGAAAATTTGAGGAAAAAATTTTACGTTTTTTTCTAAAAATATTTTTTGGTTCAAACATCTTTAAGTTTTATTTGAAACAATAATGGAGCAACATTTACTCCATACACTCTTACTAACATGCTTAGTCCTGATGAATGAATTAATCGTTAATTTTTATTGTTTTTGTGGTATAAAAGTTGCCATTTTGGGTTATTGTCAAAGTTTTTTTTTTGCTCTGATCGTTAATATATCTAGTCTGGTTTTTATTTTACTGACTGAAACCTTGATTGAAGTTTTTTTTAAAGTCACTTTGAGTGTTGAAATTTTGTAATTTGTTGAATCTAAACAGTGATTGGATAATAGCTTTTACTTGGAATCGATTTTTACTCAAATCTTAATAATAAATCATTTAAAAGATGACTTCTGTTCCACCCAAAAGATGCTTTAAAAACAGAAATGTTATTTAAAAAAAGGCTGATTATTTGGATACTTACAGATTTTTTTTGAATATCATTAGGTTTATATCTGACCTGATGGATTTGAAAAAAGTATTTAAAGATAATTTATAACCTATTTTCCACATAATGTTTTAGTTCCAATCTTTCCAAACCTTCAGCCTTTCTACCAACTGTGCTTCTTTCTGGATTTTAAAAGAAGAAACTTTTAAGTGAAGAAGAGCCACTCGTCCACCATGATGGTTCTGCTTCTGTTAATCTGAGCAACAGATTATGATTTACTGGTGTTCTAGAATAATCCACATTCCCAGATACTTCATGTTTCCAGTTTTAAAAGGAATAGTTGGAAGGAGACGAACTTCAGGGAAGGCAGGAAGGACTTTATTAGTTTTCTGAAATGGGTTTATTCTTTCAGAAAGAGCTCCACATCGTCGGCGTAGAAACCAACCTATTTCTCTTTCCCAGATTATCTATGGATGAACGGATTTTTTAAAGCAAAGCAAAGTTTAATCTGTTGACGGCAGCTGATTTGAAGCTCTTTTCTTCAACATCATGTTTCCTTTCAGTGTGGCTCCATGTTCCGTGTTGTTAGTTTCTAAGGGGGAAGCAGAACATCCTACCTTAAATGTTTTTCCCATGATGCTGCCGTACGCCGTGACATAAGCATACGGCTTGTTTTCCCTAAACATCTCTGGTTTTCCTTGAAGGTGCTGAAGCTCGCAGAGTCTTTGATGACGCCCAGTCGTTGCTCCATCGCATGATCGACAGCCGCAGCCTGGAGGGGCGGGGCCTGGTGGGATTCTGGCGCGCACAGAGCGTCGGCGATGACATCAATGTGTACGAAGACGACGACGACGTGGTTCGGAGTGACGTAAAACCCATCGCCACTCTTCACGGCTTACGGCAGCAGGTGAGACTCGTGGTCTGTAGTTCAGCGCCGGCTTTACAACAAACATGGAAGTCGTTTATCGTTTGGTGTTTATTGGGCAGGCGGAGAAGGACGGCTCCAGATCAGAGCCCTTCCTGTGTGTTTCTGACTTCGTGGCGCCCGTGGAGAGCGGCGTGGCCGACTACATCGGGATGTTTGCTGTAGGCGTGTTTGGAGCCGAGGAGCTGAGTCAGCAGTTCCAGACCCAGGGAGACGATTACAGCAGCATCATGGTTAAAGCTCTGGCTGATCGATTAGCTGAGGTAAGGTCTGCAGGAGGAACGCGGAGTTCAGAGGTCACAGCCGAGGCAGGATGATGTAACCGCTGCCGCCGTGATCTCTGGTTCACAGATAGACGAGGCAGTAGGGCGGCAGCTAACGGTTATTTTGAAAATCTGTTATTTTTCCAATAAAGCAATAAATAAACGGATAGAAAAAGGTTCCTAAAGAAGATTTTTTATGAAATTAAAGCAGGTGAAACAAAAGCTTTTCCACCTCAGGTGTTCTGGATTATAGAGCATGTTTTCAAGAGAAAAACATTTTTTTATTATCAAAGTGTTTATTTTTTACAATCTTGATATAATTGCTGCTCTAAGAGGGTCGCTCTATCAGATAAAGGCTGGTTTTAGAGTCTCTGTACTCCAGTTAATGATTATTTCGATAATCAATTAATGACAAGTCATTGTTTCATCCCTATGAGGCAGCAGTCTCCATGGAGACCACGGCGCCGTTTAATCCCATCATCAACAAACTGATGTTTGGATTATTGTCGGGTTCTGCTTTCCTCTTTTTCATCAATTTAATCATTAGTTTTAAAGAAAAGTTCCGTCAGCAGGAATAATCAATGGATCATTATTTATACCTAAAACTAATACGTTCACGTTGACTTAATAAATTTAGCGTTAATCGGTAATAAAATTAAAATAATTTTCATCGCGATCGCTGAGTCTGGGAGCGGCCATTTTACCCAAATATTATAACCCCTCCCTCCTGCCATCTTCCAGCAGTGACGTCACGGTGCGGTAAGCCTAGCGCCATTCTCCCCCCTTTACAAGCAAAATCAATGGGAACTATTAGACACATCTGCAATCAACAACAATTATTGAAGATTTCCAGAGGACTTCACCATTGAAATTCACCAGAGCTATAGTGAAACTGACAATGCCCACGTGCATGGCAGCTGGATGTTGGAATACATCGGGTAAAAGTGAAAAAAAACAAACAGTTATTTCACCTTTCCGATTACTGATCCTCCACGGACGGGTTGGTCGTTGGATCGCCAACTTGAAGAGGGAGGATTTGCCATCGAACTTCTGGCCAGAGAAAAAACCCGTAATATGTAGCCAACATTTGGAAGAAGAATGTTTTCAAGATGACTTGGATAATAGCGCGTTGTTACAAACACCAGATACAGCACTGGGACTTGATCAACAGCCGATACCGCACCGTGACGTCACAAACCAGTAGGTGGCAGTAGTGTTCTTTGACAAACATGGATGCCTCCAGTAAAGCACATTCACATGAAAATTACTCTGAATTAAAAACACTGATCATTTATTGAACAGGATGGAATAATTTAATATTTAAAGGACTTTCAGAAGTTTGAATTCTGAATATGAGCGGACTTCTCCTTTAAGTCTAGAAGAATAAAAAAATGAATAGGATCAGGGAAAAATTGTTTCTTTTGGATCAAATCAGCTTAAATCAGAAGTAATGATGGTTTCATTTGGTAGATCTGAACTCGCTGATCCGACTCTAATTAAATCAAACCAGAAAGTATTCATGAAGGAAGCAGGAAGACGGGATGTGCTGCTAAATAGAGATGGATTCGCCTCCCTGATATAAATATGACTATGACTCTTCTGTGGATGAGCCATCTTCTATGGAGCCCTCTGTTGGAGCAGTGGCTCATCTGTAGCTGAGAGGAAGCGTCTGGATCAGCTGATCAGGAAGTGCCAGCTCTGTGATTGGATGTTCTTTGGACTCTGGAAACAGACGGATCCTAACTAAATGAACATCTCTGTTGGATAATGTCTCCCACCCCATGCATGAAGCTGGTGCTGAACTGGAGAGCTCCTTCAGTGACAGACTGCTGCCCCCTAAATGCACCTGAAGGTCATCCACCTGTGACTCTCGTTCCTCAAAGAAAAAACCCTCCCTTCCTCAAAGTCACATGATCGAATGATTTCAGATTCATTACGTCACATTAACAAAAAATGGAAAACATAAATAATTCCCCCAAAAAATGTAGAATGTTTTCTTATAATCAAACTTGAGTTTCCAGATAAAAATCACGTTTATCAATTATACAGAAATGTGTTAATAGATACATTAATAATAGATTTTGATTGAAGGATAGAGAGTTTTTACCTCAAAGATTTAATTTGAGACAAACATGGTGAGTGAGGAAGCTGGGAGCGCAGCGTTAGCATAGCTACGTGGATGGAGGTGGTCGTCATCTACGTAGCAACCAAACTGGATGCTAAACCTTCTGAAAATATACGGGAGGAGGATGAATGATGAAGAGCAGAGGTCTGAGGATAGAGTCCATCAGGGCGAAGGTGATCAGAGCTGGACAGCTTAGCATATTTAGACATTAAAAATAAATGGTTGGAGTCAAAGATCAAGACTGAGGATAAAGAAACGATGTGCATCAGTCGTCATATACGCCGCCGTCTGGTGGAGGTTTGACATTTGTGGCTAATCCAGCTGCAGTGAGATGATGAACAGCTGGGGATGGTTTCTGATTGCGATCTGATCGTAGATTTCTCTAACCAAGGAGTGTCTGACAGTGTCTGATCCTCCCATTTAAAGATCTCCTCTCCTGACTCTCCTCCAGGCCTTCGCTGAGGAGCTGCACGCTCGTGTGCGGAAGGAGCTGTGGGGCTACAGCTCCGACGAGGCCCTGCAGGCCTCAGACCTTCACAGAGTTCGCTACCAAGGCATCCGACCGGCAGCCGGCTACCCCAGCCAGCCGGACCACACCGAGAAGCTCGTAATGTGGAGCCTGGCCGGCGTCAAGGAGAAGACAGGTGAGAAACACTCATTCATTATTCATTCACTTCTACTTCTACAATCACAAGAACGTGAGTACGGACTTGTGTCCTCGCCAAGTGTGTTCTTTAGAAGAACCCAGGAAAGAACCCAGAAAACCAAAAAGCTAGACTAAGGTCTGCCACAGAGAGCGAGAGCATCAGGGAAGCATCCAGGTTATGTGCCGAAGCAGCTGACCTCCATGACTTCCTGCCAAAGGAGCAGATCTGGAGCCGTAAACATGGAAACGACTCCAAACATCCGGGTAAAAACATCCTGGAGCGAAAGAGGAAGAAGATCTGGGAATTCCTCGGTTGGATCCAGATCTACAGCCAACCTGAAACGAGCTGAACGTTCAGGGAGCCGCAGAAAAAACCTTCAGAGCTCCAGATGCTTCCAGAGGTTCCTTCACTGCTTGTTTTAGAAGCAAAATGTTTGATTTTCCGGTGTTTAAAGGCACCAAAGAAAAGATTTAAAAAGTTTCTGCTTTCCACAGATCAAACACGACCTCATTACTCAAAGGAAATTTAAGCTGGAAAACTTCTAGAATTTGAATGCATGCTGTGCTTCTTCTGGGATCTCAGCTGCAGACATGAAATGTGTAAAAATAAATCCTGTTCCACCGACTGATGCTCAGGGTTTCTGCAGCTGTTTGCTGCTAAATGTTAAAACTTCCAGCAGCCATTTTAATTATGAATCAAGTAAAAAAAGAAAAAGCTCTGATATGATGAGAGCCGAAGCTAGAAGCTTTGGAAGAGAACAAAAACCTGTAGTTACCACCAGGGGGAGCGCTAGTATTGTCACAGCTGCATTGATCCCAGAATAGAAGCCTGCTGGTATGGAGAGATATTTGTGCCATCGGTTTGAGCGCGCAGGAACCAATCCGAGCGCGCAGTGAGACAACACGCGCGCGCAAAACCGGTCTGGCGCGCGCTCAACTCTGAAAAACCCTCTCAACACACTGTTCTCGCGCTCAGTTTCATCTCTGCGCGTGCTCGAATCCGTCTCTGCTCGCGCTTGCTCTCCTGCTCTCTCTCCGCGCTCAACACCAGCTGTGCGCTCGGCTGTTTCTCCGCTCGCTCGACTCTCTGCGCTCGCAACTTCAGCAATGTATGTAAATGAACCATACCATCAGCCAATCACACCCAGCTTCTTTTCATCCAATGAAAGCATTCCTTCCTTCTTCTTCTTTTCTATCATGGCGGTTCGCAAGCAACTTCAAGGTGCATACCGCCACCTACTGTTCATGAGTGTGTAGCAACATTGTTTTACATCTATTAAATTCTATTTTTTAATTTTGCATTCTGAAGATAACTAAATAATGCTTTCCTTAATCTATAAACATCCTTTATATTTCCTTTATTTCCCAATAATCCTTTAAGACTCCATTCTTGGCCTGTCATTTCAACTACTCTTCTCAATTTTTCCCTTTCAGGTTCATATGTTTTACAGTTCATTAATATGTAAGCATTCGTTCCAAATACTACATCCGGTTAGATGAAAAAAAAATAAATAAATAAATAAAAACACAATCAGGAAAATCAAACAACTCTTACAGTTATTTTGTCAACATTCCTAAGATAGTACTATAAAATATCTTGAATTATCTCAAATAAACTTCAGTAAAACAGTTATTAGATCATTGCCTCATCCATCTCTTTTACCTGCTATTGACATGGATTTAAATTTGCTGTTTTAAAAGAAAAATAAGGAGGATATTTCAGGTTCAAGTATGGTTCAACAGTATATAGATAATGTTTTGGATCATATTGGCCTTACTCTTAGCTTTTGTGGCGGGTGTTTCTTCTTTTTGTTGTTTTTTATGGAGGTTGGCAAACAACAATTACCGCCACCAACTGAAAAATCCTGTTTATCAAATTATTCTTTTTAATATATATAATAAAGAATAACCCTCTTATTTAGAGTCCATCTGTAAAAGGTCTTCTAAATAATAATTGTTAAATTTCAGATCAGGTCTGCTGTCTGAATAATTGCGTTTAAATTAATATAACAGTCGCTGATCTAAAATCAGAGCAAACTAAACTTCTTAATGGAACGATTTCTTCAATCCATTGTAAGGCCAATATGATCCAAAACATTTCTCCTTTGTAGGCTGAATTCCATCACTGATTCTTTTACCCGATTTAAAAATAAATTATGAAACTAAAACAAAACACCATTCCTAATATTGGAATATTTTGAAGCATCCATAAAAAATTTAACATATCCATAATATTTTTTATCTATATATTGTTGAACCATACTGGAACCTGAAATATCCTCCTTATTTTTCTTTTAAAACATCAAATTTAAATCCATGTCAATAGCAGGTAAAAGAGATGGATGAGGCAATGATCTAATAACTGTTTTACTGAAGTTTATTTGAGATAATTCAAGATATTTTATAGTACTATCTTAGGAATGTTGACAAAATAACTGTAAGAGTTGTTTGATTTTCCTGATTGTGTTTTTATTTATTTATGTATTTTTTTTCATCTAACCGGATGTAGTATTTGGAACGAATGCTTACATATTAATGAACTGTAAAACATATGAACCTGAAAGGGAAAAATTGAGAAGAGTAGTTGAAATGACAGGCCAAGAATGGAGTCTTAAAGGATTATTGGGAAATAAAGGAAATATAAAGGATGTTTATAGATTAAGGAAAGCATTATTTAGTTATCTTCAGAATGCAAAATTAAAAAATAGAATTTAATAGCTGTAAAACAATGTTGCTACACACTCATGAACAGTAGGTGGCGGTATGCACCTTAAAGTTGCTTGCGATCCGCCATGATAGAAAAGAAGAAGAAGGAAGGAATGCTTTCATTGGATGAAAAGAAGCTGAGTGTGATTGGCTGATGGTATGGTTCATTTACATACATTGCTGAAGTTGCGAGCGCAGAGAGTCGAGCGAGCGGAGAAACAGCTGAGCGCACAGCTGGTGTTGAGCGCGGAGAGAGAGCAGGTCGAGCGAGCGCGAGCAGAGACGGATTCGAGCACGCACAGAGATGAAACTGAGCGCGAGAACAGTGTGTTGAGAGGGTTTTACAGAGTTGAGCGCGCGCCAGACCGGTTTTACGCGCGCGCGTGTTGTCTCACTGCGCGCTCGGATTGGTTCCTGCGCGCTCAAACCGATGGCACAAATATCTCTCCATATGCTGGGACCTGTTGATGAAAGTCTGTAACCCTGTCTGGTGTCTGTCTGTCTTCAGGAATCGGTCTGACCGAGTCGCTGGCCATGACTCCCGCTGCGTCCGTCTCCGGACTTTACTTCTCCCATCCTCAGGCTTCTTACTTTGCTGTGGGAAAAATCACCAAAGAGCAGGTTCACCTTTCATTTTATTTAGAAAATAATAATTCTGCTTTTTCTAAGTTGCTAACTGGTTAGCTAGATTCTTCCGACAAAACCGGCTACAACCAAACTTGCTTGAGAACCATCCTCCACAACAATCCCGCCCTCTTCATAATCGACCAATCACATTCACTTTATTCACTCCTGTAAAGTCAGGAACCACTCAGGAGAATTCAGAAATGCAACAGAACAGCTGCTTCCCTATGACTTAAAAAAAAAAAAAAAAAAAAAAAAGAGTCTTTAGTTTAACCTTTAAGCTGCATTAGTATCTATTTACTGTGGATCTTTGATGGTTCCACTGGTGCCAGAACGCAGCCGAAACAAAGTCAAACAAAGAGTTAATTTCCACTTTAATCCCGGTTCTAAAAACAATACAGCAAGCCGGGTTTGATTGGCCGATTGGACAAATGCCTTTTATGTAAAGATCACCTTAAAATAATTGCTGTTTAATATTAATATAATAAAATATAATATAAACAAGTTAAACTGAGCAGAACAATTATTTTCTGCAGGAGGTTTTAAGCTCGGCTAATTTTAGTAGATAAACCGGATTTTCTGGAGAGTTTAGACGCTAAACTGAAAGATGGTTGAAGCTTTAATAATTCCTGGTTTTCACTAATAGATGATTATGTTGCTGATTCTGGGACCTGCTGGTTTTTGAAGCATTCAGACCGATGATCTCCGCTGCTTCGCCTTTGGCAGCTGCTGATTCGGGTCCTAAGTCTGGATCGTCTCCTGACATCGGTCCAAAATGTTCTGATCCTCTGTGACTCTGTGCTGCCATTAGAACAGGAGCGTCCTAGAGACGGGTCCTTGATCCCGTTCTTCCATCACAGCGGTTTTCCTCCACTCATCTGGACCTCTGAGCAGATCACAGGAGCTTCCTGGATTCTCAGACACCCATAAGCGTTTTTGGTTTCAGCTCCTCGGAGATCTCGTCCAGCTGCTCTTTCAGCTGAAACGCTCTCCTCTTCCTGTGAGGCTGTGTATGTAAAGCATTCAGGGCTCCACCAGTAACTGTAAGCAGCGCTAAATGCTAATGGCAGCAGGTTAATCTACGGAGATCTGCAGGGTTTTTAGCTCCTCTGTGCTTCTGATCAGTCTGATGTCTTTATGGCAGAAAGGAATTATTAACAACGTTCCCTAAACTAATCTTTCTATCCCACGTTAGTGATGGTAGTGTAGTGGAAAAAAAGTATTCAACTAGTTACTCCAGTTAAACAAACGGAGATCTATGGATTTCACTCAGTCTGCACTTTATTTTATCTGAGCAGCGTTCGTTCCCCCTTACTTACGATAATGGAAAGTAGTTAGAGTCTAAACAAATTACAGACACTTTGATTAAACAGTAACATGTAATGAATAAACCTTGAGAAAGAATCTGGTTTGTTGTGGAAGAAGCTATGTCTGGTCTAAAACCATCCCTCACTCAGGGGAATTGTGTGGCCTTGCAGGTAAAACAGGCTAAGTGAAAACATTTATAGTGAGTAAATAGCATAATTTAATATATGAAATAAGAGAAACTAAAGTTTCCGACCACAGCAGTTAAGAGTAAAGCTGAAACCATGGATGTCCTTCTCTGCAGGTGGAGGACTACGCCAGCAGGAAGGAGATGAGCACGGAGGAGGTGGAGCGATGGTTGGCTCCCATCCTGGGCTACGAGCCGTAGCTCCTGGTGTCAGCAGCGCGCGGTCCTGGTCCGGCTTCAGGCCGTGCTGTTTGACTTTAAATGGGGACCATTCGGAGTGGATCCCGGATGGATCCGGCTCAGGAATCTTTCTCGGCTCACAGAGCTTCAGCGCTGGACAATCGTTTTAGGCTGGTCTACATCCACTTCCTTTTCTAATCTTTTATAATGAACTATTTCCTGTGGATAATCGGAGCAGTGGTCAGCGCCTGGAGTTCCTGGAACATCATGGAGGAGACTCGGGAACGTCGGTGCAGAATACGCCGCCTGGTGCTACGGGTGCTGCTTCAGCCTCTGGAGTATTTTATGATTTTATTTAACTGACGTGAAACGATTCCTCCCTCAGTGGCCTTTAGTCCGAATTAGAGTGAAACATTAATGAAGCCGTTTGTTTTTCATTTCTGATAGATGCTCAGTATTCTTCTGTTTCCTTTTTAATAATTAAATCTGTAGTTATTTCATATTTTATTGGATTAATATTTAATAGTAATTAAGCTTATTGAGGTAAATAAGGATAAGTTAAAGAATTGCTCTGGAAATGAGGATAAATGGTGCTAGATTAGGTTTTAAAATAACTGTTTGAGTCATTTGTTTTTAGAAATATTAACGCTTTTAAAGTCAGTTTAATAGCTGCTGCTCTTTTTCTCCTAAACATCTGGGAACATCTGGGAGTAATTCCTCATCCGACACTGTTGCTGCAGCAGTGTTAAACTTTGAGAGTTTTTCTAACAATATTTCTAACTGTTGATTAATGGTTTTTACTTGTTTTACTTTTTCATCTGACAATTAACAAGAATAAATATTTTCTAGATGATCAAATGTTTTGTTTACTGAAGTCTCTGCTAGGAGAGTAAATAATCATTAATTTATCGTCTTTCACTGGAATAAAAGGCTTCATAAAACAATCTAGATCTAAGAAAAATAAAGATAAAATAGCATAAATGCATCATGAAAAAATAAAACATGTTTCTGTCTGATCTGATTTTCCCTGCAGGAAATTTCAACACATTAACACAGTTTATAAAGGAGGACGATTTAAAACATCAATAGAGGAAAACATGAAGAAATGAAACATCTGGGAACTGATTATGCGGCCAAATTTATGAAAAATTATTTTATGTATTTGGAAAATGATTTTTTAAATAAGAATATCTGGATTTTCAATGTCCTGCATCAACTGGTCAGATTTAGTAGGAGAAACTAAGGAGGAATTTAGATTTAAAAGTTTAAAAAATGGTACAAAGGTAGAAAAATTAACCCAATATTTTAATTTTAATACGATTCTTGATCATGGATAAATCAATAAATTAGCCTCAGTTTAAATGAGTAGGATCAGCAGGTAGGATCAACCTGAACTTCAGAAACCTTTAGAAGCAGACAGACAGTAGTTTTGTTTCTTTGATCTGTTCTTCATAAATTTCATTTTTCCTGATCAGCTCTTTGTTTTTAATGTTTTCATGGATAACTTGGGAAGCTTTGGGCTTATTACACCTTATTAGATAAGTGAGTTAAATACTTCAATTCATCTAATTTAAATTTACTTAAACTAATGGTGATTAACTCTGAAATATTCAGAACCAACTACCAGTTTTAGTCCGTGAGGCAGACACCCTGTCTACTTTTAAGGCTAGGCTTAAAACTTTCCTTTTCGATAAAGCTTATAGTTAGAGTGGCTCAGGTTATCCTGAGCTATCTCTATAGTTATGCTGCTATAGGCTTAGACTGCTGGAGGACATAGGGACCCCTATTTCATCGTTCTGCTTCATTCTATCTCTATTCTCCCACTCTGCAGAATCTGTTAGTTCAATCTCTAACGTTCTGCTCTCTCTGCTTTTTCTCATAGTAGGTTCATCTGGTCTGTTCCTGTTTGGCTGTGACTCCATCCTGGAGAGAAATATCAGCTGTGCTGCTGCCATCAAGACCTTTGTTTCTAGATGTTGGAGCTTGGCCTGTTTTCCAGTGTAGTCCTGTTTCTCTGACTGTGACTAACTGGATGTGCTCTCTTCATCCTCTGACATGGGAGCTGGCTCGGAGCTTGTCTGCCTGGCTGTGTGTTTCCTAGATGGGGCCGCCCGTGGAGCTGGTTGACAGTTGCCTTTTGTATCTATGCTTCTTTTTCTATGCCTGCTTCTGTCTCCTTGAACCCCAGTCGGCCTCAGCAGATGGCCGCTCACACTGAGCCTGGTTCTGCTGGAGGTTTCTTCCTGTTAAAAGGGAGGTTTTCCTCTCCACTGTCGCTACAAGCATGCTTAGTGTGAGGGATTGCTGAAGAGTCAATGAGTCGATGCAATCAGCTGGTTTTCCTTAGATAAACACTTTGAATCAATCTGACTGGATGATCTGGTGAACTGGAAAGTGCCTTGAGATGATATGATGTGAATTGGTGCTATAGAAATAAACTGAATAGAAGTGAACTGCTGGGATTCAGTGTCGGTTTTTTCACAGTGAATCTTTCTGAACCAGAGAGGATGTTGATCTAATTTGTTAATTTCTGCCCTAAAGCAGCGGCTTATTTCTCTGCTCTCCCCGCGTCCACCAGCAGAGGGCGCACATGCTCACCTGAGCTGCTCCTCCGCCAGGCGCGCGCGCCGCCATCCAGTGAGCTCCTCCTCCCACCGCCTCAGCCGCAGCACCCCCCCCCACCCCCCCTCCAGGCTGGATCACTCTGCGGTGCGACGCGGGAGGCAGCTCCGCTCACCATGGCTGACCTGGCAGAGGGAGAGGATGAGATCCAGTTCCTGCGAACAGTAAGTCTCCTCCCGGTGCCTCTGCGGGCTCAATGCGTCTGTGAGCGATGCGGGATGGATGGCGGGGAGTTTACCGCATTGGGATGACAGCTCCGCTTCATCCGAGTCATTGGTCAGGGAGGATGGATGGAGGTGATGATGGAGGTGCGGCAGGCAGGAGTTTTCAGGAAGGTCCACTCTGCGTGGAGTCAGTGGTGCTGGGCGGGATGTTGCGGGGCGCAGTGCGGTGCAGCCTGCTGAGTTGGGCTCTTTTTCTGCAGTCAGGCTGAAGCAGCTGCGGGTCAGAAGCTGTTGCTTCATCACCTCCTGCTGGCCACGGCAGACACGCAGCATGTTCTCAGAGTTCTTATGTAAACCCGCAGGCAGGCTGGAGCCCCGCATCTTTTGCGTTTGTGTGCGGGATGGATGCGTGGCTCCTCTGAGGGACAGCAGCAGCATCCTGATGATGAAACACTGAGCTGACTGCAGAGGATGCTGGAAAATCCACACAACAAGATTACAGGATTTTTTTTCTTTTTGGGATTAATGCGTTTGTTGATTTTAAAGCTGCACCGCATTTCCGCTGAGCATTCATTCCCGGTGTGGGAAGAAAACCAGCAGAGCTGCAGGAGAAGCAGCTCCAGACAGTTTTCCTTCCTGCTGCTGGTCACCAAACATCATCAGAGCTTCAACTACAGGAAATCCAACTGATCTCAGAGTTACAGAGAATCTAAACCCTTATTCCTCCCAAACTCCCGCAGAGCCATCCAGGTGTTGCATAATCGCAGCTCTTTATGAAACACAGGATTTCTGCAGAAATCTGAGAAGGAATGGTTTCCAATCAGCAGAGGCGTAGACAGAACGTTTTCATAAGGGCATCCAGGCAAAAATAGGGGGGGCCGGATAGGCACCAGAACCTCCGGGTCAATTAACGAGCACAATATCCATATTTTCTAAATAAAGACCAACTATACTTTCCTACAGCCTTTGCTAACAAATAAGCGCATATATTTAAACATTCGTCTAGATAAAAGGTAAAGTGGATAAAATTCTTTCAGGTTTCAGTTCTGGGGCAAATATTTTTTCCATTGTCATTACTTACCTACTTTTATCATCAATCATTCTGCATAAATTGAAATTCACAAGTACTAACATCTATATAAATTGATTATTTAATAAGTTTTTATTCAAGTAGTTATTTATCTATGATTTCACTGAAGACTCCTAGATGACTTGATGAGAGACGTCATTCTCTCTTTACCGCATAAAACAAAACATCTAGTTCTGAAAAGAGCTTTACGTCTGTATTTATCAACTTTAATGTTTGTATATTGATGTGCGAAATTAACCACAGGGTTTTTGTTGTCAAGTAATAAAAAATGTGAAGTAAAAAAAAAGTTAATGTTTAAATATTCCACTTGAGAGTATCACTGCTGCCACCGTCTGCATTAGAAGGAAGAAAATGGTAGGAGTGGCCACAGCGGTGGCTAATGATTGGCCCCCCATCTAGCTCCGCCCCTGCCCATCAGGATCTGAGCTGGAAGTTACTGGGAACCACAGGATCCCAGAAATGAAGCGGTTGCCGTAGAAACACACAGATGCTGAAGAGGAGTTAATGGTGTTCCAGGTCCGGGTGCCTGGTCAGGTGTTCTGTCAGACTAGCAAACCCAGAGTCAATACCCGTTTATCCCTTTAATTTTGTATGGAAAAAAAGAAAAATATTTCTTTACGTTTTGGTGTTCTTAGTAACATATGGCAATCTGGCCTTAAACTGTTTGATTTTTTGTGCATGACTAAAGGGATAAACGCCCGTTGAGGTAGTTTAAAGTCTATTTTTAGTACAAAACTAAAGGGATAAACGCCCGTTGAGGTAGTTTAAAGTCTATTTTTAGTACAAAACTAAAGGGATAAACGCCCGTTGAGGTAGTTTAAAGTCTATTTTTAGTACAAAACTAAAGGGATAAACGCCGCCTGAATCAAGGGGCTTGGGGTCACGGGGCCCATGGCTGGTCCCAGCTCGGTGTGGCAGTGTAGCTCGTGGCAGAGGCCACAGGCTTGTCCTCCTGGGGGCTTTGGCGTTGTGGTGGCTGGGGGGGTCTCCTGGGTCCTCGGGAAGGGGGCACCTTCCCTCTTACCTCACTGTGTGTGTGTGTGGGGGGGGTATTCTTGTTCTGGGGGTCCCTTAGGGCACCCGAGGCTTTGGGTCCCCCGGCACATGCCTCAGTGCTCCTGGGGGGGGCATTTTCTCCATGGAACAACCTGAGCGCACCAACAGGTGCTTGGATCCGGTTACTCACATACTCACCTTTATGCATTCCGTATTGATTAATTCTGTATGTTGCTGTATCTGTATTTCTATATCTGGCATCTGTTCTTTTTCGCATCTCTCTTTGCAGCTGATGAAGCAGACTGATGTTTATATCTCTCTCCTGTCTCCTCTTTCTTTCATAACATGAATTATTCGCTACAAAAATCATAATAAAACTACAGGTGCTGGTCATAAAATTAGAATATCATGAAAAAGTAGATTGATTTCAGTAATTCCATTTAAAAAGTGAAACTTGTATATTATATGCATACATTACATACAAACTCATATATTTCAGATGTTTATTTTGTTTAATTTTGATGATTACAAATGACAACAAATGAAAATCTCAAATTCATCATATCAGAAAATTAGAATATTACTGAAGACCAATAAAAACAAAGGATTTATAGAAATGTTGGCCAACTGAAAAGTATGAACATGAAAAGTATGAGCATGTACAGCACTCAGTATTTAGTTGGGCCTCCTTTGGCCTGTATTACTGCAGCAATGCGGCGTGGCATGGAGTCGATCAGTCTGTGGCACTGCTCAGGTGTTATGATAGCCCAGGTTGCTCTAATAGTGGCTTTTAGCTCTTCTGAATTGTTGGGTCTGGTGTATTGCATCTTCTTCTTCACAATACCCCATAGATTTTCTATGGGGTTAAGGTCAGGAGAGTTTGCTGGCCAATTAAGAACAGGGATACCATGGTCCTTCAACCAGGTACTGGTAGCTTTGGCACTGTGTGCAGGTGCCAAGTCCTGTTGGAAAATGAAATCTGCATC